GAAGGATATCGTATTCCCAGCTGCTTGTTACATTGCCTTAGCTGGCGAAGCCGCATTCCAGCTGACCGAGGGCGATGCACGAGACTATACTGTGAAGTCTGTGGATCTTCATCAGGCTTTACTTCTTCAGGAAGACGCCGCGACCGAAATTGTTACAACTCTTCGCCCTCAGCGCCTGACAACAAGCCTCAATAGTGACTGGTATGAGTTCCTGATCGTATCGCATGATGTAGAAACGTGGAAGAAGCATTGCTCTGGATTAGTCCGAATCGGTCGTGCGTCTACGCCACCGCCAGCCTTCAAAAAGGTAGCGGAGACACTCCCCAGAAAGGTCTCATCAACCCGTTGGTACGAAACCTGTGCCCGTGTCGGACTGAATTATGGCCCTTGCTTCACTGGCCTCCAAAAGATCACCGCTGGCGTTACCGAGACCAGGTCCGCGGCGGATATCATTGATAAACCTGAGACAGCATCCGAATCCACATACCCTCTCCACCCAATCACTCTGGACTTGGCCTTCCAGGCACTGACAGTAGCCATCTTTCAGGGTGACTATCGCACTGTTGATTACCTCCCTCTGCMCAAATTCCTCGGAGAGATCTATGTCGGCCATGGAACAGGTAAGAGAATCCATGTCTGCTCCACAAGCGGCGGTCAAACTTCGTCTGGTGGTCACCTGTACGGGATCGGGGAAGACGGGGACTTGCTCCTCTACCTGAAGGATCCGGTGCATATATGCCTAGAGAAGGACAGTGATGACCCAGAGCCAATGGCTGTCACTTTGGAATGGAAACCCGACTTTTCCTTCCTGGACAGTGGCAAACTGACCAGACCAATCTACGACATCCGAGAACAACTCATGTTGGGCGAGAGACTGTATGTGCTCTGCGCCCTTGAATCTAACATCGCCTTACAGGGCGTCTCAACAGCGCAGCCACATCTTGAGCAGTATAGGCAGTGGCTGGGGACTCAATGTGCGCGATTGGCAGAGCCGGGCTACATTCTGGTCGAGGATTCAGTTGACTTGGTCAACATGTCTTCCAAAGACCGCCGCAAGCTGATTCCCAAGGTTCTTGAGCAATGCAAGGCTATCGGTTGTGGTGATGTTGGAATCGCAATCTGGAAGGCATATGACCAGCTGGTTAATATATTTGAGGGAAAAAAGGACTTCCTTGACCTCGTCATCAACGATGGGACATTGTCAAATGTATACAATTGGGCCAACGACATGTGGGACGTCAGCGAGTTTTTCCAGCTCCTCGGCCATATGCAACCCCAGATGAAAATCCTTGAGATTGGAGCTGGCACAGGTGGGCTGACTGCCAAGGTTCTTGAACACCTTCGCTCGTCGTATGGGGAACGGCTTTATTTGCAGTACACCTTTACAGATGTGTCGTCTGGTTTCTTTCCAGCTGCAAATAAGAGGTTCGCAGGGTACCAGGCTATTGAGTATAAGGTACTCGATATCTCAAGACATCCGCTGGAGCAGGGGTTCCAGCGCGAGGAGTACGACCTTATCATTGCCTCCAATGTGAGAACTGCACCACCACACTCTTTTGGAATAATCCCGCTAAATGTCTTGCAGGTTCTACATGCCACACCCATTCTGCATGATACGCTTGTTCATGTCAGAACTTTACTGAAGCCTCAGGGCCGCCTATTCTTACAGGAGCTCTCTCCAGGTAAGTCTTAGGCTTCACTCTCCAAGGTTGTGATCAGACTATTGACTAACCGTTGATAACTGCAGTTGGAAACAGCATGGGCTATATCATGGTAAGTCCCTTTCTCATTTCTGCAGGTGAAAGAAATCCTGACTTGAAAAGGGCATCTTCTCGGGCTGGTGGCTCGGGGCAGCAGACGGCCGCGACGGAAAACCTTTCATTTTGCCTGAAGAATGGGATATAAGGCTGCGTTCTGCAGGATTTAACGGGTGCGAGACGGTCAAGTTTGATAATGAGAAGCCATATCACCTCAATGCAAATATCGTGGCCCGGCGAGCAATCGAGGTTGAATATCCCCGAACTATTACGCTCCTTTCTGGACCATCCGCAATCCATCCCCTGGCATTGAAGGTGGAGAAACTGCTACAGCAAAAAGGATTCCAGACGATGCACTGCCAATTGGGTGATGAGCAGCATACTATCCCGGACCAGGATCTGATATCTTTTCTTGACCTTGACCAGCCTTTCTTGAAAGCCCCAAGCGAAGCAGACTGGGATCAATTCCTTCATATGATTGGGACTCTGCAACAGGCAACTGTCCTTTGGCTTTTACCTCTGGCGCAGATAAAATCAAATGATCCGCATACAGCATTGATTCTCGGGGTGACTCGAACCATCCGCTCGGAGCTCGCAATGCCCCTCAGCACTCTCGAAATGGAATCCCACACTAGTTTGGAAGCGGCATTTGCAGTGGTTGATGTCCTCAACAAACTGCAACAATGCAATGAGGATGACGGGGACGTCGATCCAGACATGGAGTACTGTTGGGCTAATGGTGCTGTGCATGTTGGACGGTACCACTGGTACCCAGTCAAGAAGGCCTTAAAAGAAACAGCAGCCGAGCCTGCTACAAAGGTGTTGAGGATTGGGACCCATGGGCTGTTACAATCTCTGTATTGGAGTGGATGTGCTCTACCTGAGCTTGGAGCAGATCAAGTGCAGATTCAAACACAAGCTGTTGGATTGAACTTCAAAGATGTGCTTGTTGCCATGGGCGTGGTGGATAATGCCTCAAAGGATGCTATCTTTGGCGTGGAGGGGGCTGGATACGTTAGCAAGACCGGCGCAAACGTTGACCATCTCGAAGTGGGAGACAGGGTTGTCTATATCGGAGCTTCCACGGTTGGTCTGGCGACGGAGGTCCAGAGACAGGGATGCTTCACTCTGCGGATACCGGACTGCCTCAGCTTTGAGGATGCGGCGAGCATGTCTGCCGCGTATGTCACGGTACTCCTTGGTGTTGTTGAAAAGGCACGTCTTGAACGTGGACAGTCCATCCTCATCCATGCAGCCACGGGAGGTGTCGGCATTGCGGCTATCAATGTAGCACGGTGGCTTGGACTGGACATTTACTGCACGGTGGGTAGTGAACGCAAGGTGGAATCCTTAGTCCAAGAGCATGCCATTCCTCGCGATCGGATTTTCCATTCGCGTGATACCAGCTTTCGAGATGACATCATGGCAGCGACGAATGGTGTAGGCGTCGACTGCGTACTGAACTCTCTCTCGGGGGAGTTGTTGCACGCCTCATGGGAATGTGTAGCCGCATCGGGCTGCATGATTGAAATCGGGAAAAGAGACATGATCGGTCGAGGCCAGCTGGCTCTTGAGAGATTTGAAGACAACCGCACGTATTTCGGGATTGACTTGAGCAGATATATTGTCACCAACCCCACCAAGATTATGAAGCTAATGAAGCTGATGTTGCATCTCTGCACTGGGGTCCACATCCGGCCGATCAATCCCATCACTCTCTACGGCGCCAATGAGGTCCAAGACGCCTTCCGGTACATGCAACAAGGGTCCCATATCGGAAAGGTCGTCGTCAAGTTTCCGGAGGATCAAGGAGCACTTGGATGGAGTGTAGAGACACCCACGCCATCATTCAAACAAGATCGAGCTTACCTCCTCGTCGGTGGAATGGGCGGGTTGGGACGGGCCATTGCTACGTGGATGGTTACTCATGGCGCCAGGCATCTCATTTTCCTGTCGCGCACTGCTGGGACGTCAGAAAATGACAATATGTTCATGCAAGAGCTTGAAGCAAGGGGTTGCACAGTACAAGCCTGGGCGGGGGATGTCGCTGATCATGTAACTGTCAAGAACGCCATCCAGCAAGCGCCAGTGCCAATTGCCGGTGTCATGCAAATGGCGATGGTCMTCTGCGACGTGGGAATCTTGGACATGAGTCTCGAGGATTACCACACCGCTCTCAAACCAAAGGTGGATGGAACCTGGAATATCCACAATGCATTGCCAAACGAGTATCTTGACTTCTTCGTCATGTTCTCTTCTGCCTGTGGTCAGATGGGATACTATGGGCAGGCCAATTACGCTGCTGCCAACACCTTCCTCGACGCTTTCGCGCAGTATCGACATTCTCAGGGATTGAAAGCATCGGTCCAAGATATCGGCGCAATCAATGATGTGGGGTTCATCAGCCAAAATCCCGCTGTCAAAGCGTCCATGCAAGCCGGGTCAACCCGACTGATCACCGAGCAGGACTTCCTCGATACGCTGCAGTTGACTATTGCCAAATCATCCAGCCCCTCAGTCTCATACCCTGCCAGAATAGAAGACCTGGGAACCGGTCTTGTTTTCCACAACCCAAGCCAAGTCACCCAAATGTCGGAGTGTCAGTTACCCATCATGCATCCAGAGAACCACATCATCTGGAAACGTGACCCTCGCATGGCCATCTATCGGAACATCGAGACAACCTCTACAAAAGCCGAGACCACGAGCAACGGACTGAGATCATTCCTCTCGGAAATTAACGCTGATCCGGCCCTGCTTCAGCAACCTGCAGCCACAGAATTTATGGCTCGAGAGCTCCGAGACCGTGTGGCAACCTTCCTGATGCGGCAAGAGGGTGAAGAGCCGCTGGACCTTGGACTCACGCTCACAGATGCTGGTGTAGATTCTCTGGTAGCAATCGAAGTACGGAATTGGTGGAAGCAAAACCTTGGAGTGGAGATATCTGTGCTTGAATTGAAAAACGGAGGCAGCATGCTTGATATTGGAGGGCTGGCTGCGAAAAAGCTCCGGGAAAAATTGAGCAGCAGTGCATAAGTTGACTGCGAGTTCAACTATACCTGCGCGGGTCTCAATTGATAATGACATATCAAATCAAAAAGTTGATTGTGTCCTAGTTTTGTTTATTCCAATTTGGGCATTTGAATTTGGTATGAGTGCATTTACGTACCTGGCTATTTTCCTAGTAATTGTGCTAGAAGTGTTTCACAGAAGCTATGTGAGCTAGGATGACATATGGGGCATTTATTGGAAGTAGCCTGGGAACAGCCGGTTGAGCTTTTTCTGGGCCTCAGGACTCCAGTGTGGCTGAGGAGTACTGATACCAAACTTGACAGAGCCAGCCAGGTGCTTAGCCTGAACAAGATCAGAGTGCTCATCGTTAGCCAGAGCGTCAAGCACAACAGTGACAAAGCGACGAGCATTGTCAGCATTTGCCTTCATGTGGCCCATAACCATCTCCACAGTGACATCCATGGTAGACTCGTGCCAGCAGTCATAGTCGGGTCGACATGCAGATCATCTGGTAGGCAATTTCAGCCTCACAGGCCAGCTTCGCCTCGGGCAGGACGGACATGTTGATGGCACTTCCCACCCCAAGAACGGTGCATGTTGCGCTCTGCGCGAGTGGAGAACGGATGGCCCTTTATAGAAAGAAAAATGGGAGAGTTAGCCTGTCTCTTGCATCTCACAGAATTTGAATAACCTACCCATGCAGACAATAGTACTAGCCCATTCTGTCTCAGCTTCCGTAGATATATATAATAGTAAAGGAACTGCTTGATTGAAATTGCGCGTACCCACACACTCACGTAAGCATACAAATAATTGAAATCCACTGTTTAACTTAGTTATATCATCTAAAGTAATTATCAAAGGTTAATATATATATATATATAAACCACCGCTACTTTTATACCAACCTATGACAGAAATGATTATTCCCTTATATCTCACCAACCACTAGATATTTTGAATTGATATTTCATATTTAGATAAACTAGATACTAGGCTATCTAACAATATTAATATTTCTAGAGAAATCCTAGAAATTAGTGATTACTAAGCAAAATGGTGAAGGTTGGATTCGATTTTAGCGGTTCGGTTATGCAACTCTACGTGCATGTAGTTTTATAGTTAAACTTATACTAAATTAGAATAGGTTAGGATAGGTTCTAAGTTCTAAAAGTTAGACTTAAAATTATAGAAGTTCAATGCTAACTATTTTAACTAGATATCGACATTCCCTATATAACTAGATGTTAACCCTATAGAACTCTGCAATTTCTGACCAATCAGAACTTCGGCACCAAATGACTCATCATCCAGTTGTCTACACTGTACGGCTTCTGGAGTAGAATACCTAAATGGTTCAAACCGTTTTCTTAACCTCACATCCTAACATTATCCTCCAAAGTGACCCTTCAATTCCATCGTTAACAAGTTCTTCTCAACAATCTCCTTCTGCCGTTCCACCAACTCCTCGACGGACCAATTCACACTCATATACCGGCCATTCATAAATTGAGCTTCTTCAGTGGCCAGCCAAACCGCTGTCCCGCCAGCCAAGTCAAACGTATCCCTGGACATCCGAATAAATGCAGGCGCAGTAATATTAGTCAGAATCGAACCAGGGTGAAGGGCCGTTGCAACAACATTCGGGTTTAATGCCGCGATGTACCGCTGCATTTGCAGCTCCAGCAGCTTGCACATGCCGTAACTATCTGGCCCGGGTGTGAAAAAGACCCCACCTGCACTTGTAATATTGATGATATACCCAGATGACTTCCCCCCAAGAAGCTTAAGGAACTGCTGAGTTACCATGAGGGTGCCTTTCACCATTACTTCCTGTTTGATTCAATCAGTATAACAGGTTTTATACTCTCAGAAAAAGAGCGTCTTACAAAATCCATCCATATCCTGTCGATTGGGGTACTCCCAATCGGGCCTCCGTTATTGCATCCAGCATTGTTGATCAGTACGTCAGCTTTACCATGGTCGGCTTTGATCTGGTGGAAAAGCTCTGCGACCTGGGACTCATTTTGGATGTCGACAGCTTTAAGTACTACTTCAACGTCCGGATTGAGACTGCAGACCAATTTCTTCGTCTCTTCCAAATTCGCCACACTTCGGCCTGTGAGGTACAAGGTCTTTGAGCCTGCTTTTGCAAATGAAGTAGCGAATGCCTGTGGAACCGTTGGATTAGCGATTGGACATAACAGCTACAAAGAGCCCGGGTAGCCTATATACCTTCTGACCAATCCCCTGGCTTGCGCCCGTAATCACAATGACCTTTCCTTTCTGCGAAAGCTTCTCATTTAGGGGATTGATAGCAGGGTATATATCTCGGTATAGAGCTTTTGTGAATGCGGATTGTTTGACATAGTAGTCATCGGGAAGGTCATCTAAATTGGTCATTTTGTTGTTTGTATGGCTGTGAATGAGATCGTCATATATGATCTTCAAGTGAATTTAACGAACCTGAACAAGAATGTAATTAGAAAGGGCAATGTATTTGTTAATACTATTACATTAGTTGGAGATAAACCTTAAAGTTGTAATGCTAAGCTAATCATCAGGGTCTGATTATGCCATCCAAGATGCTGGGCATGGACCGCGTGTGTAAGCTGATGCCGTCAGTCACAAATGTTCCAGAGAAACAAGCGTCGATAAATGACCTCGGCAGTCTACATCGCATACGGTTGGATTGCTGTTTTCATTCTCCTGCTTGTACTTTGGTGGATGTTACATCATTATTCGGTTCACACTGTAAGCAAACGTGGCTGATGTAAGCCACCCATTGATTCGCCCCACACGCCTTCGGGGGGTGGGCCCGAAGAAGAAAGGCCAAGGCGTTAGGAAAGTTTGCCTCACTTGGCATCCGGTTCAACTCTGCAAAGTGGGGCTTATCACCTGGCAGCTCATAGACTCCAAATGTTCAAACCCATTGCAGAAAACTGTGGGTGTTTATGGATTATCTGAGCCTACGCTTCGTGCTCTTTTTTCTAAAAGACAACCAAAATACGCACTAGTAGTGATTATGTCTGAGCAAGCTGGGACAGTATGGGCAAGTATTACGACAGCTGTAATGCCAGGATACCAAATTACTCTCCTAAAGCACTGGTACGGAAGACGCGCGAGATAATATAGATCTTGACTTATCAGAATGACATTTGCATGGCTAAGACCTGATTTCAGGTTACGGCGATTGAAAAGGTTGCGGGCATGCTCGATTATTCCGCAACACTGCGGCACCACCCCCATGGGTCTTTCTGTGGGGGATATTGTCGCGGCCTTCTCTTCCCCGAGACTGAGATCTTATCTTTGATAGTCTTGATGAGATGGAGAATTAGTTCAATAGCCGGCTTTTTGTACACAATCCGAAACTGACTTTCCAGGGCTGTGAGCTCGTACTTTGCCATTCAGATAGTACCTCGAAATATCTTGTGGCTGGAAGCTGGGCCCTATGCCTTATTGATTGGGCGTCCACCGGCTACGGTTCATGGTTATTTGAGTTCTGTGCGCAACGGGTGATTGAAGGAAAAGACGGAAACTTCTACTAAAGTCGTTGGATGGGCCTCCAACTATTGCTCGATCGAAACTCATTCTCCCAGCCAATCCAAGAAGATAAAGTCATACCAAAGATCATCAAAGAAATTCAATGAATTTTATCCCTGTGCCTTCTTCCCCGATGCCAGAATCCCCACGGGACTGGAATAAACAATGTCAGCGCAAATGGATCTTCCTCGACGAGACCTGCTCCTGTTGCCTCTCCAAGCTCGTCCTTGGGAGCTACAAAAACCAATCGACTTCACAATCGCCTTGTACGAACTTTGTTTAATTTTATGGCCCAGGTCATCTGAGATTGACTAGCATCACAGCTACTGTGGAAGAATACCTGAGAAAAGGGATAATAATCGCAAAACCGCCTTCCCGTTCGCCAAACAATTGAATCCCGCGTTTCCCGCCGAGTCACCAACGCTATGTATTTTAGTCGGAGAAAGGATGCTCCGTCAGTGGTTCATATTGGATAAGACGAAGTGGTTCATATGGTTGCACCAATGGAAATCACAACAGGTCTAAATGCTAATAGGCCCCTAGCTGGCAATTTGTATAGCTCTAATTCATGACTAATATTGCGGGAAATAATAGATCCTGTCTCCGGGTATCCACCTATCTCTGCGTTCTGACAGATGACTTCCCGCCTTGGTAATCGGCCCTACTTCCGCCATACTCCGGGAACCCCGCTCTTCTTCATATAGAGAGGAATGATAGGGCTCACCACAATTCTGTCTGGACAGTACAATCATGCCTAAGAGACTAAACGCCGCAGCTAAGAAAATAAACAGCCAAAATGTCGATAGATGCCAATCGTCTATCACAGACACCCTGAGATCACGAGGGCCAAGTCACCGGCGGCAAATATCTGAACGCAGGCGCGAGCAAAACCGAATAGCGCAGAAGACCTATCGTTAGTTCTCTAATAGACAAGCTGGTTGACTCTTGTCTATACCTTACTTTTAGTCACTGGCCTGGCTGATGTATCTTCAGGAGAAAAGAAGAAGAGCTACCTGCAGCGACTTGAAGTTATTGCCATGGGAGCGAGGACCGCTCCTACACCACCGTCCTCGCATAATGACGAATCAGCGGAACGTATATATCCGAGAAATAATCACAGTCCTGTGAGGGGTCCGGCCTTCAATAATGATATGTGTGCAGGAGGTGGTCTACGCGGACTAAGCCCTCATCCCTGTCCCCTTATCAATCATGAAGTTGGAAACGAACTGGATCTACCTAGTTCTCTATCAGGGTTTCCACAGTATGATCAGATAATGGGTGAATCATTCAATGAATTTGAGCGTGGCGTAGACTTCTCGGTTGAAAATTCGGTATTTCCACCCCCGGCCGATCTCGCTCTAGGGCTTCACTCGGACAACATTTACGCAGGGAGACCAAGCAATGCAGATCAATACATCAGCGGAGCCGCAGAGGACGAATTCCCAAGAAATCACGAGAACAACCAACAGGCTCTGGCACAGTTTGCAGTTCAGGCTCCTTTCAGCCCCAGCAGATTGAGCAATGTATTGTTGTCTGGGGATGGCGTGAGCCGAAAGTACACCCTTGAAGATATCATGGTCGCAGGAATACGCGCCCTTTCAGAGGGAGAAAGCCAGCCAAAGAATGACACACAGCCTAGTAGACAGCCAACAACGGTCGCGGGAACTCGACCAAACCTGGCCACAGCAGCAAGTCCGGAACAGTGCTACACACCGGATATACACCTGAACACGATTCAACTCACCACCATGTCATTTGTCGCAGCATGCTTTGCCAACGCGGCTATGCTTGGACTATCACCGGAAGCTTTGTGGAGCCGAACATCACAGTCACCATTTTATCAGGCCCAGATGGCAGATTATCCATTCGGATCAGCGAGTACGGGACAATTCGCCTATCTCAAGCCCCTGCTTCGACCCTCTAGCACACAAGTTGCCCACCCTCATCATCCATACCTCGACATCCTCCCATTTCCTTCTTTCCGAGATCGAATCATTCAGCTCCTTCAGGTTCAACCCCCGCCATTTGACCCTGATAAGCTCTGTCAGGATTTGAAAAGTGATGGGCTCATTTGTTGGGGTTCGACGAAGAGGGACGGACGGGATAAAGCGGGCTCAGGAGCACCTTGGGACATCCGAAGTTGGGAGATAAAACCATGGTTTTTGAACAAGTGGTGGTTTTTGTTCGATGGGCCGGATGGTGAAATGTATCAACACAGTCGGTGGTGGTCTGAGCTGAGGGGTGAAAAGTCCTCATACCCTTGGTAAAGAGAATATTTTGAGATAATCCAACAAAATACTCCCTTGAATGCATGTATGTACATGCTTGTCATCTACGGATCTGACAGTTTTGCAGGTGGTGCAAGGTCCTAGTTTTGGCACTTATCCTTTATGCTTGTCAAACACTGGGCATTCCAGGATTACATTAGCAATCAAACCTATAATAGTCAGAGTGGCGTACATAATTGGTTGGAAGTCTTCATTCAAAGTAGTCAGGTGAAAAGGGAGCCTTCCATCGAGCAGGCTTAGTACAATTTCTTACAGAATAATACTCGGTACGCTATCTTCCTTTTGATCAGCAAGCAATATCCATCTGATGGGCTTCTCTTAAGTAGTAAACTGGATCTTTTGTTGTTGGTTCTCACAGCTCTGGTGTATCAGCAAATGATTCGTCCCACCTATTGCATCAAATTTGTTAGCACGAAAAGGAAGAATATCTTGAATGATAGAGCACCCACGCAGCATGATATCTTCCACCAGAAACACCGGCAACTTCGACAACACCTCTGATCTTTTCGTTTTCCTCCGGAGTAAGGGTAACAGACAAGGCCAGGATATTGGTATCCAAATTCCTCGGCTTCGTCGTACCTGGAATTGGGATAATATCATCGCCTTGGGCCAAAAGCCACGCAAGTGCCAATGTGCTAACATTAACACCTTTGGATTTAGCCATCGCATCCAAGGCTTCTACAATCTGCAGGTTCTTAGGGAAATTCTCGGGCGAGAACCTCGGTAGGAAACGACGGATATCGCCTTCAGGGAAATCGTTCGGGGACTTCAGTTGCCCTGTCAGGAAACCCCGTCCAAGAGGTGCATAGCAGACTACTGCCACACCGAGTTCGCGGCATGCGGCCAGCAGGCCGTTTTGTTCAATATCGAGACTAAATGGGTTATATTCAATCTGGACAGCGGCGATGTGGTGGATCTTGCACCTGTGGCCCCGCAAAATTGTCAGTTTTAAACGTTGGATTCGCGGTAATTGGTATGAGTTCATTCACTTACGCGCGACGCAGGGTGTTCGCAGAACATTCAGACAATCCCAGGTACTTAATCTTCCCCTCATCTTTCAGCTCAACCATTGCAGCGACTGTCTTCTCAATTGGAGTGACCTTATCCAAGCGATGAATGTAATATAGGTCAACACACTCAAGACCCAGTCTGTGTAGACTGCGTTCACAGGCACCCTTGATATATTCAGGGTCGCTCCTGACCAGAGGATTTCCCGCGTCATCAACACCACCACCACCCTTAGTAGCAAGGAAAATTTCGTCCCGTTTTCCAGTTTTGGCGAACCATTTTCCAAGCAGGTCCTCGCTGTCTCCGTACACATCAGAAGTATCCCAATTAAGTATACCGCTGCTGTAGATGTAATCCAAAAATTGAAGACGCTCTTCGTCGGGTGCTGCGGGCGCATAGTACGCTGAAAGCCCCATGGCACCGTATCCTAGGGCTGTGACTTGAGAGCCATTTTGGCCAAGCTGACGAGAAGGGAGTTTGGGAGCCATGTTGGTTTCGTGATAATGAAAGAAGGAAGATGGGTGATGTGGGATTTAACTATTTCAGTCAGAGTAGCATTGTTGCGGAGGAGAGCTTAACTCTGCAGCAGGGGTCACTCATAAGTACCTCTCCATGCCATGTTTTATGTCTTCATTGTAAAGTTGTGGCCAACATTGATGAACCGCGGATTCGTGAATCCCCTTGCTGAGAAAAGCCTTACGTCTAGGATTATGTCTGGGTGCAGATAGTAGCTTACGAGAGAACATTAACGACTCGGTTAGATAGTTATTTAGTTAACTAATTAGGGGTGGCTTACTTCAGCTCTCTTTGCTTACGGTGGCTGACCAAATCCTAAATTCCTAATGAAACATCCGAGAAATATGAACAGGAAATTACCGCTCCATTTTCTCAACAAATTCACTGCCTACCTTATGGTGCCATATAACATAATGCCCAAACTGGTCATATAAACAGGCATTATATTAGATTTACTTGCCTAACTATATTTTCATGAAACCCAATTGAATTTGAGTTTTGATAGGTACCAACCCGTCTTACTCTGCTTGGTGGTTATTATTATACGTGCAGTATGTGGCAGTTGCCTATTAGGTATATCCTGATATAAAAGTTCGAGTTCTTGTTACTAATGAGCTCCCAGCATTTAGTCCCATAACTGAAGACCAACTGAAGTGTCCAGCATGGTCACCGTTGCAGTGGCCGGTGGGGGGAGCGGAATAGGGTCAGACATTGTCCAAGCGATCCTTGACGCAAAGAAACACGACGTGGTTGTTCTTTCACGGTCAATCCAGCCTCACCTGTCATCACAGGGAGTTGATGTCCGCGTTGTTGATTATGGATCAGTCAAAGGTGTCAGCAAGTCACTGAGAGGAGTACACACAGTGATAAGCTGCATTGCTGCATATGGGAGTAACTCGACCACCTCCGAGCTAGTCCTCTTGGAAGCAGCGAAACAAGCGGGTGTGGCTCGTTTTGTGCCGTCGGAATGGAACAGTGATTGCCATGATGTTGTCGATCTCTACTCCGGCAAGAGTATTGTTTGGGAAGCTGTCCAATCTTCAGGGCTGGAATATACTCGGTTCATGAATGGTCTCTGGATAAACGTATTCGGTCCCGGCTGCATCAGGGACGAAAGGGAAGCTCTTGGGGGTTACAAAGGACGCCCACCGTTTGCTATTGACTTAAAAGCTGGCACGGCGATAATACCAGGTGATGCATCTCAGGCTGTGGTAATCACGAAAACACAAGACGTTGGCCGGTTCGTGGCTGCTGCCCTGGATCTACCTAAGTGGGAACCCGAGAGTAGGATTGTTGGCGACAAGCTTACTTTAACCGAGGTTGTTGAGTTGGGGAAAGTGATTTGTGGAAGAGACCTTCACATCAAGGTCATGTCAATTGAGAATCTTGAAGGACTTCTGCATGGTAACATGAGCAGTGGTGAAAGATTCTATTATCAACTCCTTTTGGCCATTGCCAAAGGCCGGATGGACTTCGAGCCTACTTTGAATGACCTCTGTCCCGATATCAAACCTATTACTGTCAAGGAGTATCTCAGAAGGCATTGGACCAATGACTAGCGATCTGTGTGCAGACCCGGCTTTTCAGCAGGTGCATAACATTGCATTCAGTCATTATTTAATACAAGTAGTCCAGAAGGTGTTACCAGGATTCAAAGTTGATTGTAAACAAGTTGAATCCAGACTGTATTGGTGCAGCAAACATGACTGCTCCAAAAGTTAATTCCATAATATATACCTCAGGAAACACGAATTATGAGTCAACGAATGCCTAGGAATCTGAAGCATCTGCCGGATGACAAACACTAGGACAGTCTTCCAAAGTCATAAACCAAGACAAACATTGATATCGCATAACTTCATATCTCTGTATGATTTCTTAAAAAGTGGCGAATACTGGCTACCCAGGTAACAAAAGCCAGTTAGCAAAACAGCACAGCCAAACATGTTTCATGGTCCTACAGTTGTCTTGCTTATAGCACATCCTACTGTGCCATATAATGGTTGTGACATAACTGAATTTTTCTAGATGTGGTTTTCATTATCAAATCTCACTATCTTGCTGGTTATCAACAGCAGTCCGTGCTCATTGAATTGGGTCGAAAAACTCTCCTGAGAAGGCAGTTGATTCTGGAGATGAAGAAGTCGAGCTAATCCTGACAAGCATCTAGTGCGGTAGATAACGACCATGTCCATAGTCAGGCTGATTTTTTCTGTCCTTATTGTAAAGCATTTTTTGTTTAGTTGAAAAAAGACTAGTTCGAAACAAAATAATTTGCTGCCACAATGTCTCCCAACCCTAACTGTTTCACCATTGCATCCACATCAAATCTCATTCGCTGCATTATGCCCATTGGTTTTTCCTTCAAACCAAGGGGAATATTTGAATTGGGATTTTGGTTATAGAGGAAGAATACATAACGATGCGGTACGGCAGCAGGGGGCGGACTGGCAGCAGTCCATGGCGCAATTGCAGGCTCGTCGCTTTTGAGCTCCTGATCCGGATGCGTAATTTTGAAGCCAGTTTGAATCCAGTGAGCAACGGGGCTGAGAACATTCCACGAGATGAACGGCGCGTCCAGGTCGATGCAGATGATTGTGTAGGCGCCTGGGGGGAGGTCAAGAGGTGCCACGAGAGTCGGGGTAGGGTGGGTGTCTTTTGGGTGATTAACCAACTATCATCATGGCTTGAATCGCTTGCTCTGAGGCTCTCATACCTTTCTTGTCAATTTTTTCCCCTGGAGTAACTCTGTGCGAGCCAAGGCTCACGCCAAGTGTGCTATAGATGCCGTTCCTGAGGCCCAGGAGGACCGTCTCGTGGTGGGAAACGTCAGGCATTCTGAGTACCACTTGTAGATATCGAGTGTCTGAGATCAAAGAGAGGAAATAGACAGATGTGAAAGCTTCTTGATAATTTTGTTGGGGCAAGCGATCAGCTCCCGGTTCCGGCCCCGAGAGCGGCTCAGATTTGACAGGATTGTACAAAGCTACAACGACCTTATGATGGCGATATCCCTGTATATCCTTCCTGGCCAGTACCCTGGCCACCTTCTCTTTCGTTTGGTGGCTGTGTTCGGGACATCCATTTGTAGAAAGTCAAAAGGATTTCTCCATGTTATAAAGATCACCACCTCAGGCTACGTTGCCCATCTCAATCAATCCATTCTTTCTCTCCCAGCCTAGTTCTACCATTCGTTTCTCCATTGATTGAGCCCTTCTGATCGGCTGAGCCTGATTTGCCATTGCGCTTTCATTCACTACAAAGCATGCGGTGAGCAATTTTGGTTTAATATGGAAGTCTGTGGCATATCAAAAAAGGGTGGATAGATTTTGAGAAAGGCTGATTTGTCCTTTTCCAACGCCATCCACCTTTAATCCGTCAGAAATTTTGAAATGTGGCTCTTGGTCTGCGGTATCTTCACCTGCACCGGCAAGCATGGACCGATCATTGTGGGCAACGTGAACTGGTAAGCGATTCTGGGACTAGACCGGCATGGCATAGAGATTAATCTAGACTCATCACCGTCCGCCCCACCTCCCAGAAAGGTCGCTACATCGGACATTGACGTGATTATTAGATCTGACCATTTATGACGCTGGAACGCGAACATACATAATTCAAACATATGAGAACTTCCATGCAGCGTTGAATACCTTTTTGTTGTTGAGGGAACGGCTTCTTCCGGAGCTGCTATCAGGCCCGTAACTCCGTACTCCCTGTCCTAATTTCAGGATGATTCGATCATCAAAGTCCTAATCCCCAAGGAGTCGACGATGACTACGCTCACAGCTCACGGCATTCAGAAAACGAAATGCTGTAGTAAAATTTGAGTTTAATGGCTCACGTCAGCCAGATCTCCCGAGTTGCGTCTCCCAATCATTGCACGTGTATTTGACGAATTCGATTACGTTCATGTCAGCAATTTTGCACTAGGAACGTACATAATTACTCTTCATCCCCACTCGATCCACATTTGGTATGTCTCAGAATTACAGAAACTATCTTGTCGCCACTCAAGTCTATGAAGAGGGAAACGCTCAACCAAAAAGGGAAAAGAGGCTGCTGCAGGAAGCATGTGTTCTACGCCTTGTATCTAATACCAATCTAACCACTGGCTATAGAATAACATCGTATTCAGCCACATGATTGGTTAAGTTGAGCAGAGATCTCCCCTACACCAGCTGCTGGATTAACTAACCGGCAGAGACAGATACAGACCAATTATTGTTTGATATTTCGAAGTCTCTCGGTATCACTAGTGCCTCTTTTTCCAAACCAGCTATGCTCTAGTTTCGTTGTAGCTGCACAACTCACGTTGATGTAGTGGCTAAGTCATAAAACAAATCACTCAGCACTTCCTGATGTTAGGAATCAGCCTGTAGTATTGTGCCGGTTTTAATATCCACCACGTAGACCAGGAACTGTACCTCATCCTCCAATTTCAAATGTTTATAACAAATAGGAACCAGTTCTAATTCCGTAGGCCACTGTCTATTGAAAGTTTTCGTCAATATTTATGATTGGAGTAAAACTTTGAAGGGAAAGGTCCCGAGTAAGCAGACTGCAGATTTGTTTCAATTGATATTAACCGAGGATTATCATCTACCAGAACTTGGCAAGGTGAAGAGCGCCTCCCACTTGGACAAATCTGGTTAGGTCAGTGTCATAAATGTTCAACATTTTACGCCAGGCTGACAGTGGACGAAGCTAATTATGTCTGAGTCTTGTTCCGTCCTAAACAGTTAACGCCTTAACTCAAGATCCTTTCCACAAGAGTCAACATTCTATTAGGTCAGCCGAGCTGATCCTCCCCCAGAAAGAGTCAAATACATGTGACTGTTTTTATCGTTCATCGATCAACCACGATTAGAAGGTTTTCTAATCAAATTACCTTATAGTAGTCCTATCATGTTCCATTACCTGGCGGTTCGTTATGTTAATTATTGAATTCAATAATAATGTGTTCAAATTGATTCCTGGACAGTCAAGAGCATTTGACTCCTACTGTCAGACCAATTGTGCCCTCGCTAGGAATCTAACTGGTATGGAGGAATTCGCTATTTATAAGACACCTACCTCCCACATAAAAAGTCCTCAAGGCAAAATCCCTTCTCTTTTCCTTATATCTCCTACCTCTAGTACACAATGGCATCCGTTGCTTTAATTGGGTGCACCGGTATGGTGGGTACTCATATTGTCAGCACCCTCCTCGCTAATCCCTCTATCTCGCACATTGTCACCCTCTCTCGACGACCCCCCCAAGCAGCATCTACCGCTCCACAGACGAAACTCACGGCCTTCATCTCAGATGATACCTCACTCTGGACGCCTCACCTGGCCTCTGTGTCTCCGCCACCCGCGATCTTTATTTCTTCCTTTGGTACCACTCGAGCCTCTGCTGGTGGATTCGATAACCTGTACAAGGTCGAACATGGCGTGAACATAGAGACGGCGATCGCCGCCAAGAAAATGGGAGTTAAAGCCTACGTGCTGGTTTCATCTGTTGGTGCTACTAAGACCTCATCCTTCCCCTACTCCCGAATGAAGGGTGAGATAGAGGAAGATGTCAAAGCCTTGAATTTCGATCGGACGATTATCCTTCGCCCTGGTATAATTTCCGGCACTAGAGGAGAGAGCAGGCCCGTGGAAGCCGTGCTCCGCTTCTTCGCCGGAATTGCTGGAAAGGTCCATTCGATCCTGAAAGACAGCTGGCCTCAAGATGCGGATGTGATCGCTAGGGCCGCTGTGAACGCAGGACTCAAGGCTGTCGACGGTGAAGTGGAGGGCAGTGACATCATTCACCAGGGAAAACTATAGGCATTTTGAGGAACTTCGCTTTTGCCAAGGATTCCATCATATCTACTATCTATACCACAAAAACCTTTACGGCCACAAGGAACCTCTCACAGGTCCTTAGGTATTGTCCAATAATTTGGTGCTGCTCTATGGGTATTTAACATGGTATCTCGCCTTCCACTCTTTTACTTCTTCAACCAAGTCATTCATTCAATCCCTACTAATACAGTCTCCTACAGATGGCTCTTTGCCTCGGTAATCCCGCCAGCCGCCAACAAACGCCGTCCCTCGGCACGCTGCCAGTCCAGCTTCGCGATAATGGCATCCTTACGGGCACGGTTCTCGCGACGGCCGAGCTGCAGCAGATGGACCTCGTCCGGCCCATCAGCAATGCGCAACGCGCGGCTCATGGCCCACATGTGAGCAAGCGGGGTATCCTGGCAAATACCAGCCGCGCCATAGGACTGAATTGCACGGTCGATAACGGCTAGGGCAGTCTGGGGCACGAGGATCTTGGCCTGGGCGATCTCCTTGAGAGCAGACTTGGGGTCTCCCTGATCGATCTTGATGGCAGCATTAAGGACGATGAGGCGGGCGGCGTCGATCTCGATGCGCGAGCGGGCAACCCACTCGAGGATAACGCCGTGAGCTGACAGGTTCTGACCGAAGGTCTTCCTACTGTCGTCGTTGATCCGAGCAATCAGCCACTCGAGGGCCTTTTCTGCGGCACCAATAGTTCGCATGGCGATATGGATGCGGCCAGGGCCTAGGCGGCCCTGGATAATCTCGAAGCCGCGGCCCTCGCCTAGCAGTATGGCGGAGGCAGGGACGCGCACGTTCACAAATGTGATATGGCCGTGGCCATGCGGAGCATCATCGTAACCATAGACAGACAACATGCGATGCACAGTGATGCCGGCGGTGTTGGCGGGAACGAGGATGACGGAATGCTGGCGGTATGAGTCCTGCTGGGAAAGATCAGATTTACCCATCACGAGGTAGACCTGGCAGCGGGGGTCACCAGCGCCGGAGGACCACCACTTCTGCCACGTTCTATTAGTATAGGTATAAATATATATACGGGTATAGGATAGATGAACATACAGATCCATTCAGCACATACTCGTTGCCCTCCCTGCGGATGTTTAACTGGATGTTGGTGGCATCACTCGAGGCAACCTCCGGTTCAGTCATGAGGAATGCTGAGCGGATCTTGCCCTCCAGCAAAGGCACCAACCATTCTCGCTTCTGGGCTTCATTGCCGTACATTGCTAGTACCTCCATGTTACCAGTGTCAGGGGCGGCATTATTGGTTGCCTGGCTTGACGATCAGCCTTATCTGTATTCTGGGAGAAGGGGCTGGTCCGAATGACCCACTTCAGAGGCCAGTTTGCTCTTGCCTAGGTATTCAGCCATTAAACCATACTCGAGGTTGGTGAAGCCAGCGCCCTGAGAGAAGCGGTTCCTGGGCAGGAACATGTTCCACAGGCCGAGGGAGCGGGCCTTAGCTTTGAGTGTGTCCATGACGACTGGGTTGGTGGTCCAACGTTGCTCACCCTGCCCGAGTTGGGCCCGAAATATGGGCTCGGCCGGGATACAGTCTCTTTCGACAAATTGTTCGACCTGATAGAGTTATTATACTAGAAAATGGGTGAAATAGAGACAAGAATACCAGGTCGAGGGTCTTTTTGGCCCGTTCGCTGACAAAGGGCTGAACAATTAGAGGTATATGAGATGAGGCAGGCATTGTTATCAAGGTAAGGGTGATAAATAGGTAGTCTAGAGAAAGGCGTGGGAGAGAGAGAAAGGGAATGAGGAAGAGAACATGCAATTAGTATTACTGAAGATGTTATAACGTCTGAACTGCCGAGGAAATATGGGGGTTCTGAGGGGTGTCTCGGTAACCAATGTTGGGCCTCGGCTGAATGATCAATGTACCTTTTTGTCTAGCATGTATCGGATTTAGAAGCCTCCTAGCTCTATAGCATGGGCAGTAGCCTATTTCATGGCATATGTCCTAGCCATATGTTCGTGGTACCTTATTTCTTTCTATCATATTCGATCACGCGATTGTCTTATACCTGAAGTTTGTCACGTTAGCCATAGTGCACAAGTCATCCGTCGTCCTTCGAACTTTTGTTTTGCTTCTCTGACTTGTGTTTTTCTACGCTACATGGATGAGTATAGTGGCGAGGGGCTATATACAAGTGTGAAGTTATCTTGCCCGTGCCACGCGATGCGGGATGGACATAAGACGCTACTCTGGCCAATATAGCGACCTCTCTTTGAGTTTCATGAACTGTCTGGTGAATGCTAGTTTTCACTGCTGTCTGTAAGTCATTGAAATAAAGACCACACCCTCTTGGGAGCCTATGAGATGTGATTCATCGATGGCCATGAGAGCTACTATTCGGCCGAATTTGCCTAATTTTGCATGAAGAATACTATCACTATCTGTAGGCAGACTTACTTAATTTTACCTTTTTTAAAGCTACTCAATAGCCTGAATTAGATGATTACCCTGCACACTGTTTCCTTCCACCCGCAGGATCAACATGCTACCTAAAAATACATTAGGACTTCTCCACGATACGGATTCGATGCGGAATAAAGATAAAGGGAATATGAGGAGGCCGTATTAAAAGTATTACATAGAAAATAAAATGCTTTTGGTTATTTTCATAAAATAGGCAAGCTGAGGCACCCTTTAAGCAGGAAGCTGTGTACAAATCAAGTGGTGAACCCATTCTATGCCAGTCGTATTCCGCACAGGGGTGAACCATGCCTGAACTTTCTCAGAATCCTGGCACAGGGTTTTTTAGCGGGCATATGTTTTTGGAAAGCTTATCAACTACGTTATAACTATGTTAAAGAATATACCAATCCAGCGCTTTGCAACGTTTGGATTGTAACTCATGTTGATTTGCTTTGATTCTACCCTCTCAGGTAAGTCACCGCCATGATAAAATGATCTGCTCAGCCAACTAAACAAATGTCCTTCGTCCACGAGGACAGTGGTGTGTCCATGTCAGTGTCCAGTTTCCGAAAAATTCTAACTAGTCCGTCGACCATGGCACGAGCTGTCTCCACGGCCATGATGTGAGTATTGCTCGCGAGCTCGACGAGGAACGTATCGCCTTGGGTGTACGAGACCATGTGTATGGACATGGGCACGAGATGAGGGTTCTGGAAAAACTGCACACGCGATGCACCGCCACCAGGAACTCGAATATCCGGGTGCTCGTCAATGTTCTGGTGTTGGATTGTCGACTCAAAAAAGGCTGACCCTGCGGAGGCGGGCCAGTCGGTGCAGTTCTGTATGATCTCCTTGTAGCCAAGGGAGTCTGCTTCCCCGACGGCGAGGAACTGCTCCTGAACGGATCGCAGCAGGCCAGCTGGTGTCTGAGATGGCGATGTGAGCTGCTTCACTCGTACGGGGATATAGTCAAGACAGCACCCGACAATCTCCTCGACGCCTGGAATTGCCGAGTTGCGGCCTGCCACCAGGTGTCCGTAGACGACGTCGTCTTGGCCAGTCAAGTGTGATAGGAGCAGCGCCCATGCAGCACTTGCTAGAGTTGCTGGAGTGATCTTGTTCGGAAGGCGGGGGAGCTTTGTCTCTGCGCGAAGATGAATTGCCTTTAGCTGCGGCTTCTCGAGAACTCTCTGCGCAAGAAGATGTTTGCGTAGACCAGTCGGGCGTGACCCTCGTAGCAGCTCTGTCCAGTAAGACAGCGACTGGGAGCGTCGACGGGAGGCATACGACAGGAACGTGGAGAACGTCGGGGGCGCAGGGTTTGCCACATTATTGCCGTTCAGGAACGACTGAACAATGGTAGGGAGGCAAATGCCGTCATACTGGGCATGGGAGATGCGAATCACTAGACGCATGCCGTGCCCCTTGCGTCTAAGGAGCACTACAGCGAGAGGAGGTTGAGTCGGGGAGACCGTGTGAGCATCACCGAGGCAGAAGTCGCGGAGGGCTACGTCAAGATCCTCACTGACATCCTGCACGCGGAAAGGATGCTTGATTTGATTGAGCACGACCTGCCAGAGCTTCCCCTGAAGCCACAGGAAACAAGCACGAAGGATGGGAAACCTGTCTAGAGTCTGAGTGCAGGCCGCCTCCAAATGAGAGACGTCGGCATCGGCGCCCAAATCCAGGTACATGTAGTTCGCAAAGCGTCCGCAAGTCGTCGCATCAACAGCGTTGTGTCCTTTGACGCAGGATACGGGATAAATTCCCTCTACGAAGCACCTTTCCTGGACGCTGGTTACAGGCCGAATGGCTGCAACGTCTTCAGAGCGGAGCCCTAGGCCCATGGAGTCGACCTCCTCCAGGAGATCTTTCCTTGTACAGGAATCAACGAGCACCGCCTCGTCAGGTTGCCTAACGATCTCTGCCCCATCCAGAGCCTGCCCACGCACCAACGCTGCCAGGGTTTCGTGGCGGAAAACGTCTGCCACCGTCACATTCATGCGAACCTTGCGAGCCTCGCTGACGAGCCGCATCGACAAAATAGAGTCGCCACCCAGGCGGAAGAAGCTATCGTCCAAGCCAATCATGTTTGCACCAATATTCAAGACCTTGGCCCAGATATTCTGCATCATCCTCTCTTCTTCGCAGGTAGGTTGCCGCTTGGCCCCGCGTCCAGCTCTCCGCACTTCAGCGAGCTGCTCGATGGTAAACTGGGCTCCTATGTGCCGCAGCCGTCGCCGGTCAGTTTTGCCTGTCGCCGTCATTGGGAGCCTGGACAGGGAGAAGAGAACCGATGGTATCATGTAGGCTGGCAGATGTTCGGCCAGCTTGCCCTCCACCTCCGGTGGGACAGGAAGGATCTTTACGGTAGCACCAAGCTCGTCTCGCTCTGTTGGCTTGTCATTGAGTTGGAGGAATATAACAAGCAGCGAGCTATCCCCTTGCAGCTTAAGGACATCGGCCACGACGTGGGTTGCCTCTGGCATGTACTTCTGGACCCAGTGCTGGACCTCCCCTAGTTCAACCCTCTGCCCGCGGACCTTGACTTGAGTATCCTGCTTGCGGCCGATAAACACCAGGTCGCCATTTGCATTATACCGTACCAAGTCGCCTGTCTTGTAGAGTCTGCCTTGTCGGCCTGAGTGCTTGCCTGGGGAACCCGCGAGCAGCCATGCAGGGTCCTCGATGAACGCTGCATCAGTCTTGTCCTTGTCACCTAGGTAGCCGAGACCAACCAGGGGCCCCTCAACGAGGAGCTCGCCAATGCATCCGGGCGGCAGCAGCAAGTCATGGTTTTCGGGGTCAACAACCCAAGTAACTATCCCGGCTCCTTTGCCTATAAGTGTGGCCTCCTCGGCGCAAGATTGCCGCCAGTTTATGGTGCTGAAGTTGCATTCAGCAGGTCCGTAGGCATTCACAAGACTTGCCTTGCGCCACCATCGTTTCGCGTCATCAATGGAGACTGCCTCTCCAGCCAGAATTATGGTCTCGATTTCAGGCACCGTAGCTGGATCTATGAGACGCGCCACTGACGGTGTCAGATCGACAAGCGTGGCCTTGAAATCCGCCATGGACCCGCTGATGTTATCCCACAGATCCTTCTCTGCTGGGATACACAAGCATCCTCCTGTAGCGAGTGTGGCGAAGAGGTTGTGAACTGAGATGTCAAAGGCGTACGATGCAAAGTCGAATACTCGGGAACGTTCGTTGAAGCCAAGGAGGTGCGACTGGTGCCTCAAGGCCGAACAGAAATTGCGATGTGATAGTACCACGCCCTTCGGCGTGCCTGTGCTTCCTGATGTGAAGACAGCATACATTGGCGCGGACGGGGTCTCAGTGCGCAGAGTCTGCTCCTCCGTGGTGGTGCACTCGAGGACACCAGGCGACTCCGGTCCAACCTCGACAACAGTCTGCAACAACCTCGAACTGAGATCCAAATTCGAGGATGAAGACAAGATGACCCCTGCTTCTAGCTGCTGGACAATAGACCGGAGACGCTGCTCAGGAAGTGAGGGACTGAGCAGTGCAAACCCGGCACCAGTCTTGAGTACGCTGAGCGCAGCGACAGGCGTCCATACGGACTTTTCAAAGCATAAGGGAACCAGAGCGCCAGGTCCAACCCCCATGGACGCGAGGTGTCGCGCAAGACGATCTGCAAGCCTGTCGAGCTCCTTGTACGTCAGCTCGCCGTCCCACGCAGAGACAGCTGCTGCATCGGGTCGCCGTCTGGCTTGCTCTTCGACGAGACTGTGGACAAGCGTCTCCTCTGCCCTGGGCACCTCTGAATTCCAAGCCCACAGCTGCTCCAAGTCATCACCCGGTAAAAGGTTTACACTGCTGACTTTTAGGTCAGGATCGCTGATGAGCGAGAGCACAGTGGCTCCCAGGGCTCTCGCCACCCGCTCAGCCTCGTCGCTTGCTATAAAGCCAGGTTTGAAACTCAGCTCAATGGACACGTCCGTACCGTTATCACGGACGCTCAGGGAAATGGGGTACTAGAAGTGATGACTGTTAGCATTGATCGTATTTTCCCCCTTTTAGCGCAGTTCATGGTACTGGATATATCTACCTCTACTGGATCGTACCCGCCTCGCTCCTGTATGGTATGTCCATCCGCGGATTGACTGGGCTGCTGGATATCTCGTTGGAAGCTCAGGATGCTGTTAAACAGTCCCGGTGAGCCTACGTGAAGGGCTTCGTGAATTTCCATTAGCGGAGTCTGATGTGATAGGCTGTTGACAAAACCTGTTTGCGCTTCCCGCAGCGTCGCAACGACCGACTGATCTCCGCGAAGGTGCACCCGATAGGGTATCATGTTAATAACAGGCCCAAACATATCCCCAACCCTGTCAACAGGCACGTGGCGACCAGATGCCAGGTTTCCAAAGCAGGGGGATGCGCTGCCCGTGTAGTGATGCAGCACGAGGGCCCATGCGGTCTGGATGACCGAAGCTGCTGTGACTTCCCACTTGGAACAGAAGTCATGGATCCCAGATGCGTCAAGCCCCGGCACCGCGACTATGAAGTCCCGTGTTTGCTCGCTTGCTGCTGCTTCTGGGCCCGGAAAGAGGCATGGTTGCACACCGTCCAGGTACTTGACCCAGAATTCCCGATCAGCATCCCGTGGCCGTGTCTCGACGTATCTGATAAAGTCGCCGTACAACGGACCATCCGACGTAAGTGGCCCATCGTATGCTTGCCAGAAATCGTGAAGCAATACGCCCGTGGAGTGTCCATCCAGAATGGCATGGCTCAGCTCGAAGCAGAGATGGACGTGCTTTTCGTCGATCCTCGAGAGCGACAAGCGGTGCTGGGGGTCATACTTTCCATACTTCATGCCCAGCTCGTGGTCTCCGTTGGGCMCACGGTCATAGGAAATACTGGGTGTAAAATCTTTCAGGATAACGTGCATTGTCCTGCTGGTTCCAGGCATGATGTCCACCAGCACAGCACGCAGGAGCGCGTGTCGCCGCACGACGGCCMCCCAAGCCCGCTCAATCCTCGATAGGTCAACACAGTCGCCAGGGGCCTGGGTGGCTGCGATTTCAAAACTGAGCATGACCCGATAATCGCTGAAGGACTTGCCTTGGGCGACGAGCAGACCCTCTTGCAAGCCGCTGCAGGGGTAGATGTCCTCGATTTCTTGCACACTCGTGATGCCTAGTTGGGGCATCACGACGGACTGGAACTCGTGCATGTCCGCGTAGGACGTGAAAGCCATGGGAAAGTCGGATAGGGTCCATTCCGCCGGCCTGTCCTTCAGTAGCGTACTCAGGTGCGTCAACGTAGCTTCATACGTCTCCATCCAAGCCTCGATCAGATCGCTGTGGTGCATGCCGTTGGGATACTCGAGAGACATGGCGAGTCGACCTTTATCCATGTGGCCGTTGAATTCGAAGAGTGCGAGACGGCGCAGGTTCGACCAGGACTCAGGAGAGGGGCACTCTGCTGTCGAAAGACTCTGGAAGAATGAGCCTTCTCGTTCGAGCTGCTGGTAAGAGCCAGCAAAGTTGAGCAAGACCTCGACGGGGAAGGCGGCAGCACTAGTTGCAGCCTTGGTCTCATCTGCGAACTTGGACGTGAAGTATGACCATCCGTTCTTCGGCAGGCTCCTGACAGAGTCCTTAGCATGACGTACAGCGTCCAGCAATTCCACAGCTGCTGTTCTACTTGGCGTGAACGCAGGGAAGATGGTGGTGAACCATCCCACCGTGCGAGAGAGGTCAATGCGGTCATCCCATGGCTCGCGGCCATGGCCCTCATTGAATACTGTGGGCGGAGGCCGGTCCACGAAGACGACGGAGAAGGAATGAACGAGAGCTGCGATCATGAGCTCGACCGGTCGTGTGCCAAATGCCTCGTTGCAGGGGCCCATAATCGCGGCGCTGGACGCCTCATCGAGCACAAACTGTCTTGATGCAGTTGCTCCGTGGACATTTTCTCGCATATCCAAGCCCCAGTACGAGGAGGTGGACGGCGGCCGGACTGGACTTGATGCCGCTTCCTGGGGATCAAGGTATTCAGCTGCATATTGTGCTTGGAGGGAGCACCACGTCCGGAAGCTGGTCGCAGGAGCTGGGGGCAGTTGGTGTCCAGTCAGAAGCACCTCGAACTCGTCGAGTAGGATGCGCCAGGAGACGAGATCGATGACCAGGTGATGTGCTGCAATAAACAGGCTTTGGCCTTCGGCGTCGTCGAACAGCACGGCCGCGAGAAGAGGGCCGGTCTGAATGTTGAGCCTTTCGCGACATCGACGCATATCGCCCGCCTTCGTCGACCCAGTGGTGGACGCTGTGCCCAGCACCTGGCAAAGATGGAACGAGGTATGTATATCGTCCACAACGCGCTGCTTCCACCGACCCGGACTTGTCTGGGCGAAGCGAACCCGGAGCATGGGATGCCTCGCGACAATCGTCTCAATAGCCTTTGCCAAACTGGTCAGGGAGATGCGCTCGCGCGGCTTCAGCAAAAAGCTCTGGTCGAAACACCACCTTGGATCTGGCTGTATCGCTACATAAAGATGCTGGATGGGGCTCATGCCGAAGGGCTGGCCGTCCTCCTCGGCGCCAGCAGTATCCTCGTCGAGCAACTGGTGCTGTGATGCGGAGGCAGATGCCGCCAGCATGGAGATGGTCTTGCTGCGCATGATGTCCGCTGTTGAGATGGCCATGTTGAACCGCCGCGCAGCTGCTGATGCCTGCATCGCTGTGATGGAGTCGCCACCCAGGTGCAAGAAACTGTCGTCCACGCCAATGCTAGCGGCATCGATGCTGAGCACGCGAGCCCATATCTGTTGAAGGACACGTTCCGTCTCGGTAGCCGGGGCACGCTTGTTGTCGCTGAGGGAGGACGCGTTTCGCAGGTCGACAAGCTGCTGGACGGTGAAGCTGGAGCCAATCTCCCGCAGGCGACGCCGATCTAGCTTTCCAGAGCTGTTGAGGGGAAGGTTGTTGAGCGAGAAGTATGCGGTGGGAACCATGTAGGCCGGCAGACGCTTCGAAATCTCACGGTCGACGTCGGCCGGAATGCTCATGACTTGGGCCGCTGGAGGCGAGCCTCCTTCATTGTCAACCACAAGGAATGCCGCCAGTGTTGGTCTTTCGTGGCCTTCGCCATCAGTAGGCACAATCACCTCGGCAGCCACCTGTCTGGCCGATGGGAAGCAGGCATGGACATAGTGTTCCACCTCTCCCAGCTCGACTCTTTGTCCGCGGATCTTGACCTGTGTGGCATCCTGGCGTCCGACAAAGACCAGGCTGCCGTCGGGGCTGTACCGCACCAGATCGCCCGTCTTGTAGAGGCGCCCTTGACGGCCGGCGTGGCCCGGGGCGCCGCGCTGAAGCCAGGCTGGATCCCGGATGAAGGCCGCCGCGGTCTTTTCGGCATTGCCGAGATAGCCAGAGCCGACCAGGGGACCCTCGAGCACCAACTCGCCAACATCGCCGATGGGGGCCAGGTGGTTGTCGTTGGAGACCTGTACTACCCATGTGTTGACGCCGACACCACTGCCTATGCTAGATGCGACGACACTGTCCTGGTCGATGGCTGCGGCGGTGGTGATAGGAGTGCATTCGCAGGGGCCGTACCCGTTTCTCACCTGGGTCAACCCAGCCCACCGTCTTGCGGACTGGGATGGCAGCGCCTCGCCAGCTAGCATCAGCGTCTGCAGCTGCCGAACCGTCTCGGAGGGGAGAAGGCGCGCGGTTGACGGGGTCAAGATGGCAAACGTGGCCCGTAGTCGGTGGATGGATCCCGCAAGGTCATCCCTTCGATCAGCCTCGGAGGGAATGCATAGGCATGCCCCGTTCGTCAGGGACTGCAGGACGTTGAACCAGGAAATGTCAAACGCGTATGAGACGAAGTCGTATACCCTCGCCGTGTGCTCGATCCTGGTGACACTCGAGGCACGCACATGCTGGATGGCCGAGCTGAAATTGGAATGCGTAATGACAGCCCCCTTGGGCACCCCAGTGCTACCGGACGTGAAGGCGACGTAGAGCCTGTCCGATGGAGTCACCGGTAGAAGTTCCCCGCCTGCATTTGTCCGGCTCAGTGTGTCTAGGAGGCTCTCGTCGACTACGACAACCGGCTGGCTGCTCAAGCGACTCGCCAACTCGCGGTTGGCTGACGATGACAGCACAAGCACCAGTTCAGGCTCCGTCTGTTGCACGACTGTACGAAGACGCTCCTCTGGCTGGGTCGAGTCCATGGCCACTGACGCTCCCCCAGCCTTCATCACCGCCAGCACCGCGACTGGTGTCCAGCGGGACTTCTCAAAGCAGAGAGGCACAAGCCCTCCTGGTCTAACACCAAGGCCAGCTAGATAATGTGCTAGCCGCGTCGACGCTTCGTCAAGCTGACCATATGTCCACTCCCCGTCCCACGCACACACGGCAGGAGCCCTGGGCTGGGATTGAGCCCGCTGCTCAAACATGTGATGGACACACTGCTGTGTGGCTGCTGGAACTGCCTGGTTCCATCTCCAGATCTGCTGCAGGTCCTCAGGCGTTGTTGTTTCGACCCCTGAAAGGGACAGCTCTGGACTTGCCCGAGCTAGCTGGGAGACCACATGCCCCAACCGCCTCAGTAGCTTTCCTACCAGCCATGGATCTATCATCCTGGAGTCGAACGAAGCTGCGACGCTTGCCTGGTCCACCCCGAGTTGCACGATAAGCATCAGGCCGTATGAATCAAAGCGGCTTCCTCGATCCAGATCGTTCCTCCACCTACCAAACACGTCCGAGGTTCCACTGGCATCCGGCGGCTGCACAACGAGCAGGGTCTGGAACATGCATGCTTGTCGTGCTCCAGGGCTGACTTGGGCAAGTCTGTGCAGGCCTATCTGCTCATAGGGAATCATGCTCATTGCCTGTTCTTGGACCACATTCAGGTAATGCGCAGCCCTGTCACTGCTGTCCCACTTAATGCGTACGGGGACCGTTGCAAAGGTCGGGCCTGTCATCATCTCGATGCCCGCAAGCGGTGCGTTTCTTCCAAATAGTGTGACGCCAAAGACGACGTCATCCGTACTGTTCATCCGACCAACAAGCAAGGCCCACGCAGCGCGTATAATTATGGGCGGCGTAACGCCCAGATGATTGCTCTGAGGCAGTGAGAAGGAATGCTCAATGAATCCATCTGCCGTGGGCTGCTCAATGTGCGGTGGGAGACTGGGGAAGGGCGTACACTGGCAGTCATCGTAAACATGGCGCCAGTAGTTCTTCATCGTCTCCTCGTCTTGCTCCGTGACATATTTGATGAAAGCTTGGAACTGCGGCCCCTGTTCGACTGGCTCATCGCGCGCGATACTGTTCACAGCGTTCAAGACGAGGGGCATCGACCACCCGTCGTAGATCGCGTGGTGTGTAGTCCACACAAACCACTTGGGGGTTCCCGTGCCATCTTTGACCAGAGCGTACCGTACAAGCGGCTGGCCCAAGTCCATGGGCTGCATGATATCGAAGTTGAGATAGTCGTCCAAGGAATCTGCTTCAATCCAGTGTATAGGCGTGTCGACCACGACCTGGACTAGGCCAATGCGGTCATGCTGGACTATTCTGGTCGAAAGAATCGGCAGCTGGCGGACTGCTTGCTCCCATGCTGCACGCAGCTTCTCGACTGAGATCCCAGGAGACAATTCAAGTACGTTTTGCCCGATATAAGACCCTGGACTCATTGACGTCAGGGACATTAGGCCTTCTTGCAGGGGCGTGCACGGATAGGCATCGAGTATATTGGTGCGGTTATCCATATGGCCCAGCTTGTACTGATTGCAGATATCCCCAAGAACAGCACCCAAATCACCGCCAGCATCTATGAGGGCAAATGGCGCAATGAAGTGCCGAGCCTGGTCAACCAGGGGTTCATGGCGGATCTGGTTGACCAGCTCATGCAGCACCGGATAGCGAAATATGTCGGCGACGGTCAGATTCATGCCCATCTTTTGAGCCTCAGTCACTAATTTCATAGCTGAGATCGAACTGCCGCCCAGATGAAGGAAATTGTCATCCAGCCCGATCGTGGAAGCTTCAATGCGCAGGACTCGCGCCCAAATTTCCTGCATCTGCCGCTGTGCTTCCAACGTCGGCTGCCGCACAGCATCAGCATCTCGTACTGTGGTTCGGCGGCCTTTCAGGCCCTGGATGAGCATCTGCCGGTCAATCTTGCCGCTCCTGTTGAGAGGCATACTGTCCAGAACTTCGATCGCTTGGGGAACCATATAAGCCGGGAGCTGAGACTTTAGCAGAGCATACAGCTCGTCTTGAGCCTTCCGCCTCCTCTGTTGCAACGATAGCTGATTGGTGAGCGACTGCTGGGCTTCCTCCTCGCCCTCTTCCAGCTGCTCCTCGGCTGCAGTGTCACGCAAGGTTACAAAGCTGACAATGTGGGACTCCTGCCCGTCTTCGCGGTGCAAGACGGCAACAGCCTCGTCTACATAGGCATGATTACGAAGTGTGTGCTCGATTTCCCCGAGCTCCAGCCGCTGACCTCGGATCTTAACTTGAGTAGCCTGCTTCCGGCCAACATATTGCAGGTACCCCTCTTCAGTGTATCGGACCAAGTCACCCGTCTTGTAGAGCCTTCCACGTCGCCCAGGACGGGTTGACGAGCCGCGAAGCAGCCACACCGGGTCCTCGATGAACGCATCCGCAGTCTTTGCCGGGTCATTCAGATACCCTCGACCAACAAGGGGGCCTTCGAGCAATAACTCGCCGGCGCATCCAGGCGGCAGGAGTATGCTGTGGTCTTCCGGATCAACTATCCAGCTCACCAGTCCCACACCCTTTCCGATATGGACTGCCTCTTCTGGGCTCGCGGCGCCGTCGTTATCGTAGTTAATCGTGCTGGTTGGTGTGCATTCGCAAGGCCCGTAGATGTGAATGATCCGAACCTTCCCCCACCAGGGTTCGATATCCCGAAGATGCAGGGCCTCTCCTCCGAAAATAAGTGTCTTGACTGTAGGTATTCTATCTGGGGATAGCACGTGGGCAATCGATGGTGTTATATCAAGCACAGTGGCTCTCAATGATGCGATGCTCTGCTCTAGATTATTGCTGCGGTCTTCGTTGCTGGGGACGCATAGGCAGCCGCCAGCACTTAAAGCTGTGAGCACGTTGCTAACGGACACATCAAAGCTGTACGACGCAAAATCGAATATTCGTGAATGCTCGCTGATCCCCATATTCTTTACCTGATAGTGGAGAGCCGAAGCAGCGTTCGTGTTAGTTATGAGGACGCCCTTTGGCACACCAGTGCTGCCTGATGTAAAGACTGCATACAGGAGCGATTCCGGACTGGCTGGATGGGGTTCGGCTTGCTGGTTCGTCTCCTCAATGCCGTCGAAGCCAGTGGCTGTAAAGAAGCTCCAATCGAGGACAGTTGCTATTTGTGCCAGCCGCGAAGTCATCTCATGATTAGCAGCTGAGGTTAGAACCACGCTGGCGTTGAGCTGCGTGATAATGCCTTGCAGGCGTTGCTCCGGAAGGGATGGATCAAGTAGAACAAAGGCACCGCCGGCTTTGATGACCCCAACTAGGGCAACGGTAGTCCACATAGACTTTTCAAAGCATAGGGGCACAAAGGTATCCGGTCTAATCCCAAGGCCAACGAGCCTCGATGCTAACTTGGTGGCAAGCTGGTTCAGTTCACCGTGTGTCAACTGCCCATCCCAGGCGCAAATAGCGGGAGCACTGGGCTGGGCTTGGGCTCTCTTTTCGATCAAATCACAAACACGCTGTTCTACTGCTGCCGGAACAGTGCTGTTCCACTCCCAGATTTGTTCTAGGTCCTCGGGCGTCATGTCGATGTTCGTGGTTTGCGTCGAGTGGGCGGGAGGTTGACTCCCTACCTGCTCAGACGCTGACGATTGCTCTTCAGATGACGCAGGACCATGGACTGGTACAAACTCGCCATGTAAATGGGGTTCTAACTGGTGCTCAATTTTGCTCTGCCTCAATGGAGGAGTCGGACTACCAGGCGCGCTGGGACCATCGACTCCGTTTGCTGAGGAGATGCTGGCACCTTTCCTTCCTGTGCCGTTTGTAACATCCATCGCGACGGGCAAACTCGTGTCGGAAGGAGGCTTTTGAGCTTCGTGAGGATATTCTGGGTCGCCACCTCGATCAGAATCATCGGTGGTCATCTTCGGCAGCGTTAAGGCGGAATGATCTTGATGGAAACTATATCTCACAGAAGGCAGAAGGTCAATTTCCTGGTGTCCGTATGGCATTGTTGCGGGTGGTGTAGCAGAAACTGGGCCTTTACCTATTCATCCACGGGGATTGTTGGTCAGCCACTGCATGGTAGATCTTTACTCTGTATAGGATTCCTGGCAGTGTGTCGCATAGACATGGCAATGGGCAGATGGTTGCCCTCAAGCCTGGGCCAACCTGGGTGGATTCGATTTAGGCTAACCACTCAGAACCTGTAGTATAGACAGGGTATAATAATTATTTTACGTACAAATATAAATAGGACATGTTGGCGGTATGACCGAGTCGTGCTTGTGATGGAGCATCCATGCACCGCGTGGGAGATCTTGGTATAGCATTACCGGTGATCCAGAAGCCCCGCCTTCAGCTGTTCATCTGTGGCCATCGTTAGCCAATATAACCGCTGGCTGGGAGCACGATCGTCCTTCGTTGTACATGGTGATTGGATCTGGAGACTTTGATCAGCTTTTCAGCAGGCCTTTAGTAAGGTGGCATCCTGTGGCTGTCGAGATTTTCGTGTCTCCTGCAGCAGAATGGATCGCTATGTTGCGGTCAAGAGTCTGCCTTCATGCTCTGTTCACCCAGGCACATAATTGGAATAGACTTATGTAGTATGGAAGAGTCATGAAGATGGCATCGCTAAGCAAGTCCCTAGCGAATAGGTCAGACATGGCTTGATCATCCGTCCATCGCATCTATTCTATTTTAACCAGATACTAGAACTGAACCGACTACGTGCTGTATTGTCGCTGGTCAACAATGCTCTCCGCAGCGCTGGAACTCGTATGGGGATGGCTGCCCTTTCTCAGAACTTGGTTCTTTGTGCCTTTGGCAATCGTATCCTTGCTTACCCTTGGATGGCTACTTTATCGCAGTTATGGATTCGGTCGTCATGTCCCTGGGCCCTGGCTGCTTAAAGTTTCTGGTCTTCCTCTGACTTGGTATGACATCTGGTATCGCCGAAACGACCATATTCTTCAATGGCACCGGCAGTATGGTCCTGTTGTGTGCATCGCCCCGAACGAGGTCTCTGTAGCCACGCTGGAGAGCACAAAGGACGTCTACAGCACAGCCCTTCGATGGCCCAAGAGCAACTACTTTGACCACTTTACGGGATATGGCAGATATGGCATGCGGTCCGTTTTTGCGACTAAGCCCTACGAGGAGCACCGGGCAAAACGTAGGCTAATCTCGGCCTTTTATCAACCTACGACTATATACAAGCTACCACAAATCGAACACCATGTGCAAGAGCGTTGCCGAGCAGTCCTGCGAGAGATCCAACATGGGCAGGAGGTTGACGTCTACAGCCTGACAGACTGGTACGCGCTTGATATCATTACGCACCTGGTCCTTGGACCTGACTTTGGTTCTCGTGCCATCGAATCTGCTTGCTCTGAGCGCGACATCCTCGCCCTTCTAAAGCATCAACAGTTTGTGGGTCCGTTCCGCATCCAGTATCCGAACGTCTATCACTATCTCTCCTGCATATTCGCGACGCTCACTCCACGCCTGCGTTATCTACAGGCAGACAATGAGTTCGCATCGTGGTGCAAGCAACGCACGCTGGCGGCAATGGAGGCGCCCCGGATATCTGATTCTCAATCTCTCCTCCGACACCTCCTGGAAATCCGCGGGAATGACGGGGAAAAGAAAAAGCAGCAGCTCGACCGGGAATACATCGCCGCCGAAATCCTCGATAACATCAATGCAGCCGAGGCTACGGTTTCCGTGACGGCGACGTATCTCATCTGGAGATTAACAGAGGCCCCAGAGTGGCAGCGGAAGATACGCAAGGAACTGACGGCCTTGCCCGTGCAACCCGACGGCTCGTTGTCCTTTGCGGACCTCGACAGTCGAGTTCCCTCGCTCGAAGCTTGTCTCCGTGAGGTCTACCGTCTGCATCCAGCCTCCAGTGGACGAGCCGAGCGCATCGTTCCCCAGGGTGGCCATGTCCTGTGCGGAGTCTATCTCCCACAAGGCACCATCGTTTCGGCTTCCGTCGTGGCTCTTCACCGGGACGAGCGTATCTTCCCCGATCCTGATCGATTCAATCCGGAGAGATGGCTCGACGCGGACCCATTGACGCTGAAGATGCGAGAGGCACAGCTCATTCCGTTTGGGAATGGTGCCAGGATTTGTTTAGGCAAGGCGCTGGCAACGTTGGAGATCAAAGTGCTCATTGCAAACTTATATCTCCGGTACGAGACTGTCATGGGCAGTTCGACGACTCCGGAGTCGATGAAGCAGTGTAGCACCCATGACGCGGTGCCGAAGGGCCTGAAGTGTGTGGTCCGGTTTCAAGAGGTTGCTGAGGAGGTTTAGCTGGATAGATTTGATAGTGCCCTTTCAATGTGACAACCCGGTCCTAGCATTAATTTCACCACCAAAGAGGGGGTGTTAATTTGAGGTTATATTTATGGGAACTTGCGGTATTCCAGGAGGATAGGACTATTACGACGATAACTACACCACAGCCACGGAAAGGCTGTGTTGTCCTTCATATCGCCTACGATAGAAAACAGACTGGTTCCACTGGACCCCTTTTTGAATTCATCGCTCTCCCATCGAACGAGGATCATTCCCGGAGAGCCTTCGAGATCCCACAAAGCCCCTGTTCCAGGTCTTGCCACGTCGGCCACCCATACCCCAGTCTGAAGAAGCTATCATCCCTCTCAAACCAGCCTCCTCGACCGATATACACCCCATGCCTCTCTAGCAGTCTTGTGTAGAACGCCTCAATTCCTCCGACCGGCTCTTTCCTGATTTTGATGAAGCACATCACCCCAGCCTCTGGCTTAACCCAATCGAGCCACTCGCTCTCCTCAGCGACCCAACTCGCGACGCGGTCTCTGCGCTTCCGCATATCGGCAATAGTCACATCCAGTAGCTCGGCCCGGCGAGACAGGATCTGCTCAGCAGCGAGCTCGTCGAGGACACTTCCGCTAATACTGATCTGTTCCTTGGCAGCAAGGAATGTTTCCTGGAGGCCAACATTGGTAGTAGTGAGCCAGCCGATGCGGATGCCAGGGACGCCGTAGGCCTTGGACAAGGAGGAAACGCTGATGACATGGTCACCTAGTGCAGCCGCCGACGGAGTCGAAGAATCTACTCCATCAGCGGACTCGGATGGGTACTTGAGCTCTGAGTACGTTTCATCGACTAGGAGGTAGCATCCCTTCTCCTTGGCGAGGCTCGCAAGGGCCCGAAGCTCGGAGGGGGTGCACATTGTGCCGGTGGGGTTGTTGGGGGAGCAGATGCTGATGAGTTTGGTGACGCCGGGGCGAATGGCGGCGGCGACGCGGTCGATGTCCAAGCGATACTGCAATTCAAACTCGAGGTCTATGAAAGTGATGTCGCATCCGACGGAGCGTGGAATCTCCAGGTTGGTGGCGTAGTTGGGACGAGTGACGACGACGTGGTCTTTGGGACCGAGAAGGGCGGTTTTGATGATGAACAGCGCAGTTGAAGCGCCTGCTGTGACGAGGACATGGTCCGGGTCGATCGGCCTGCCCGAGGCTTGGGCGACGAGACGGCGGATCTCGCGACTGCCCTGGTGTTCTGCGTAGGTCAGAGCAGCATCTGGGGGAAAGGTGATGCTCAACGACTTCAGTGTCTGATCTGATATGGCGCTCTCTGAGAGATTGTACTTGATCACGGCACCGACCTCCTCAGGCGCCTCCTTCTCAATGGGCATTCGTTGGTAATTCATCTTGTTGGGATCACTCTGGACACGGGACAAGGAGCGCTTCTGCTTGAGGGGATTAGTACGAACGGTGAAAATAAAGAAGGGGAAGGCGGGGCGGATTGAAATGCGAGACAACAGAGTCCTTAAACCGGACCATGACTGGACGTGGAGCAGTGTCCTAGATGACCCCGCTATATGTACCTCAAACATTGATACCCATTTAGGGTTACACTTGTGGTGCAGTCACAGTCTACATACGGAAAGGTACACCAACCGAAACAACTTAAATAATATGTCTAAAGACGATGCTGATGCCGTACAATCTCCCGCCCGTTAAACCCCCTCCTCTCTTCAGTCATTTCACAGGCGCTTCACTTCGTTCCTCTATCCTCAGCGTCCGTCTGTTGCCTCCCACCAAGTCAATCATTGCCGCCCTCTCGCCATGGGGTCGAACATGCCCGACAAGCCCGTAGCGAACCGCGCTACCAGCACCAAAGCCGCCCTGCTGGCTGAAAAGAATTTCTCGGCCAGAAACTATCAGTCGCTCCTCATCGTCTTCGCCCGCGCCCAGGGTGCCTCTGTCTGGGATCCCGAGGGAAATCACTATCTCGACTTCCACGCTGCTTCAACTGCCCTTAACCATGGCCATTGCCACCCGAAACTTGTCGCAGCGTTGGTTGACCAGGCATCACGCTTGACCCTGACCTCCCGCGCCTTCCACAACGACGTATACCCCCAGTTCGCGGAGTTTGTGACCAAGCTCTTTGGCTATGACCGGGTCCTGCCGTCGAGTACTGGCGCCGAGGCGTCTGAAACTGCAATCAAGGTCGCGCGCAAATGGGCTTATAAGGTCAAAGGTGTTCCGCAGGACAAAGCTATTGTCCTTGGTGTCGCAGGTAACCACCATGGACGGACAGTGAGTAGCACTCTGGCTTAACGTGAATGAAACACGACTGTGGGCGAACCTTAATTAAAATCGATGTTTTGTCTTATAGCTAGCCACGATCTCTTTGGCCTCTGATGAAATGTCGCGTGAAAACTACGGTCCATTGGTTCCGAATATCAGCTGCTCAATTCCTGGGACCGACAAGTTGATCGCCATCAATGATAAGGCAGCGCTACGAGATGCCTTTGAGGCAGCGGGCTTCAACTTGGCCGCCTTCATCGTCGAACCAATCCAAGGAGATGCAGGCGTCATTGTGGCAGATGATGACTATCTGCAGTATGCAAGAGCCCTCTGTGACAAGCACAATGTTCTTCTAGTCTGTGATGAAATCCAGACTGGCATTGCGCGGACTGGAAAGCTCCTTGGTCACTACTGGAGTGGAATCAGGCCTGACATGGTCCTATTGGGCAAGACCATGACAGGTGGCATGTGCACCATGTCCTGTGTCTTAGGAGATAACGAAGTGATGCTTACCGTCGAGCCCGGAACCCATGGCTCAACTTATGGTGGTAATCCGCTCAGCGCGGCAGTTGCCATGCGTGCTCTCCAAGTTGTCGAAGAGGAAGACCTGGCCAGACGGGCAGACCATCTTGGTCAGGTCCTTCGTAACGGTCTGACTGCTATCCAGGCCCAGACTCCTGGTCCTATTATCCAAACGGTCCGCGGTAGAGGGCTGCTCAACGCATTCGTCATTGACCAGTCCAAGGCCAATGGACATACAGGCATAGAACTGTGCGAGCTGATGAAACGGAAGGGTCTTCTGGTAAGCAACCATCTCCGCAGCTGTTTTATTTTCGGTATACCTGGCTAAACCTCGTTTTCTGCAGCTGAAATCGAGTCGGACAGGCGTAATCCGCGTCGCGCCTCCCCTTGTCATTTCAGACTCTCAACTCGACCAGGCGCTGGAAATTATCAAGGAATCCATACAGGAGCTTCTCGCTCTCCCCGCAGCTGCGTAGGACAAGGCTGCCTTGTGGGAAGGTGGGCTTTCGGATACTGACATCGGAGAAACGATACTGGAGGGTTATCTATACCAACTATGAATGATCCTGTGGGAGTGAGCAAAAACCACAATCACTAGAATGCCAACCGCTGTCAGGAAAACAGAACATAAGATATTAGTTAGTTCTCCTTGATTGTAGGCGGCATGCTTAAACCCATCAAGGCGCCAATGTACTGTCTTGGTTCCAGATATCTTCATAGGCTACTCATCATCCCGTTATTCATTCCAGTTAACCGATCTGCGTAGTTCTATGGACTCTACCGCATCCCCGATAACTCCCACAACTTCGTCGTCTGCATCTTCATGAAACCACTTACATCCAAAACCTCCGTCTCCTCCCCACAAATCCTGTCCTCGCTATCCAGCGGGAAAAACATATGAACCGCCTTCATCATGGCGGTCTTATCCGACCATGTCCGGGGAACAGATTCATGTTCTCTCAAAATCCTCAACACAGTTGGCAACTGGTACGCAGGGAGGCTCATTTTCGTAGCCATATCGTTCCGGATAGCCTGTAAATCCACTCCCTTACCGCTGTCTTTCTTGTGAAACCGCACAAGCGCGGCTGTACGTGTGTCACACTGTGGATCTGCAACGGGCATGATATACCCCTCTGCGACGTATGGAAGTGCCGTGAGCGCAGCTTCGACTTGTCCTCGGGGAACCTTGTAGGTGTAGAACTTGAACACTGCCACGGGAATAATGATTGTCAGCCGAGGCAGGAAAGCCAGAAAGTGGCCGGGGGGTGAAATACTGACGATCCATGTTTGCCCTTCCTTTGAATATGTACCGTCCGTCTTGTAGGATGGCCAGATCCCCGGTCTTGAAAAAGCCTTCCGGGTCCAAACGTTTTGCCGTAGCGTCCGGGGAGTTCAAGTAACTGCAGTACAACACTCGTTAGTGCCTTGTATTATCGCGAGAAGAGAAGATACCTCGACTCACCCGAGGAATAAAGACGGCGTCTTGACAAGGACTTCCCCTTCCTCGCCTTCAGATAGCTTCATTCTCACATTCGGAAGTGGTGTTCCCAAATCATCCTGGTCACAGCTGTTAGCCATAGATCCATTGCGGCCCACAGTCAACGGGGCACTGTTAATGGCGATATCCAAGTCGCACCTCTACATCCCCCGACTCCATATCGCACATAGCTATCTCCTGCGTCTCCGTAGACCCATACAGCACCTTCAACGGCCGACCTCCACGTATCTCTCGCCAGAACTCCTTAACCCGACCCGAGGGCATAGCACCCGTTGCACACGCATCACGCAGGTACTGCGCCCCCACCACATACTCACCCACAACATCGCGCGGCAACTCGACAGACACATGCCTCTGAAAATACACCATCATGCCATACCAAAAGGTCGGAGACAACACGATCTTGGTAGCCGTTTGCTCGCGCAACTTCTCCCAGATCAGGTCATAGTTTCGGCCAAAGTTGTGGATCTCGACGCGGATGCCCGTCAGCAGCATCTGGAATAGCTTTGTGAAGTAAATCGACCAGAATGCGCCGCGCGGGATGATGCACAGCTCGTCGTTTGGCTGCGGTGCTTCGTCTTGTCGGGCGTACTTGTTTATTGTTCGGCGGGCGTGCAGCACGCCCTTTGGGGGGCCGGTCGTTCCTGATGTGAAGAATAGTATACTCGGGGTTTCTTCCGATACTGCGAGGGCTGGGTCGAGGGTATAGCTTGTGACTGGGAGGAGGTCGTTGTCGGCGGCGTCTTCATTGCTTTCGATGATAAGAGAAGGGATCTTGACTTGTTCTTTGATCTGCGCAGCGACACTAGCCAGCTCCGAGGTGGCAAGGAGATATCGTGCATCGCATTGCTGAAGAATGTATGATGCTTCTGCAGGAAGCGCGCCTGTTGCTGTTGTTTTTTCATAAGCACATTGCTAACCACCCATGCTTCTAGTCAAAACATACTCTATAACGGGGGAACCTTACGCATCGGCACGACTACTCCGCCAATTGCCAGGATAGCAAGAACCCCAATAATAAATTCATATCCATTTGGAGCCAGGAGAGCAACATAGAAACTGCCGGGCCTGTCTTGGGTAGGCCTGTAGAGGAGTGCTTGTAGCCTCTGATTTAGTTTCACGGTGCCATCGAGGATTTGACGGTAGCTAAACTGTGTGCCACGGCTGCAGTCATTGACGATGATATTCGCATCTCTTTGCCTGGCTATTTTCAGGAGCCTGGAAAAGAGGACGTCGTCGGGAAGGGTAGGAGGTCGTAGGACGTGGGCCGTCATGATTGCAAGAGTACGCAGGCGTGAAGATTGAGGTATCAGAGCTCAGGAACACTGGTAGAGCTGGGGATTTATTAATATTTGTGAGGACAGGGGACCTGCTGCGGTTACGCACCAGAGTGGGTGCTTCAGGGTCACAGCACTATAAAGCTACCGTGCAGCTCATACTGTATTTGCGAACGCATCATTTAAGCTTGTAATAAGCCCACTATCTCAAGACCATACTCTAACAATAGATAACAGCAGCAGCAGTTGAGAGGCTCCAGATAACTCATAACCCCAATTCCATCGCCCTCTAAATTGCGTACCACCACAGCCTTGTCGCAACGTAGTCAATAACATCTTGGACTTTTACAAGACGACCTTGCGTTAGTCGCCGGAAGAAATGATAGAACAATCGATAACATACTCGTAGTGAATCCGTCCGTATCCTCGTCCGTGATATAGATATCAAACCTCTAAGCACCACGTTAGCAAGATCACTGACAAGCTATCTAACAATCCTGGCCGTTGAACCTCTTGCAGGGCAGTTAACATCTGTGGCCTTCCAAGGTCGCCTAGGGCCAGGCCATTTTTAAGGTCGGCGTCGGTGGTCAGCTAAACGGAGATCATGTTCAATACAACTCTGTGGATTATGTTCCCGACAGCGTACCTCATCGACGGGCACTTTGAACTGTTTTGCGATGACGGCTTTCACATTGCTTTCGAGGTTCGCCATTGGGGACTTGAACGATTGCTTCGCTGGAATTGAACGGACTAAACAGCCAAATGGATGATAGTGGGATGTCGGAGGCGTAAGAGAAGGGAACCTTGGTGCAGTGCGAGTCTGTTTAAAAAAAAGGGTAAAAGCAATAGCAACACTATATAACAACAGTCGTTCAAGCTACTATTGTCTATCTCGTATACCACTCTCCCTATGGCGCTGCAGATCAAGGTACCTGTGAGTTCACCCTTCCTTTCACCAAGCCACGAGCAGTGCAGTCATGTCGAAGAAATCATTCCACTGACTGAATTTGAACTACAGCTGCATTCGCCTAGCTCAAGGCMGGCCCACCATTCTTCGCCCGCACGGATGGACAACCGTTGGCCCCAGCTCCAGAGGCCGCATCAGTGTACGTCTGCAAAGACAGGACGGCCGACTTGCAGATGGCGTCAATGTCCCCATGGATGATGAACGCATTCCAGCCCATCTCCCTCCTAAGCTCCACCCCGGAAGGTGAGATGCCGAATCCCATAATGGGAAGGTGATTGGCCTTTGCCGCATCTCGGATCTTGCGAAGCGCAGAGAGAAACACAGCTTCATCGCCGTCGAGCGACCCGTGGGCTAAGTTCAGACACATGCGCAGATCACCTGTGCCGACGAACAGACCGTCCACTGCAGAAGACCAGGTGTGGAGTGTTAGCACATGGGCTGCAGACCCATCTAACAAATCGTTAGACGGTTTGAAGGAAAGACGCACCACCTGGGACTCGGCAAATCTCTTCGACATTCTCCAGCCCCTCTAGATCTTCAATCTGGCAAATCACAGCGGCATGTTCATCCCACACGTCATAGGTTGTCTTTCCTTCCGGGGTTCGGTTCTGCTGCTCGCCGATCAGAGCCGCAGGGGGGAAGCTGCGGCTCCCCAGCGGTGGAAACCGGCACAGCTGCACCAACTCCTCTGCCTGTTTTGCATTCTGGACGTGTGGCATAATCACTCCGCCAGCGCCAGCGCCCAGGGCGTAGTTGTATAGCTCGGGTGAGCATCTCGGGATTCGGACGACTGGTACCATGGAGCCATTAGAGTGGTATTGGATCGTTCGGATCAAACTGACGAGGAGGGTTGCGTTGAGAGGCGCGTGTTCCTGTACAAGACTCAGATTCCTGGTAGGAAGTAATATTTCGCAGCAGGCACATTGGGGCTTACCGCGTCCAAGAAACAGAAATGGTACGGCGTCGCAGCAACAACTCGCGCCGCCTCTGGATGGGGGATTCGACATCCAGTGCCCCAGAGCAGCTCGCCGGAATTCAGCATGCCCTTGAAGTTTGTGGGCTGGGCCAGGCTCAAAGCATTGTAGTCCTTCGTGTTGAGCATTTTGGCTTTCTGCCGTATCGTGGTGTGGTGAGGATAGGGACGATTCGTTGKATCTAAAGAAACTAAATGCATTCCCTCTATTTATGTATCTATCATATGTGTGCATCAGTTGGTACTGAAAGAGACATGGGTGGTCTGCTTCTTTTCCGACAGAACTTGGTTGCACACAGCTAAAAGCAGCTCTCGTCATCAGGTTTCTACGATCAGCCAAGTAATACTACTGTCTATCAGGCGAAATCATGGGGAGAGGCGAATATTTAAAGGTTCTACCTCTTCTTTAAATCTGCGATTCAACTATCCACCGTACTTATATCACCATTCACTGAGTCGTTAATCTTCAACATGGCGTCTTCCCCGACCACTCGGGCAGAGCTAAACTCGATCTCTCTCGCCGGTCTTCTGGAGGGCGACGTCGATGCAGTGAACAATCTCGTGTCTGCATGCAAGACCAATGGATTCTTTTACCTTGACTTCCGTGATGCCCGCACATCCCAGACGTTGAAGCAGGTCGACGAGCTCGTTGACGTCGGAAACTCGGTTTTCAAGCTCCCACTCGAAGAAAAGGAGAAGTATAGCACCGAGAAGCATCTGCCGTCAAGGCTTCAAGGGTATGTTTTGCCTTCCCCCATTGCAGATTCGTTCGAGGTACTGACGTTGATTGCTAGATATAAACGAGCCGGCTGTTCTGTTGGACCCTTTGCTGACAAGAAGGATGGCTACGAGAGCTTCTCGGTATGTCCCTTCCATTCCCCGCCTCGCAAAGGTTTTCTAGCTCAACATGTAGATTCACAACAACGGCGTCTTTGGGGACGACATTCTGCAGCTCCCTCAGGGCTTCCAGGAAAACCTACCCTTGGTGAAGGCCTTCATGAGCCAAGTCCACCTCTATACGGAATGCATCTTGTCCATCCTCTCAAAGGCGCTTGATCTCCCCTACGACCTGAAAGACTGTCACCGGAAGGACAAGCCATCTTCTGCCAACATCGCGCTACTCAAGTACCTCCCATGGAGCAGCGACGCCGAGAAAGTCGGCAACATGGCACACACCGACATGGGGACGTTGACTGTTGTCTTCACCCAGTCCGAAGGGCTCCAGGCGTTACTGCCTGGGGCATCCGGAAAGGACGAATGGTCGTACATCCCCCCGCGACCTGGGCACGCCGTTGTGAACGTTGGCGACTCGCTGCGTTTCTTGTCCCGGGGGGCACTGGTCTCGTCTCTGCATCGTGTCGTGCCGCCGCCTCTGCCGCACTCGCCCGGACAGGACAAGTTCTCGTGCATCTACTTCCTGCGACCGGAATTCGATGTCAAGTTTACGGACAGTTCTGGGAGGCAGATCAATAGTGTCGAGTGGCATAATCAGAAGTATTCTCTGTTTCGTGAGGCCAGTCTTGATCCGACGGTGCATGGCGCCATGTTGACTGGGCGTAAGGGGTATCTGGGGGCGACAGAGCAGACTGTCTAAGAGGGAACCCGCGTTTCTACAATCGAGGGTGATTGATTCTCAACTTTCGTCTCAATTCATGTTCAGACCTGTAGTATCCATAAAGCGGTAGCCACTGTTGGTAGATGAGCTGAGTGTTCTAGATATGTGCAAGAGCCCTAACCAGAACGAACGTGGTGTTTTTGTCCGCTACGAAAAGAAGTTCGTATGCTGCACATGGATGGGGGGAGTGGTTCTAAATTGAGACAGATTGTCGGTATAATTTGCATCCCGATACAACTCATCCAATTGGTCCAGGGCGGCATTATATCCGGCATTGTCAAGAAGCCCTGCATAGGGGGACGGGCTCAGATTTACTGCTTCCCGTTAGCGTGCAGACGTGGGGACGCAGGAAAGTGATGACGTACTGTTGTTGAATGGATCATTATATGGGACCGCATAGTCATCTGCTATAGAACGGCAGATACTGATACTGGTGGGCTGGCCTAGTGGGTTCAGGGTATTATTGCCATCCGTACTGGCAGCCAGCGACTCCGGGGGTGTAGGGTTTTGGCCGGGCTGTGCAGCCAGTGCATTACTTGGTAGGCGGCTGGGGCTCGATGTCATCCGCGGCGACTTGCGGGAACCCGGCATTATCTCTCCTTAATTGGATAGATAAGCATTGTGAGGGCTCACTCTGACGAGTTAAGGGCTTACCAGGAACATCCTTGCGCTTCCGGCCTGTCATATCCCTCAATGTCGCCGCAATGTGGTCGCCCAGTGCTGAGAGTTCAAGGTCTCTCACCAGGTCATCGATGCCCAGACTCTTCAGTTTGATGACGGACGCGAGTTTTCTCTCCTTGGTGCATCTTGATGTGTACCTGGAGGAACTTGCTGAGACTGAGTTGCTTGAAGAGGGGTGGGGGGCGAGAGATGGGGGAAGCATACGCTGAGTGAGGCACGTCTAGAGGTAATGCGATAAGATATCCCAAGTCGGTTGGGTTGTTCCTGAAATTGTCGGCCCACTCACGATACTTGCAGCCATGATCAACCCAGTTCAGGCTTTTATTCGCGGCCTTTTGATTGTGGAACCGGTGGGGAAATTCCTGGCAGAGCTTGTTCGCTAGTGCAGTGCGCAAATCCCGGATCCAGTGTGTGCCCGTGTGGAACCCGGCCTCGACAACGTGCCGGTAGATGTTGTAGCATTCAAATCTATGGTAGATCTTCATACAGTCGCGCATGTCCGCGTTATCTTCTTTGGTAGCTATCGCGGCTTCCCAGCCCTGCCCGGTCGGGAAGGCCGCTTTGGCTTCCCCGATCGCACGCAGGAATCCTCCGCGGTCTGTTTTGCAGTCTTCCAGGAGGCGCCTGATTCTTGGTGAAAATGTTATTGTGCTGAAAGTGTCATCTTCGGCCGCGACGTGGAGGGGCGTTGGTGGTCCTGTTGCCGGCGGTGTTGGACTGATGGCTGGAGTGGTTGCGGTGGTATTTTGATCATCGATATCCGAGCAAGGACTGGTGCTCTGGCTACAAGGGACGGACTCTTCCGGCCTCGGTCGGCCAAAGGACACGTCTTCCGGGCAATCATTTGCCTCGGGGATCAGAGAGCGAGCAGGGTGGACTTCGGGCGACCTTTGTTGGCGGGCGTGCGGAATAGGAGAAGACTGCTGGGCACGAGCAGACACCGAAGGCACATCGGCTCGCCTTGCAGGTGAAGAGTGGCAGGAAATAAACCGGTTCTATCAGTTCGGGCTAGAATTATCATCCCGATACAGCGGCACCGAACCACAATGAAGCAAGGGGCACTAACCGTTTTGCGGTGCAACAATAAGCTGAACAGGCGGTCTAAAGCGGAGCTCTCTGTCGCGGGAAGAAGCTCCAGGCATTTCGACACTTGATCAGCCGAGATGCTGGCCTCATTGGCCCTGTAGAATCGGGCCAGCTGGACTAGTAGGTCTTGTAGCCCTGTTTTCGAGCTCATGCTGGCTCCCTGAGGACCCCAGGCTCCTGGATCCTTATCGCCATATAAGTGCTGGAGGACAGAAAATCGGTCCTCAAAGCATCGATGTGATCCTTCATCCCTGTCTGCAGGTGGTGCGTTTTCATCACATTCTTGACCCACATCTGCATGATTTTGTATGGAATTCATGGAGATGTGGGTCAATAATGTGATGAAAATGCACCACCTGCAGGAATCTGCAGGCCGGAGCTGATCGATCACTGCGGCGCGCAGATTTGCTTCCCCATGCCTCCAGTCCCTGTCAGAGCTCTTCTCTCGTGCTTGTCTGTCCTCATCAAGGCTGGCTGAGGTCTTGCTGGTATGCCTCCGTAGTGCGTTGCTTATAAGCCTTCTTGCTTCTTGTTTACTGTAAGTCCTATTTCAAATCGGATACATACCCTGCTCGATTTTGCCATCATTGTTCCAATAATGACTATCACCAAACACCGGCGCGACTTTGACATCGAGGCTGTTCGGAGACAATTCCCCGGCCTTGACAAAGGGTCTGTCTGCCTGAACAATGGCTCCGGTGCTCTGGTGTACAAGGGTGCCATTGAGAGGTAGGTTCTTCGCGCCTACCGCACGAAACAGGACGAAAGATGTATTAAATTGACCATCAACAATTAAAGCATTGTTCGTACCATGTCTGCACCCCATATGAATCTGCGCGGGCTGGACTCAAAAAGCACGGTCGACATCAAAGAGCGGACTGCCCAATACGCGAAGATTGCTTCCTTCATGAATGCGGACCCTGATGAGATCGGTAAGCGATCGTCTTATAACTAGATCAGATACTCAGTGCCCCATCTGATCCCCACCCTGCTAGCGTTTGGTCCCTCCACGACCGGTCTAGTACGGAATCTGGCCGCCTCCCTCCGCCCGACTCTCAATGCTGACTCAGAGATCGTCGTGTCCGTGCTCTGCCACGAAGCGGACGTCACTGCGTTTGTTGCCCTGGCCAAGACCCTAGGCATCTCGATTAAGTGGTGGGCCCCAGCCGGGGGCATGGGAAACAACAGGGATCCTAAACTTAGCCTCGACACCCTTCGACCTCTCCTGTCGCCTAAAACCCGTCTCGTATGCTGCGGGCATGTGTCCAACATCACCGGAACTATCGAGAATGTCAAGGAGGTGGCAGAGCTCGTCCACACAGTCCCTGGCGCGTTGATCTTAGTAGACGGGGTGGCATGGGCTCCTCATCGCCCGATTGACGTGAAACAACTTGGTGTTGACTTCTATGTGTTCAGCTGGTACAAGGTATTTGGTCCTCATATTGCGCAGATCTATGCTCGCCGCGACGTCCAGAAACGTTATCTTACCAGCCTCAACCACTACTTCTTTGACCCGACCGCTTTGCATGTGCGCTTGGGACTGGGAAACAGCTGTATTGAGCTCGAGCATGCGGTCACCCCGATCATCAGTTACCTCGCGGATGATGTTGGTTGGAATGCTCTCATCGCCCATGAGGAAGTCATCACAGCTGAGATCCTCGGATACTTGACTGCGCATCCGGATCTGTATACTGTGTATGGGTCTCACTCTGCAGACCCGACAGTTCGGGTCTCCTTGATCAGCTTCACGGTGAATGGGATCGCGTCTGACAAAGTGGCGGAAGTAATTCATGAAACCTCCAACTTTCGGCTTATCAGTGGTGACTGTTGGGCTCCTCGCACAATTCATGATGTTCTGGGGCTACCGGAATACGGCACACTTCGGACAAGTCTGGTGCATTATAACTCTGTGGATGAGGTAAAGGCTTTCGTACAAAAATTGGATCAAGTAGTACGCGCCATGAAGCAGGGACTGTACGATGACGGAAAGGTCAATGGTCGATCTAGTTGATTAAATAGATAGAGAATATCAGACGGCTTTGGTACGTTGTTCTTGTTAGATTGTGATCCCAGAACAAACCGGAATCATGAAATGTCCCTTCTTAAAACTGGCCGAAATTCAGTCAACCTTGACCGTCTCATACACCAGATTGGTATTCAACCCAAGCCTCGCACAACAGCCTCTGCACGATTACCTTCGTCTGCTCCGGACTTGCCAAATACTCCGGTTCCCGGGGTAGATCATATTATCGGTGACACTCACGGACTTCCCCGGAACCCAAACCGCCCCAGTCCAGTAGCCACACGTCGTTCATCGATCGATGAAAGCCATATCGATGAGCTTGATTTCCTTCGGTCCTAAACCGCACAGGGGGACTGCACAAAGGAGCTCAATCGCAAGTTACTCTGACTTACGAAGGCAATTTCTCTGCTAGGCGGGGCATGGGGCCTGATGACCTTTTTTTGTATGATGAAGTATCTACTATATGGGTATTAAGATGCCAGTAACAATGGCTAGAAAGGTAGTTCTCCTCACGCCGCGTGCTTGCGTATTGGAAACGCAAATGGGAGAGCCCGCGGGTGCATGCCAGATCGCACCATGCTCTCATTCCATGGCCACCCTGGGGCATAAATAGGGCTCGAACGGAAGAGGGGCTCGAAGGTGCATAAAAAAAACCCCCCCCCTTTTCGTCAATCAGTCAGTCAGCCTTGTTCCACCATGACCGTCTCTCAGGATGCGCCCCCGATTCAAAATGGGCACGGCCCGAAAACACTCATCAGGGAACCACTGAAGCTGAAGGGTGTTCTGGACAAATACAAATCGTTTAATGTCACTCCCGCAATTGGAAAGGAATTCCCTGACACTAACGTGGTAGAATGGATGAAGGCTCCCAACAGCGATGAGCTCCTGCGCGACTTGGCTATCACAAGTACGCCTCCAACCCTGCCATTTGATACCGAACAGAATATAGCTAATGGGCTGTAGTCTCTCGTCGCGGTGTTGTTTTCTTCCGCGCCCAAGCTGACCTGACCGATGAGCTTCAGAAGGAGTTGGCGCACCGTCTGGGGGTTCTCTCAGGCAAACCCGACGACTGCAGACTACACATCCACCCCCTGACCAAGCACAACCTCGACAAGGACCCAGAACTCAACGTCATCACCACCGACAAGGCCGCGAACCCGGCAGAGGACCTGTGGAAAAACAGACCGGCCGACATCAGAAACGCCTGGCATACAGACACCGGCTACGAGCCGAATCCCGCCGACTACTCGATCTTGAAGCTCGTCAAGCTCCCGGAAACCGGCGGAGGTATGCAGGCTTGTCGCAAGCGCTCCTGTCCCATCCCGTCCGACACTGACCGTTGCCATATAGACACAATCTGGGGCTCCGCCTGCGAAATCTACGACAAAATCTCCCCCGCCTACCGCAGCTTCCTCGAGGGCCTAACTGCCACCTTCGCCCAGTCCAGACTCCCAATCTCTGCTGCTTCGAAGGGATTCGAGCTGTACGCAGAGCCCCGCGGGTCGCCAAACAACGTTGGTACTTCCCTCCGCGCCGTGCACCCCGTCGTGCGCACCAACCCCGTCACCGGGTGGAAGAGCCTGTTCGCGGTGGGCAACCACGTCGAGCGGATCAACGAGTTGACACCCGATGAAAGTAGGCGGCTGCACGACTGGTTCCTGCAGATGATCGTGGAAGAGCACGATACTCAATTGAGGCATCGGTGGGAGAATCAGTATGATATCGGTTAGTAACCCATCCACCCTCCCATCCCGTACCGTCCGGTTTAGTTAGTTTGTATTTGATGACATCGATAATAATCATCGCGGTCGCAGCCATCTGGGATAACCGCACTGTTTACCACTCGGCCATTTTCGACTTCGCTGGATTGGGCTGTCGTACGGGTCATCGGGCAGTGAGCATCGGCGAGAGACCGTACTTCGACCCGAACAGCAAGACCCGCCGCGAAGCGCTTGCTGAGGAGGGGGTGATGTTCTAAGCGTAGCTAGCTGGCAATTTTTCTTTCTTGTAGGATGCCTCGTTGTCGTTGTCGTTTTCCGTCTGAATCTGAGTCTATCGAGAGAGCAAAACATGTCTCAACGTGTAAACTGGCCGTATACCGTAGTATGATCCGGGATTCATTCGCCGGGTATACTTCCTCCCCTGAAACCGATTGGGAGCAAAATAATGCCTTGTCAGACAGCTTGACTTTTTATTCTACCGTAACTCGCCACTGCCACGGCGATTATATAGTATTAGGTGACTTAGGCCTGTGGTGCATACGTGCCGGCGCGACGGCGCTTTATATATATTGTACTCTTGATACATACAATCTAGCTCGCCAAAAATCAAACCGCTCCTGATGCAACCTGATCACGATCCTCAGGATGGAAACACAAAGCTCTCACCTCAATACTCTCTCTCGGGGCCTCATGTTCCGTCTCGGGGTTAACGAAAGAACCATGCGGCACCCGCCGCGCCCTCCCATCAACCTTAGAGTCAAAGAACTTGATAAAAGTGACCATATTCGGAGGCTGCTTGTAGCGATAGTACCACTTGATATTCGGATTCGGCTTCACGGACCATGCCCCACCCACCCAGCCACCCTCTTCCTCAGGGTAAATAAATGGGATAGGGGAAAGGTCACTTTCGGAGCAGGATTTTGAATCCGCTACCGCTAGCGGGTGCTTCAGGATCGTGCGGATCGGACGCCAGACGCTGATCATCTGGTAGCGGGCCTTGAGGAGCTCCGGGGCCTCGTCGGGGAACAGGTGGACGACTCTGGCCTCCGCTCCTGCGTAGTTGGCATCGATGTGCATGGTATGGACGGGCCCACGGGGCTGGTTCGCGCTCGTCCGGTCCGTGGGAGCTCGGCGGATGGTATGGTCGAAGATGAAGAACCGAGAAGCACCCGTGCTGCGCTGGTTGGTTAATCTGCTGTGCTGGTTCTATATTCACTCCAGGTTCGCGTGTTTTGTTCTACGTACACTTCTTTGAGCAGTTGCTCTATCTCTGGGTAGTATTCTGCTCGGATCTCCTCGTCGTCGAGGAAGTCCTTCAGCTTGCTCTCGTGGTAGTGGAATTGGAATCCATGGCTGTCAAGGGTGTAGTCACTCTCATGGCCGCTAACATCGTGGATAGTGGCGGGGATGGAGATCATAGGTCTCTCAATTGTTTCTGGCTTTCCAATCCATATTGGAGGGTGGGGAGAACCATCTTCACTCTCTTTGTTGAAGGTGAGTGTAGTCTGAACATGGTGAGGCTTCTCGAGGTCGTTTGGCTTTTCTGCTAGCAGAGAGCCATGGGAGCAGGGGGAAAGAGTAGCGGCTGAGGCCATGTGCAAGGTGGATTGGCTGAGATTGTAATATGACTCTGGTTTTCTTGGGCTGGGGGGAACGCCGGAGTTAGGCAATATATATATATATATATATGTTGCGGTGTAACTAGATAGTCCTTTAGGGGAGCTCGATTTGTCAAGAGGCGGGCGATCACACGAGGAATGAGATAGCTCAGCTCGAGGGAAATATGGGTCACGGTAGCCCATGCATCCTGGTCACAGGGGTTGTGAGGGGAATGTCGATAATCAATCGAAAGCCACGATTCTTTTTCTTCGAGATTGGGCGTTACATCTCTTCAACCAATACTGTATGCACCTCCAGTGAGCTGAGTGGCGCGGCTGAAAGAACCATCCTCCACCTAGCTGTGCTCTGAGTGCGTTGCGACAATCGCCAACACCAAGTAATAACAAACGCTGACCCTGACAACACCACAACGGCTATTCTCTGCCATATGTCCGAGAAAGCCTTCATCAAGGCATCAGTAGGTACTCCATCCCCATCCTCATACTGGTAGTGGTCCTCCGGACGAGCGAGCAACAGAGTCCCTGTCCCTTCCTCTGACCACCTGCACATTGACGGTTGTGGCCTGGCCAGTCACGGCGCTATCTTTCGCCTGGCAGGAATCGTACTGGCGAGCACTGACAGAATCCCCAGTACCCCTGTCACGATAGGCGGAACCTCGCGTGATGATTTCACGGCCATTTGTCAAATTGATCAGAATGAATCGCTTGAGGTCTTCTAGGTCAAGCCATTCCTGTGGCTCTAATATACAGGGGATCGGCCACCCGATTAAGCAGCCCAACGCGGGGTAGTACGGTTATAGACTGGTCGTGGATTGGATATGGATTGATCCGCATGATGTTTGATCCAACCCATGCGGATTATGGGTTGATCCACCACCTATCTAACCCACCCTCATATCCATGCAGGTTAGACTGCGGATAATGGATATATCTATATTATCTTGTTAGGTGACCTCCAGTATTTAGATTACTGCCTATTTTTCTAGTATTCTAGCCACGTCACAAGGATATCTATATATTTTATTTAATAATATAATAATTAACTATATAAGTATTATATTATAGTATTACCTATTATATAAGGTAAAATAGCCTGATATAGGGGGGTAGGGTGCCCCCTAAGCTTAGGATGAAAAGTAGTGCAGAGATATATATATCTTACCACACCATCCTGATCACCATCATCTAAAACAATTAAAACTAACCATAACTCTAGTTTTTCTTAGTAAACCTAATATTTTATTTTACATATAGATAGATATAATCATTCTCTATCTATTTATATAAAAATATATACCTATCTAAGCCTAGGTTAGGCTAGATAAGCTTATCAGTTCTTAGAGGCCTTTAGTCACGAGTCTCACGACTCACATGCACCCAATGGTTTAACCCATATCCATGTGGATTAGGCAGATTCAACCCATATCCACTTTGGATTAGGCCTACCTAGATCCAACCCAAACTGCGGATTGGGTCAGCCAGTCTATTCGGTTGTTCGGTCCCCGAGGTCGCGTCGGGGCGCCTTCGCTGCCTTATCGCTGCCTTATCGGTAAGGCAGCCGCCGTGACAGGTAATGAGTTGGTTAGAGTGCTCGTCATAATATCGTCTAAATCATTAGTCGATGCCAAAGTGCGACGACGGCAGCATCTCGCCCTTGGAGGAGCCTTCTAGGGTTCAAGACAAACACCCGCAAATTCTATCTGTAAACCCGACCGTTCTCTCTACCCCTGTTAGTCTGTGACAAGCACGACGTTATAATGGACGCAACGAGACAGAAACCGCTCGTCAAAAGAAAGGGCAGACCAAGCCAATGCCCTCCCAGAACCATTCCCCAGTGGAAAGAACCCGCGAAGAAAGGACCGGCTAACAACCCCCCCACTCCCTGCGCCATGGAAATTGCTGTGTATAAGCTTCCAACAGAAGAAGGAGGCACTAGGGACGTGGCCATGCTGCGCAAAGTTACAGGTGATGCTGAACCTAGCGCATTAAGTATAAGGCCAAAGATCACACCGATGGGATGTCTGGATATGCCCAGGACAAAGCAACCCACGACGAGAAGCCAGCAACTGATCTCTGATAATAGTGAGTCTTTCTCACCGGTGCTGAGTTTGGTCCGGTGTTCAAGGTATGTATCCAAAAGCGGCATCAACACAGTCGTAAGAAGCAACTGGCAAATATCACCTAAGGTAAACACAAGACTTGCCTGGAGCGCATTTAGAAGATCCATCAGTCTACAGATACATTATATTATGTATCGTCATGTCACGACCTGCACTTACTGTACTGTAGTCCCATCTGAATCTTTTTGACGTGTACTGCAAAAGCGCCGACTTGGACTCAGTGCTTAAGCGCACAAGTAGAAACACAACGAGGAGGAGTATGATCACTGGATTTGTCCAGATGGCTCGAATAGACGCGGTGAGTTTTCGAAATGATGCGCGCGACGCCCCAATTGCAGGCCGACTAGACAGCGATCCCATTTCCCTGTCCTCACCAAAATACTTATCATCCACTGGAAGTGTTTCCGGTATCGTCATCATGGTCAACATGGAGAGTATCAGGAGGAAAGATGACAGTATTAGAGGGTCCCATGAGCTCCGTCTCATCAACACAGCACCACCGGCGCCACCCAAGATAAAGGCCATCAAGTCGACGGCCGTGAGCCACATGAGCCATCGGGTTCTGTAAAACGCATGAGCACAAATAGAGTAAAAGAGCTTTGTGTTTGAAGTTGGTGGTTACCGTTCCGCTCGAGGGACGACGTCCGCGATGATAGTATATGTGAGAAGGGTGCCAACAGCGCGACCACCGCCGATGACTTGCATGATGGGCGCCGCCCAGACCATACGAATAGGAAAGATATCAGGGAATAGGTCTTTCAGAGAGTTGATAACTCAGTGTCAGAGTTGGGCTTCCGGCGTCTATTACCTCCCAGCTACCTTGGGGGGAAGTGAACTCACACACGATTTTGACCCAGGTATCGCTGAGGAGTACCCCAAGAAAGGATAGCATGAACACAGGCTTGCGACCGCATTTATCAGCCATAATTCCATACGGAAGCGCAAGGAAAATTCCTACAGGCCATGTCTGTGAGTTGAGTTCGAAAACATCGATATATACTGCGATTTGTGCAGCATCCTACCTGGAATCTGTATGAGGGAGTCTCCCCATCCTTGCACCAACGCCAGTTCGCTTTGGACCGCCTCTCTCTTACAGTCAAGGGGCTGCTCGGTGAGATCTAGTTCCGGGTCGTGGAGGTGTCTGCAGATGATGTTCTCGACGATATCTGCTTGGGGCGCCGCGATCACGGCCATAGCAAGCAAAAACTGGAAAGACACAGCATACACCCGCAGAATTATTTGAAAGCGATTTTGTCGTGGAGCCTTTTGGTCTTCGTATTCTGGTGGAATTAGCGGGGTTTCCACGTCCCGCTCGGTTCCGGGGGACATCATGCATAGGTTGTTTTGTTTCTGGTATTGGGATCTTTCCCTCATTTTGATGATGGAATCGACTGGGCTTTAAAGGGGAGGGGGATAGCAGCTTATGACGCTTTGTGACGCTTCAAAGCGTCATAAGCAGGGGATCACGAAACAAATCAGACACGCACGAGTGCTCAGTGCGGTGTGTCAGGATCCCCTTGATTTGGCAGCTTAGCCAGGGATATGCAACCCATCATTCGTTCTCCGTGCTGGTTTCATCAAAGCCCTGCGGTCATGCAGATGGTGCGCATGGGGCCAAGGATGCCAGTACAACGGCTAGCAGAGTATAAGCAAATCAACGGTTGATCTGGACCACCCTGTGGAGTTGTGTAACCAATTGCGGTCATGGAAAATAATACCATAGACCGTTGGTTGGCGCGTGACAAGGAGCACTGAATGCATCTATCTGACCGCAAGACCTCCACAATGTACWGATAGTCTGTGCAAAGATATATACATAGGGCAAGGGCTGAGGAAATGAACCAAGTATACATCCTTTATTTATCTTGGTTAATCTTGCTAGGAACAACTTTGTTCCTGAATCAAACATTTGTTACCACTAACTCAGTCATTATATGCTTATTTGTCTAACATGATCAGCGCACGTTTGTGGCGTTCAAACGGCTGTTGAAACCAGATAGTCACAATGTCAGACTATCCTGTACGTGGCAGCAGGGATAATGTATGGATGAGGTGTCATGATGATGATGTCTGTGATGATCTGTGTAACGCTCGAGGTAACAAAAACACCCCATGCTGGAAAAACTTTCATCCGCCAACAACACGAAGTCGGAGAGTTTTTCCGGTGATGTTTTGTATCTATTCCGCATGAATCCCCAATACAGCTTCCAACATCATGCTAGGTCTCCGAAGACCTCCCTTATTCTATTCTCTATTTCACGAACCCCTATCAAGTGGTCTAGAGGATCCTTATCGGCGGCGTTGACCACGATTGCTTCACTAGTTAATTATATTAGATTTATGTCGGAGCCGTGGCGTACGTAACATTTGGTTCACCACCAGAAAAATATAAAGATCTGATTCATCGAATCTAGCAGCAATACTGCACTAATTACAGGAGAAATAGGGGCAATCTAACTAAACTATGATAGGAAACTAGAACAGACCGAATCGAGAGTCATAGTATTCCACACATGTCTATACACAAGCCTCGATGTGCCCTAGGTGCCTTTTGGTAGAGTTAATATGGGACTACCCCGCTGGCGACGTTTGCCTCTGAGTATTATCATATACCATCATGCCTCATGGTCAGGTGAAGAAGACAGCAGCCCTCACCAATCTTTATTTAGCGTCCGGTCCTAGTAAATTAACTTATCAGACTAGGTAAGTAAGAGACCGCTGCCATCGTCATCCCACCGATACATAGATAGAATCGCATGGCGGCGCGCCTGGTGCTCAGCTAGACGGCAGCCTGTCATGCGTTTCATGTTGCTTAGTGTGTGCCTATCAGAACCTTCCGAAAGTTTCTCTGATTATCCCATTAGCCTGGGGCAGACAAAACAAGAAACAGAAGCAGGAGAGTGATTCATAGCACAGAGAAAGGAATGGACGTATTGAAACACCACTGACCTGGTATTTGGTGTCAAGTGTTGCAATGCATGACTCATGGGCGCGAATGAAGGTTGGGCAACGGCGAGATGCACATCTAAACGCTGCCATTCTCCATCTCCCAATGGCCGAAAGACTTGACACTTCGAATCCAAGAGATGTAGTGGCGCGTTGTAACATAGAGCCAGATGTCGATCCATTGCGTAGAGTAGCCACCATGTCCGTCGCCGTTCCTCCTTTCGCTCCTCCTGCGCGACAAGCTCCCTTGAGTAAATGAATGCCTCGTGCCGAGCAGAGGGTTGTGTCTGCTCTCGATTGAGTTCCAAAATTAAGGCCATCATTCTGGCCGTGTCAAACCACAAGAGGCAACTGAATTTGTTGTCACTTCCAGAGAGCACTATGCCGCAAAGAATGCACGCAATGACGTTATCTAATGTGAGCCAGGCCTCGATTTTCTCGCAGTCCCCCGTTGGCCGCGCTTGGGAAAGCGAGGGACAAGCCGGTGTCCCGGAATGAGTTGTGGGTGCTGCATCTCCAAGAAGATGAACAGTAATCGAAAGAAAACTAGCCCGCTGCAATTGAGGCAAAAAAGGCGTCGCGTTTCCCCGCGTATATAAGCCTTCCCCGTGTAAGCCAACAGGAGTCTGTTGGCCGCTCGTGCCCTCGAACAACCAATAAATTCAGGCGTGATACCACCGTCGGATGTGGCTTATAGGCACACACAATACAGAAGCTGGTGGGATTTGAGTAAAAGCCGGAATTCCAGACGATTTTGGAACAATACCTTGCCAGGTTGCCATCCTTTGTCTTAAACAGCAGTGATGATCGCCGATTCCGCGGATTTCCCAGAAAATCCCCGAGAGCACTTTATCATAGCTGCACAAGCGTGTTTGTTGCTCAGTCGCCTTACTGTAACAGCTAATCGTGATCCCGGATAGTACCAAACAAGCCATCACCACAGCCATTCTTGAGCTCGGAGCATGGGTAGGCGGCACACTGACGAATGGATACCTCGCCGACGCGATAGGCCCTCGCACGACGACTGTCCTGGCAGTAGCCGTGTTCATCGTGGCGTAATAGTCCAGGCAAAATACCAAAGCCGTCAGCTATATTCTCGGTGGTCGGGTTGTCACCGGCCTGGGCGTGGGTAGCTTGACTATGACTGTGCGTTTTACTTGACCCTATCCTTTATCTCATTCGCCTATAGATGTTACTAGACCATACTGTCCCAGCTTGCTTACGACATAAACTTCTCTAGCACACTTGCTGACGTCAGCCAACTAGATTTGACTGATGTGGAGTGAACGGAGATAAACGGCCAACTCTGAATATAAACTTTGCCAAACAACTGCTGACTCCGAGCTAACTCGAAATTTGGCGAATGTGGCTTGAGTGGGGACTAAAGCCGAACTCTAATTATAGGCTTTTCCAAACAACTGCTGACGCTGATCTAACCGGATTCTTCAAATACGTTGCGATAATTGGAATATTAACAGTAGATGTCGTCAACAGTCCACAGTATCGCTGCCTTGCCCGCGTACGTTTACCTATATAGAGTTGATAACTTCCAGCTCGAGATATTTTCTTTGCCTTATCCCTCCACACTTTTCAGCAATACTCCCTTATTCAAACGATCTTTCAGCCGACAAAGAGCGTAATAATCGACTCAATGGCTCCGAAGCAAGAAATCCTGAAATCCGAGGTTATCCTCCAAAAGTACGGCCATTCACTCGCTGGCAAGACAAGTACGTACTCATGAGCTCACATATTGACAGACGCGTTCAATATTTACATCCGCTCTAACTGTTTATTCATTCTTTGGAGATAGTCCTCGTCACAGGTGTATCCAGCGATTCAATCGCAGGTGAACTTGCCCTGCAGTTGAGTAGTGTCGATCCCGCACTTCTCATCCTCGTTGCACGAGCCGAATCCAAGGTTACACCAATCGTGGAAAAGATTCGAGCGCGGCACCCGAATGTTGCAACCCGCTTCCTACAAATGGACCTGGGAGATCTGGCCTCTATTCGGGCCGCTGTAGACAGCCTTAGCGACTTACCCAAGATTGACCACTTCATCAGTGTTGCCGGCGTCATGGTTCCTCCGTATGGAACCACTAAAGATGGTTTCGAGACCCAGTTTGGCGTTAACTACCTGGCAAATTTCTTACTTGTGAAGCTACTCCTGCCCAAGATCCAAGCTGCAGGACCATCCTCCTCGATCATTATTGTCGCGAGCTCCGCGGTGAGAAGTGGGCAAGTCAACTTTGATGATGTAGGCTATAAGGTATGTTTGCTCCTCTGCCTGCCCTTTATTACTGTTTATCCTATTGGTGACCTTCGTGATATAAAACTTGACCATTCTTGCATAACAGAAGGGCGAAACGTATGACCCTCTTGTCGCGTATGGCCAGTCCAACGCTGCACGGGTCATGTTCGCCAAAGCCCTAGCCGAGAAACTCGAAGGCCAGAAGATCAGGGTGTATAGTATTGATCCCGGTGGTATGTTACATGTCCATATTTTATGACTGTGATAAGGCTGTGATGCAGAGGTTCCAATGTACTAACTATTTATCGGTCAATTCTCGTAGCCGTCCAATCGGGCCTACAACGCCATTTCACTCCAGAGCTCACGGATACGGTTACATCTCTTGCGAATGCTGGTCGTACGCTTTGTCCTTTCCTATCCACCTTTGTTGCTCCCTGCTCAAATACGCGAAACATCTAAACTGATCTTCAATTTTCATTTCTCTCTGTTTACAGAAATGCGGGACCTGGATGGTAAACCGTATAGCCTACCACCGTGGACTACCAGGTCAGAAGGTGCGGCGACCATGATCACCGGCATGATAGACCCGTCTATTACCGGTAAGTAAAATGAATCATCCTGATTTATTCATTCTCTGATTCTCAGCTTTAATAATGCGGAGTTTATGTTGACTGAACCTGGATGCTGCTAGATTCCAATGGGGCCTTTTTACACAATAATGCAGTGGCAGAGGAGGAATTACACTCCCACATCAGAAATCGCGATAACTGGACGCGTTTGTGGGAGCTGAGTGAGGAATTGATTGGGGAGAAGTTCTCTCTGTGAGCAATCAAGTAGAGAGCCCACTCTGTGTCAAGAAGGAACGGGTTCCAGCTCGTCGTTGTCCGGAAATTTTCTGACTGGTCTCGGACCATCCTGAGCTGGGTGCCCAAAGGGGAGAATTAGTTTAACATAATCTACAAGCGAGCTGAAAACACAGTCAAGCTGACAGCTCAAAAACACATAGTAAATGTGATGGAATACAACTTCATATCTGCTCAACAACACCGGATTCTAACTTGAATATCAAAATATAACTTGGCCCATCTGTCCATGAAGCAAGACCGTTTCTTGATGATAAGCACTTTGACAAAGCTGTCACATGTTCTGACACCCTTTCGGCTTTGGAGATCCCAAGAGTGCACACAGGCTTCACAGTAACGCCGGCAGATTAGGACTCAGCGACTGGAACAGTCAGATGTAGCGCAACAAGTAGACCAAATGATACCCAGATCCTCCCTATCGAATGGCTGGGGCTGCGGTCCTGGCCTGATGCCGTGGTCAGAACAGGGGGTGCGAGTCTCATAGACGACCGTCGCGGGAGGGCGACGGTCCCGCGCACGTAGGGATCATCAGGGGGCAACTACCATTCATCTCAGGCAGTCATCGCAAGCTTCTTGGCGACGGGACTCGGCATCAAAACCGTGAGACCATTTCCTCCTCTCTCAACAGTCCGAGCTCTGATGATCCTTAGACCAGCTTTCTCAAATATGATAAAACTGAGCCATATGACCTTACAGAACACCAATGGGATTGCATCTTGCGGGTCAACCGGGCACTTCATGGCTAAAGAGAGGTATTATGTTTTCCGTCTCTCCTTTCTAGTAAACACTGAATTGTCAGCTCATGAACGTCGCGTCCATAGCCTTCAATATCAAACCAGATAATGTCGAAAACGAATTCATCCCCTGGAATTCTACCATTTATATATGCGATGATGTCAACGTTTCAGTGACTGAAGTTCAGCGGGACTTCCAGGAGTGTCTGGCTAAGGCAGCTTTTAGTTCAACTGTCATTGAAGGCAGTGTGTAAGCATTAATACCAGCTTTCCCCTCCGATGAGAATACTGACGAAGCTCGTCCTGTCCAGGTCTGTAGGAGTCTTTGGTAGTGCTTTATCTCCCTCCTTATCGTATATGAAGGAGCATAACAATGCAAATCAGAAACGCGAAGACCGGAAGATGAGCTCTTTAGTTTTAGCATACAACGTCAGCCTAGGCATCCAGGCATGCACATTACTACTCTAATCTACTCTTTAGTTCCCACGTGTGATGGTAGAGCTTGATCCATTCTCCGTCGAGCTCACAGCTGAATGTAAGAAGGGTCCGGAAGCTGTCGTACGTCAAGAAGATGTAAGGGGGATTTATGAGAAATACGGTATGCTCATTCTTCCCAGCCATAGTTTCAGATCGTACCTAATCGTTTGAACAGGGACCACCTTTGCTACTTGTTTTACGTTAGGGGGTTGCTTGCAAAGCAAAAGGAACCTGACCGTAGATGAACAGAATAAACTCGACCAGGCTAAAGATAGGGTCCGTATCGCTGCTGGTACTAGTTTCCAGGGCCCCAAAGTTAGTGCGGCATTAGGTTCTGCGGCCGTCAATGATAGCACTGTGTTGAAAGTATGATGGTATTAATCGCCAAGATCGACCCGGCTGCTTTTGATAAACTTGAAACCGCAAGTTCAAACAGTGTTCGAGGGCTGAGTTGTATTCGAGAATTTGGCTTTCCCGGGTCGAGTTGAAGTTTACGTGCATGACGCCTTGCTCAATCCAGATGGCAATGCCATGGTTCATGATATCCGGACTCAATATAATGATGGCAATTGCGCGTTGAAGGAGTATAACAGGCTTACCGAAGAGATTGCTGAAGAGTCCTGGAAGATCGAGCGCCCTATCAAGTGGGCAGCACTTGACATCAACCAACAATTGGGCTTGGCATTTTGGTGCATTAAACTGAAGGTAGTAAAAGTGGATTAGTGTTCTTTTAGTAAATCGCATCTATTACTACTTAGAGTCTTCTCCGTTGAGCTCGTAAAGATCGGTAATACGAGGGTAGATATCACCGTGAAACGTATCTGAGACCTCAGCCACCCAAGTCAAGACTTTCTGATCGATGCTATTTGTACCCGACCATAAGTCGAATGTTATGTCTTTCAGTCTCCTCGAGGTCGAAGTCTGGTTAACATTCGGCTGGGTAGAGTCGCCAATTCGTGCAAACCACACATTACCTCGTACTGAGTTTTACTGGTGTTCTGGGCGGCGGCCATCGAGTCGCCGCCGAAGAGAGGTGCCTTCCATTATTCGATCGGTGGACGTCGATCCCGAACAAGGCTCCTAAACTTCCACCCATCGGGACTGCAAAAATACTAGCATTGACAAGTGATTTGAGCACCATGGCGCCCTGAAGACAAAATGCAGAGGTAACTCTGGTTAGGGGCCTGGGGGCCTTAAAAAAGACTCAGATGAGACCCGAGTCACGTTGGCTTGCTTGCAGGTACCCAATCAGTAATGGACCTCTTTCTTGGAGAGTGTATTTCATCTAACACGGCCTATCGTGCGGTTTTCTTTTCATTCTACTACATTACACGGCCGGAGTGGGTGAGCCTAAGGCTCGGATACAGTTCGTCTCGAAATTGTTGTGACCAACCCCCTAATGCCAAGATCCACAAGACTATATTTTGAATAGAACCAGAATAGTAATATTGCTCTATCGTTATCGAACAGTAATTTACTCCAATATATTATGACTAGTTTCTCTTAACTGTGACCAATTCATAGTTGGTTAACCTAACTAATGTATATTATATAATCAATTTTTTTCCACATCCCCGCAATCAACGTCATTTGCCCGGATAGATCGCAGGGGAACGAATCTCTTTTCATCTTAACCTCTGTTATGAAAAAGAAGTCCTTTCTATACCATATTCTGACATATTGTATAGACACGATGTGCCTTATTTACCCATTGAACCGTATCATAGATCTCTTCATCCCATCCTTTATGGTGATGACAGGGATCGTTTTCGGGGTCTTCACCTTCCTGGAGGTTCTCGCCACCGAACGAAGTCTAGCATTTAATTTCGAACACTGGCACGCTCAACAGTTCACGCGGCTGTGGAAAACGTTTGGCCCCTTGGGTTCCAATATTCTCAGGCCCACAATATCTCCTCTGGCCGCGGTTGCGAACGGCGTTGTTTTGGATATCGGGTATGTAATCTGGATACTTCTATGCAGAGAGTACCCCATTTCTACGGTAAATGACTGTGTATAGACCCGGTGATGGTCAGTATCTGGCGCACTATCAAAGTGAGAATATAATCAAGTTGTATCTTGTTGAGCCATGCGTTGGATTGCACAAGAGGCTGCGGGAGAATGTGAAGAAAGCTGGCCTCGAAGATGTTACTACAATAATCGGTCGGTCACTACTTCATTAATTCTATCCTTTCAAACTTCCTAAATGTGACATCCAGATTGTGGGATTCAACATGTCAATATTCTTTATGACCATGGCATAACCCCCGCCTCTGTTGATACGATCGCCACCTTCAGTGTGCTCTGCTCTGTGCCCGATCCAGAGGAGACGTGTCGCTTCCTGTACTCGCTGCTTAAACCTGGTGGACAATGGGTGATCGTCGAGCATGTTATCGCCGATCTGAAGTTTCCACTTGCTCGTTGGATCCAGGGTATGTTCGAGGTTGTTTGGCCGACGCTAATGGGAGGATGTAATATTAATCGTGACTCGGGGAGCTACGTAAGAGAGGCTGGGCCTTGGACGAAGGTTGAACTGGGAAGGGGACAAAATGAGTTTGGTTGGGAGATGTTAGGGCACGTTGTGGGCAGGTTAGTGAAGTAGGGATGCCTGCAGAAAGCACATCTGGAGAGGAGGCACCAAGGTGCACCCTCGGGCGTTTCCTGTAAAGTACCAGTATCCTAGGTTATGTAAAAACAAAGGTCTATTTCTAGCACGGAGATCTGTAACTAAACTGTGTTTCAGGATAGGGCTGGAAGAACAATCTATGAGTGTATGCAGGGGAATCTATTTTCAAATTTAGCAGTATATACACACCCGTACACACCCATACACACACATATACATACACACACAGTGTAATTCAGCACACAGTGCAGAGGGCTTCTCTATCTGTATCCTGTCAGAGTTCAGGACAGTGACGACTGTATCTCTAGAGGTAAAAGTGCACATCCTTCTAATAAACCTCCGCCTCTGCCACAGAGCACAACATGAAATCGTGAGACTTCACTCTACCCTGTAATCATCCTATCTGGAGTGTGCTCCGACGAGCCCAGACACAGAGGAATAACATTGAAACCACAATCACTCTCTACTACCAGAAGCTTTGAAGACCATGAACTTACAAAGATTAGATGAACTAGAAATAATTAACCTGAGTCCGCTGCCACTATGGCGAGCGGAGCCCTTCGCGGAGATTGAGATTAGAATAGACTGAGAAATGGCTGTGGAGCAAGCCGAAACCGCACGGTCCCTGTGGGCCATTCTGGACGCGAGGGCCCACTAGATGCTGCCGTTGTGGAGCTTGATGGCAACCCGGAGACCTCTTAGCCTATCAGGGTTAGTTCTCCAAGGCTGCAAACATTCCCTGGAGGTTTCTCTGTACAGTATGTTACAATGACGCGCTGAGCGCTGGAATAATACGTTGAAAGACGCAATACAGATAAGCATGGGCTGTTTATTGAGTAGCTTAACATGGACTAGCGTAGTTTCGGGTGCAGCCCGAGAAACAAAGCGTGTATATCCGGAGGGGAATCTGTTTTCGACTCTAACTGTAACGATTGAAAGATAAGACCCTATGAAGTTCAGAGCAGAAATAGCCGGAGCAGCTTCATATTCATATACCGCTTCGAATAAAGTACCATTGTAGCATGCGTAAGACGGTATATTGTGGATGGATTTATGTCACGACACGGTGGCAAGAGTATCTCAGATGGCAGCAGTATTCCAAACAAGAGTATCGTGGAGAAAGAGATTAGAATAATATATCTAAAGCTGAGAGTATAACTTGATTTTTTATTTCTTAGTAATATCTGTAGATTAAGAAAAGGGATGTAATTTATGAACCTATGTAGTATATCTTTTAAAGAGAAGCTCTAATGAACCCAGTTAATAATGCATGCGGTTGGCATGATACATACACCACTGAAGCCCTACTTAATAATATCCTTAGATGATTGCTCCTTGACATCAGCTCATACAGTTCAAGGGCTGCTATATGCAGTTATATCTATATAGTATTCTATTCCTTCCCTAGCTATAAATAATCACTACTTAATATTAGAGCAGATACTCCTACAGTTGAAAAGTCACATTATGAACAAGACCCGCTCGCCTGGTCCTGCATGCTGGGCTGCACTGGCAAACGCCTCAGCCCACTGCTCAAGCTTGTATTTCCCAGCAGTCACCCAGCCCGCTTGACTACCCAGCGGCAAGATCCCAGCCTCCACCATCTGGATCATCCTCTGGACATCCTCACGCTCAAACATCCACTTCCCCTTAATAGTGAGGTTCTTAGCCATCAACACCGCAACCGGGACAGTCACCTCCCCAACCCCCGGCCCCATCAAAACAATACGGCCCGAGTGTTTGAGCGACAACATGCCGCTCCTGATATGGCTCGATCCCGCCGCCATGGGCGGCGACACATCAAAGAAGGCATCGGCTGGCCCACACTGCGCCAGGGCGTCCATCTCCTGTTTATGATCATTCGTGATCTGAACCACCTGCACCCGATCTCTCCCACAAACCTCCTGCAGCTTCCTAAGCTTCCCCAGATCCCGCCCCATTGCGATCACGCTGGCGCCCATAGCCAGAGCCACCTGCACCGCCGCGCTCCCAAACGCGCCTGTCGCGGGACTAACAATGACCTTCTCACCGGGTTCAAGAGCTATGCTCCGCAGCCCCCCGAAGGGGACAATCTGTACGCCAATAGATAACAGGTCCTCAACAGTGTACCCCAAACCCCCCTCCGTTATATTCCCAAGCAACCGCCCCTCATCAAGCCTGTGGCAATTCTCCAGCGGCATCTTCGCATACTCCGCATAAGTCGAGTCACGCCATTCACCACGCATGAGCCGCGAACTCCTCTCAGCGTGGCCTTCATGCACGCCCGACAGTGAAGCCTGGGTTGGGTCGTCGCGGCCCCGGAGGTAGATTTCCACTAAGACGAGATCTCCGACGGAGAGACTGGTCGCATCGGAACCTACGGCTGCGACTCGCCCGATTGCGCCGTTACCTGGTACTAGGGGTGTGGGGAGCGGGTAGGGCCGCTTGCCGCTGTAGATGTCTCCGGAGTAGGAGAGGATCATTGCTGTGAGGATCTTGACTACGGCGCTGCCGGGAGTTGCTTCCGGTGTGGGTCTTGTTTCGACTTTGAGGGGCTCGCCGATGGCATTTAGGATGAGGGCGCGGTGTGTAGCTGGAAGAGAGGGAGACATTGTGAGTTTTTAATGTGTTAGGGTACGTATGCAATGTCGTGGATTAGAGAGGTTTGTTATATACCTCTTGCTAGTTTACTACGTATTCAGGCAACCTGTCTTTAATATTTAACACCGGTAAACCCGCCTGGACATGGTGTATCAAACGCTGTAAAACCCGAACACAGCCTCGTGTTTATCGTCGGACATAGCCGGATTTAGCACTCGAAGGCCGTTGGAGGCCCTTGCAGATTCGGCCAGTGACCGCCAAATAACGTGAGTTGTGCATTTCGGCTGACGTTTATCCTCTGACTGATTGTAATTAATTGCTTTTGATGCAAGATCAGAGCAACCAGACCAGAAGTTGTAGTATTTTAGTGGTTGCGGCCTGTTCGATCGGTAAAGTTCAAACAACCATCTATTGATTTTGTTATTCCATATCAAAGCAGCTAGTACATTATCTATTAAGTATTTTCCCAGCCGGCTTAGCCTTGAAGCTGCCCTGTTAGGTTAATCTATCTTATACACACTGGGACAATACTCTATACTAGGAATCTAGCACTATATATGCTTGTTAATAAGGATGCGCCATAATTACCCTTGCCTTATATTTAAGGATAATAGTGTAGTTAAGGACTGTAAGCTGATTCATCCTTTTACTATGTAGGAGCTGCATATATTATATTCTATGCTTAGGAAAGGCTTGAATGGTATTAAGCACAGGAAGCAGGTATAGGTATTAGAACCCACTGTAAGGTCTTCTCTATCCTTTTCCTTTACTTTCCTCCCGCAAGGGTATGCTAAAAGAAACTTTCAGGGCGTGATATGGATCTGTTTATCCTTGATTTCTTTGTAATCCTCTAGCAGTGAATTAACTCATCAGTGATATGGTCTTATGCAATCATGACCAGTGAAGAGGATGTTAAACTCTATGCACCTGGCTACTCTGCATGAATAGACTGATGCTTGATCTCCAGGGCTGCCACCACGCAGTAGTCCCAGGAGAGTGTCCAACAGTCCGACTGAATTGCGGACGGCAATATCCGGCTCTGAACATGGCTCTGCTCGTGGAAAAGGGAAGAAGCATTATAACAAGCTGGCGATACATCGCCCACGCCACCGCAGGGGGCGCGAGCCAAACGTTTTGCAGAGTCTTGACGGTACACATTTATTGGCATGGCATGACAGGCTGGAAGATCCATCTAAAGCAGTGTTCTATTGAAAAATGATGGGGCCGTACAGCGAGTTATAAATCGACAATCGTAGCCCCCGACGACTAAGACGAGCAGAGAAACAAACATTGTAAAGCACGCTGTCCACTAAAGCACCAATCAATACTCAATCAATAACCAGCCGCGTTCGAGAGTCATGGCCCCAACGTCGATTTCCCATGGTTCATCATCCAGACGGGGAAGGGTCGTTACAGTGCTGGGCGTCAATGCTGTGTACTTGCCTACCGCAGCTTCACTGTTCCGTTTCAGGGAAACCGCTGGGCCCTGCGCCGTTTGCCCCTTCAAAGTCGCACCCTCAAATTCGGGGTGTACTAAGAGCGTCACACGAGACGGCGTGACGTCTGTCTTCTCGCGGGTCCAGAAGGGCAGCCGGTTACGCAGTCCCGCGAGAACCATCTTGGAGGAGGAAGCCTGCTGTTTCGACGCAACTTTGTACCACTCAGCCGGGTAGTCGTCCTTGAGATTGATCGCTAACGCCGGGGCCTTTACCGAGTCAATGGTACCTTCGACGGCCTCCTTCAATTTGCCGCTACTGTCCACTGAGGTGTAGCGCAGATGCATCACAATGTCCGAGATGGTCCGATAATCGAACTGCCTGTGCTTTTCCGGAAGGTGAATCTGCCACTCCGAGATTACCCCAGCGCCTTCAAACGGGCCGTACTGACCGGATCCGTGAAAATCGAGATCAAATTTGCCGGTATCCTGCACGCCAGTGCTGATCGCAACGGCGGTAATCGGGATCTGGTCCGTGCGGTACTTGCCCTCCTCTTCTGCGTAGAGCGTGGACTCATCCTTGACGACGGGAGAGATGCGCTATTTGTGCTTTGTTAAAGTGGGCGTGCAGTTGATCGAGGTGTACGGGCCAACAATGCATGGAATGCTCAGAGCGACGGACGAGATCCGACGGCAGTAGTGGCCGGGAAAGTCCCTGTCAAATAGTGTCTCGTCCAGCTTGATCGTAGCCGAGCCTGACTCTTGCAACTGGATCAGGGACAGTGGGTCTATTTGGCGGAGTGATATCGTTTTCGTGATCTCGAAATCATGCGTGTCATTTTCCAGGTGCATCATCTCCCATCTTCCTGAGGTCCAGAAGAAGGGCGTCCCCGCTTGTTAGGCCATCAAAGGAGTTTTCCAAAACCCTTCCAATGCTCGTGGATGGCCGCGAGGAGGCGGAGCTGTCTGGGTATCGGACTGCGTGTTCAAAGTCCAGGGCGCGCCGTGCCGCCTTGGCCATATCGAGCGCCAACAGGTAGGTCTGGTGAAAAATCTGGCTGGTCGAATGATCCAGGAATGCGTAGAGCTGCTGGTTTGTATACTTTTTGCGCATCCATTCTTCCTCTGCCGCCGCATTCTCGGTCTCCTGCTGTCGGGCTTTGATCTCCCATTCCACGCTCTCGACACGGGTGTCCAAGTGTGCTATATCTTTGTCAATCCTCATGAGCTCGTGCCCCATTGTGTTGGCCTGGAGCAACCGCTCTTGCAGTTGCCGCGACAGCGCCGATTTTCGAGCGGCCCGCCCGCCTTCGTCGGCTGCAGACTGAGCTCGTGCCTGTAGATGACTCACCTGACCTTGCGCCACCTGGCTAAAGGTGCTCCCGCCAATACTCGTACTCACACCGACTCCCCATGGCTCAATACTCGTGGTGATTGTCGGTAGGGCGAGGAGAGCCGCTGCCTCAGCTTCTAGATGGGCAGCATTGGTGTTCAAAGAGGATGCTGTGTCATAGCAGATGCCTTCCATGTTCTCGTACAGCGGCATCCGCAGGTCGTCCTTGGTACGAGCCTCAATAGCGATTGCAATGTCCTCCCACTGCTCGCCTGGTTTGGGAACTGTCTTTGCCTCCCCCGCAAGCTGGATGTAGTATCCTAACTGCATCCCCAGCTGTTTCCGGGACTCCTCAAGCACCTCACGGGCTATTTGTACCCATACCTCGTATCTCATTGCTCGTTCTCAAATTGGATGCCTCTTCAATTAAAGCCAACGGTCTTTAAATCATACTGGATATACAAGAGGAATGCGTTTCGCTCTCCCTTATGGGATGCTTCTGTTCTAGGCCACCTGCCTACTTTGCTTTTTCAATGGTCCCATTCTCATCCCTTGAGGTTGATATCCACCCTTCATAATGTCCTTCCTATCTTGGACGTGGCCGCGCCCGTTGACCAAAAGGAATGCCTATATCCGGAGACCGAGAAATACTCAGGTCTTGTCTGATCTTCATATGCACGTTTCCAGCTGATTTCTCCTGAGGGGAGTGGGCTGCCCTAGGCTGACATGATGTGTTTGCGGTGGGCCGGACCCCCGTATAGAGGATGGTTTCGACTAGAGCATTACAGACCTTGACTCTATCTTCCGCTGCTGTAGGCTGTATGGCCATCCTATGGAGCACTTCCAAGGATTATTGAGACAATGTGATTGCGCTGACGTGTCCTCCGTAGCCCTCATTACTTGCTGTAAAACCAATTTCATGCTTTTACAGTCCACCATTGTTAATTCCTCGCCTGAGGTGTTCTGAACTTGCTATATGATAAGTGCAGTGTACAGCCCTACACTATTTTGGGATGGGGCCTTGTTCGGAACAGCAGGATCCCATATTTCTCGCTGCCAGTTCCAATGCTCCACTCCATCCACTCATGCCTACCGGAATCTGCCCGTGACGGATGTACACAACCCTATTCAAATCAAACTTGCATGTAGGCCTATAAAGCAGTCGACTAGCAGTCGGGGCGTGTCAGAAATGGGGCAGATAGCCATGCATGTAATGATTAGTACCATTGTGCCTCTGTTTGAGCGATCATCCTGGGTGGTGCCCTGCAGCTGATGTTTGTTGTTACACAACTGCTTGATCACCACTAGTTTGTTTGGGATGTAATTGGCGCAATTGTGCAGGGTTTATTACTGATCTCGCATTGACCCAGTTATGTCTGCGACAGCTTTGGAGACATTGGAACAACCCACAAATTGTCAGCTTGTATCCCAGTTGGAGCGGGGTAATGTCAACTGCTCCTTTTCCAGCTGATAAGATGCACAAGATACGGAAAGGCATGTATACCATATCTGCCCAAGGGACGATCTGGAGAAGACCTATGAGATTCTCAAGAGAGACGGTGTTTTGCCACTGACGGGAAAGCTCAAGAGGGAATTCTGATTGATCTGATTGATGTATCTAATGATGGGCCAGAAGTTGGCATACCACAGCCGACTTCAGTCAATCATATTCCGCTTAACAGATCTCGGTGTCGTCGGATTGTGGGGTTGCGGGATTACATGCTCGGCTATCTACCGCGTCATAGATAAGTTCCAAAATTGCACGACCACGTCATGCCTCCCAGGCAACCAACGTATATAGCAACTGGACAGGAACTTGCTTGAAATTTTCTTGATCATTATTGGTACCATCCTTAGTAGAATTGTACAATCAGAGACTTCCACCCCTAATGGCCTCCGGTGTTAGTGGGCAGCATGTTTTGCTAACAGGTGCAAATGGCTTCGTTGCCTCGCATATCTTATCCATCTTGATAGAAGTACCATTATTCTTCCTGGCTTGTAGACAGAACTAACAGTGTGTGACTAGCGTGGATTCGCCGTCACGGCCACTGTACGATCTCACGCCAAGGCCGACGATATCATCAAGACACATCCCTCGTGGAAGGACAAAATCAGCTTTGCCATAGTGTCAGATTTCACTTCTCAGCAACCATTCGATGAAATATTTGAAAATACAAAGGTTCCCTTCACCTACGTTATCCATACAGCATCCCCCTTGAAGTTCAATGTCGACGATATCCAAAAAGAGATGATCGAGCCTGCTGTTAAGGGGTCAGATATAGCTCTTTGCACATGCATATTGGACAGTAAAACTAATGCGCTATAGGACTACGGAGATCCTCAAAAGTGCTCACAAATATGGAGGCACGTCTTTGAAGCGGTTCGTTCTGCTGGGTAGTGCTGTTTCCGTCCTCAACTCGTTCGAGGACATCACCCGCGAGGGCCGCCCTTACAACGAAAATGATTGGAACCCAGTAGGTTTTTTTTCTGTAATGGAAGAAACGAATACTTTGATTAATACACAACAGGTGACCGCTCAGCAAGCCATTGAGCGGAAAGACACAGTGCTTGGCTACAATGTGTCCAAGACCCAGAGTGAAAAAACTGCGTGGGAGTCCATGAAGACCAACAAGCCCAACTTCGATCTAACCGTGATCAACCCGGACATTATCACAGGCCCTATGATTCATCCCATCTCGGGGCCAAGCTCTATCAACGAGACCAACCACTTTGCAATCGCGAGCTTCATTGATGGGACACACAATGCCGTCGAGGATGTACGATTTCCATTCTATCACTTTGTACGTTTTGCTCGCCTATTTTCCATTCAAGAAGTTGGTAGTGTATCTAATGAAGAGTAGGTCGATGTTCGGGATGTCGCCCAGAGCCATGTCGACGCCTTGACTAACCCTGTTGCGGGGGGTAGGCGGATTCTGCTTATCGCTGGATTAATCACGCCGCAGTTGGTAGTGAACATCATTCGACAGAACTTTCCCAGCTTGAGGGATCGCGTTCCAGAAGGAAACCCTTCAAAAATCTTGCCAGACGGAGTACATCCGACCGGCTGGGATATGCGGGTCAGCTTGGATGTCTTGTCCAAGGGGAGAGAGGGGGGACATTGGAAGTATATTCAGTTGGAACAGAGTGTCACCGATGCTGTGCAGTCAATGATTGATCACAATGTTTTATAGTCGCTGTTCTTTCCCCCCCTTATATTTCCATAAGGAGCATCATTTCTGCCTGAGTTTTTTGGATACTAGTTGTATCTATTCTTAGTCAAGTATTGGGTTGTTTCTCATCCAGATTCTCGCTCAGCCTCTCACATTCACCATTCTCAACCCCATTCAGGCGACTAAAAAAGCGGCGACCACCTGTTTCTCCACTGGGTTGAGGTATAGGACAGATATGGAGCTTATGGCTTTAATGTGGTTAAAAGGTTAGTGGGTGCTGCTGTCTCGCAACGCTGCTTTAAGTCATGCGACCCTGGGTCAATGTAGGTGATTGTAGAATAGATGAGGTCTCTTTCAATCCCCAACGGTGGTCAGAACTATGTAATAAAATTCCCTCTGACCTTAACGGTGCTTAGTAGTCTTAAATCTGACTGTCAAGGACCTGATGTCGCTTGGTGGTATGTTTTTAGACTAGTCTGTTCAGGCTCCAGTGTTATGAATTGTAACCAGGTATACTATTAGAGGTTCTGATACAGATTAAATCCCGTATAATTGATTTGTAATCAACCTGCAGTTCATATTATATATAACCCTCGGGTCTACAGAAGGAATTACGAACAACCAATCTTCCTCTGGATCACGACAGCTTTAAAAGAAACTTTTTCCTGCCTACTTCTGCTAAGGCGTTCCATCATCTGCCCCTCAGCTAGTACACACTCATATGCAGAGGACTGTCTACTTAATTGACATCTGTCTCCCGGTCTTCCTCTTGATGAGACGTCCCCTCCAACGAGGCTGATAGACAAATGGCCCCAGAGTCTAAGACCCTGACGGCATCCTGCCACTGCCGCAACGCACATTTCTCTCTCACTATACCCGAGAGTGACCTGCCACTCAAGGTACATGTCTGCCACTGCTCCATCTGCCGCCAAACCCACGGAGCCCTCTGTTCATTCCATTGCCCTGTTCCATCCGGGGTCGAACCACAGTTCATCGCGCCTTCTGGACTCGAGAAATTAACCGGCTATGCGCATCCATATTCAGAATCAACGCGGTATTTTTGCACTAGTTGCGGCTGTCATATTGGCGACCGTAGCCATGACAATGGAGATTGGTACATCTCTGTTTCGGTATTCGACGCCAACGCTAACGAGGGTTTGTGGGAGATTGGCTCGCACGCTTTCACAAACTCCACACGGGATGGTGGAATGTCTGAACTCATTCCTCAGATCAGAGGCCAGATGGTTCGGGTGTGGAATCCGCAGGAGAGTCCGGTGTCCGAGGAATTGCCAGTGGTTCCAGCTCGTGAGGACGATCAACTACTGGCCCAATGCCACTGTGGTGGCGTCTCAATGACGATATCACGTCCTCACAGGGACTACTTGAGCGGCCCTGCAGGCCGTAAATGGGTGCATCCATCCGATATCTCGAAGTGGCTTGCGCTTGTCGACGTCTGTAGGGGCTGTCGCCTGCTCACTGGTACCCACGCGATTGCGTGGATATTGGTTCCGACGGACCATATCTCGCCGTCGCTATCACGAGATCTTCTGATAGGGTCTTTGAAAAGCTATGTGTCCAGCGAAGGGACTCTAGGTTCGTTCTGCGGGACTTGTGGTGCAACCGTGTTTCGTAGACACATGAGTCAGCCAGGTATTGTTGGTATTGCGATGGGTTTGTTACGTGCATCAGAGGGTGTCATGGCCACTGATTGGGCATGTTGGAGGACGACTAAACTAGAGAATTCAGATGAAGGAATGAAGTATGATGAGTGGTTTACGAAAGGATTAGAGAAGGGTCTAGTTGATTGGAGGACTAGAAAATACGGCACTATGCAGGATCTAGCGGTGGGGTTAGAGGATTATGAGTCTTGGTGTGAACATTAATTTATAAGGTGAAATAGACGCAGTAGTTTATACTATTGGCAGCGATTCATTAGCATTCATAATCTTTGTTGCCTAATAGCAAAACATTGAGATTCTCAGATTTGACTGTGCGACATCGCCTCATTCTAATTCAATATATCATTGTAATGTTCACCTGAGGAAAGAATGTAATATTAGCTGAGCATTTTTCGCTAATTATACATGGCTCAATGGTGTGCAGTCTCTTCGGAGATCCCGGGCCCCTCAGCCTAGAATGGTCCACATACTGACGCCCTTGAGATGTGCGAGTAACGTACACAGCCCCAACAGCGGACCTTGTCTGGACTTTCTCTGTGTATATCCTCTTACTTCTCGCCAGGAGGTGCGAGTATACATTAGCGAAGTAGGATGCTCTTAAGGCATGGATAGGAACCCTTAGAGATAGAACGAAGTTGGAGTGGCCGGGACAGAGACATGTTATTAGAGTTAATTACTTGACTTATAACCTGTGAAGGCAGTTGAATGATTACTTCATGGGCAGGTCTAAGGTTCATAACTTCACACATTATCAACTAATATTCGCATCAGTACTATATCGCTTTGTGTGATTGAGATGGCCGACACCGCTTACCTATCCAACCCACGAGCCAGCTGGTCATATACCTCCATCGTTCCGCAGCGAGCTTGGCAACGAAATGATATTGCCCCGCCGGCCGTCGGGTACCTTCGTGTACGCGGGTCAGCTTGGAATCATTATGCACTGGAAGTGCGAATAGGGGCTTACATGGATGCCATCTCTCCTAGTGAGGCTGCAGTTGCCGAAGCACCGATTAAAGCCACTGGCCTGCAATCAGACAACTCTCGTGTTGAAACAGTGAAACTCACAGATGAAGCCATATACGAGCGAAACCGGTCCACCGCTGATCAAGCCGGACACCATAGTGCCATTCGCTCGATGAGTCAAACATTCTACATTGAGGGAGGCCGCTACCACCCACTTGGACAATGCCTCCCAAGTAGCCATGAGAACAACCGCCATCGATAGGATGGTTAAAGAAGTGAATCCTTTCTCCCGTGGCAACAGCATAGGCTAGGTAAGTTCTCTCTCTTCAGTAGATTCCTATGACCAGATGAATACCTTGAGTTCTCGCATCTCGCCCATCCCATACACGTCTTCTTCACCACCATTCTGTGCTGAAGAAGAAGCAACGAGGCTCGGCTTTTTCTGTGTGGAGTCCATATTGAGTGTGTTTTCTGAGGTCCAGGTGTTTGAAATTTCAAGTCTCCAGGCTGAGACTAATAGGGATCTATGTATTGCGACGAGCGTATCCACGCCCGACTCCGAAGTTTATCCATTATAGTATCAGAAGCCATTTAAAGATTAATAATTGAAGTTGGGTTTCTAAGTTAAAATCAGACTCTCATAGCAATTGGTGAAATTTGTGTCTGTGGTCAAAAGCGTTAAAAAAGTGCGAACCAATCGGAATCCTGTTACGTCAACAGGAGAAGCGCTGAATATCATTCGTACTAATTTGGGATAATGAACTTTGTGATATAGCCATTATTAATGAAAGTGTGGAAAAGAAAATGATTTTGCACAGCGACGTTGGTAGTTTTTAGGGAGTGTAGACATCACTAGTAAGGAATGTGAAGTGTAATGAATGAATAACTCCGAAAATCTAAGCATTAGTGAAAGGGAAACATGCTGTAATATTCTGAATGCCTATACTCTTTGCAGTCGACTATTATTCGGGTTCCTGATACCTCTAACCCTCTTCCAGTCCGCAACAAAAAATCATCATCTCAACCAAACCGTGCTATTTTAGGCTGTTTAAGCCTCTTTTTCTTGCTAAATTTAACATGTTACTACAGAAATTACCAATAATCCTGTTTATCCATTACATTTTGCTTACTAGCGCCGCTCAAAACTTTTGGTGCATGCCTCTATCGATGGAGTGGACGAGGTTTCTACAAGATAAATGGATCCGTGAAACCACGTTATGTTATGCTAGAGTCTTGAAGTACCACTTGCTTCCTAGTCAGCGAGGGAAAGTTTTTCTCTCCAAGACCTGACGAAGATGGATGTGTCAGTAAATTGGCCAGCTGTGGAGTTCACGAAGCAGCTTTTCAAGCTGCTCCGTGCCGCCGTGTTTTGCTACTTCATCCTTCATCCTGTCGAAGCTCTTCGTGTTCATAGACACCACAAAGCCATTGTCTCCAGCTTGGATGGCCACTGCCAATAGATTGCCGTGGAAGAACAGGCCAAATATTGGACGAGACTTCTGTGCGCACATACGCAGGCCAATTGAGGTTGAGGTCTCAGCAAGTTCCATTAATTTTGTCTCCTTCTCCTCTCCGAGCCTTTCAAATTCCTTGCCATGTTTGTCTAGGATATGCTGCAATCCCGCCTTTTCGTTGCCGATTTCACTGCCACCAGAGTTGGCATATTAGCCACAGACTTTATACATGCGCTCCCCAGGAGAAAGTACATAGCAGGTAGGAGTTGGAAGCTATTGAGCACAGACATACTGCAGTGCGAATCTTTTTAATCAGGTTTCATGGCGTTATCCACCAATGCGCCAAGAAATCTAATGCACATCATATTAAAATATGGACATAAATATGAACACATGTATAATGCTATATATATTACTGTCATTTATTCTCTTTGGCGGGTTCTGGTTCATGGTTGGAATGGAACGCGAACTGTGATTTTACAAGGTCATTAGATGATACACGAGTTGCATATGAGGGCAGATTTTAGCTCGATTTACATGCTCCACTCGGTACATGTAGGGTGACAGTTCGCGTGTAACATAGACCCAGACTAGTCTAGCTAGTGCAGGCGGTAAGCCATAGTTAGCCCTCACAGTGCTCGACAGCAGTATTTAGTTCCCTGTAGCAATCCCCTTTTTGCGCATTCTGGGTCACACTGGTCAAGCCTCTACACGCTGCAGTTCCAACCAAATATGCACCTTCCGCGATCTAGAGTTCGTTCCATATGGAAACCCCTCAGCGTTTTTTGCACTCAGTCACAGTCGCAAGAGTATATCAAAAGTGTTTGCATATATGGGCGATTCATGGCGCACGCTGCAAGACAGCTCTAGTACGGACGACAACGAAAGTACCATTGAAACAAGCTTCGATCTCTCAATGAAGATCAAATGTGATTTGAACGTCACCATCAAATTCGAGATACCTTCTCGGCAGTGCTCCACAGCGTTTGAGGAAGAACCGCCGGCCCCAAAAGAAGGTCTCCATCATTATCGTATTTTTCCCGACTACGGAACTGACTTCCTCTGGTTCAACGTTGCGGACCCATCATACGACCCGCCTGACACATACGTTGATTCTTCCGAGGTGCTGAGTCGTATGCATCCTTCAGTGGCCCAAGGCTACGATTCCTGGGTGCGCGCATACAATGACAACTTTAAGGCGAGATGCGAGGACACGCAGGACTATTCAGCAAATGTCTTCGGCACACCTTCGGAATACGTAGCATGGCTGGTTACTGGTTACTTGCTCGCCTGGCGCATTGCTCTGGACCCTCGGGTAGGCAGTGTGGAGTACTTGCCTGGGCGAACGCCGCATGTATTGGAGAGGGGGACGGAGACTGCTGCTACAGTAGCATTCCTGGAGGAGCAGGCTATGCTGCTAGCAAACCCTATGAGCCATTCTTGATGCTAGTATGTGCACATCACGGAAATTCGGCGACTTATCAAAAAATAAGGGGTCGAATCTTTCGAGTTATGTTTGGTTTTCGTAATCTCAGGGAATATGTGAAAACCGGATGAGGTGAGGAGGCTATGCAAAATGGAAATTCCAGTGCGATGAGTTAATGCTATGAACGTAGGGCAGCTGTGTGTAGTATTGCTCGCATGTTGATCACCGGTCTCTCTCTCCTACCGCTGTATTGGACACCAGATGGGACAAAAAGACCGGACGGAGTATTGCCTAGTTTCAATCATTCATCCTGCAGGGAAGGAGAGCATAATCTGGGGCTGCTCAAGCAGCATTGAAGCCCAGTATTTGCGATCCTCTCCTTATTTACCTTATTTCTCTTACATATTTTTAAGGTTTTAATAAGTTCAAATATCTAATATAATAAAAGGAAGGAGCATAGGAGAGTTAAATAAAGGGGAGTGAAGTATTAAGAGTTTTAATTGAGGGAAGTATTAAAGAAGGTCAACAAAATACCCTCTAATTAGTTATATATATATACTAAGTATAGGGGGCCTGCTGGGTATACAATTTCTCTTCCCTCTGCATACTCTATACTCCTATAACTACCTTTATACATATATAATTACTTCCTTCTATTCCATACCTTGCTAATCTAGCATTCAACCTATGATCAATAACAATAATAGGAACAGCAACAGCTGTACTGCCGCAATGCCACAGCATCCTCTCAAAGTCCTGACCTAACAAACAACATAATGAATTGCTGGAGATCGGACTCCAAACGAGAGCTGGGTTCAAAAATTGAGACTTGGCTGCTCACCAAGTGCTAGAAGCAGTCCCATTACCGGCGAGATTCGTCTGGAAGAACCGAGTGAGCCGGTCAAAGGGGATGAGATCTACACGATCGTAGAGGTCAACATGGCCGGCGCCAGGGATCCAGATCAGCTCCTTTGGCTGGGCGGCCCGGGCATACGCATCCTCGCTGAACTCTCGGGAGTGAGCTTGATCGCCGGAGATGAACAACAATGGACGGGGGGCAATCGATTCGATATCGTTGAAGGGGTAGAAGTTCATAAACTTGAGGTTGCTGGTTAGAGTAGGATGGGTGGTGAGCTCGGGGGTAGATCCGGCGGGTGTGAATTCGCCGCGGGAGGTGCGGTAAAAGTCATAGAATTCGCGCCCGACGGGGTCGGTGCTGGGAGTCAACTCGTTCGGAGTGCCACTGGTGTATTTGGTCTGGCTGGGATCCTCCAGCTCGGTCCAGCGCCGCTGTGCCGCGTCAGCGATGATGGCCTGGCGCTCAGTGAGAATCTGGGAGTGGCGTAGCCCGTTGCGGTTGACGGCACCCATGTCGTACATGCTTGCGGTGGCAATGGCCCGAATGCGCGGGTCAATCTTGGCCGCGCTTATGACAAAGCTACCACTGCCACAGATGCCCACTGCACCGATGCGCTGGCGGTCGACGGCGACAAAGTCCTGTGTGCCAAGGTAGTCGACCGCGGCGCTGAAGGCTTCAGCGTAGAGATCGGGCGACACGGCATTACGCGGTTCCCCGGAGCTTCCGCCCCAAAACTGGAGGTCGAGGGATAGGGTCACGAATCCCTGTTCCGCCAGCTTGGTGGCATACAGGTTGGCACTCTGCTCCTTCACCGCGCCCATCGGATGGCCCACGACGATAGCTGGGGCGTCACCGCCGTGGGTCAAGTTCTGACCGCGGGGGACGAAGAGGTTACCAGCCACGGTCATCTGAAATTGGTTCTTGAAGGTGATAGGCCGCAGGGTGACACTGTCACTGCGGTAGAAGTTGTCGGCCCCATAGGAGAGATTCTGGGCGGTAGCCGACATTGCGCAAAGTAGTGCGGTCAGACTAAGGGCTGTCGGAATCCTCATGATATTGCGATTGGTTACTCGTTCGAAAAACAATGGTAGAGTGGTTGAGGTTGAGGAGAGAATGATTCCATCTCGGGTCCAAGGCATGGTCGACCGCTGGTATAAATGAGCAGGCTGGAGGGGTGGGATATTGCACGCCGTTGTCCTACGTTATCTGCACCGGAGAGTGCAGGCCTTGGTCCTTGCAAGCGATACATCTGGAGGGCCGATGTCATCATGCTGAGACACTTGGTTGTGAGTCAGGGGTGGAAATCACTGGACAAGTCGATCCAAATGCGAGTTGCTGACATGTGGGGCCGGTCAAGCCCATTTCGCTGTATGAATGACCCATTGTAATAACAGCCATCCAGGGCTATCAAGCCGAGAGGATGACACCAATCCATGGATCATTTAAACACGGAAGTACTGGTGGCAAGAGCGAAGGCATTGTCCACTCCGCGCAACAGATAAAAGGGTTCTGCGTGAGGTATGCTGCCTTGGATGCACGCAACTTCTTGATTTTTCTGTCATTCCCGCGATAAGCCAACTTGTACGCGTCCTCATCTACCGATCAAGCCTCATTCATCATGGCCCCTTACATCCACACCGGGCCGGTTAACTGCGACCAGGACTTCGATCCCAGCAGTGTGAAGGGAAAGACTGCCATTGTCACGGGAGGTAACCGGATTTAATGATGTCACACTAGCAAGATTTTGCACTTGCTTACAGGAATACAGGTGCTAGTGGTCTTGGTGAAGCTTATGTGCGAGCGCTCGTCGCCGCCGGGTATGGTACACCCGTTGGGATCCAGCTTAACATCTGCCCACAGGAGCTGAAAGTAGTATACTAGGGTCTACGTCTGCTTCGGAGATATCGACTCGGAAAGAGGACAACGCCTGGCGGCCGAGCTGCCCAGGTAAGATCCGCCTCGGCACTCTGGCTGAGCATAGTCGATTACTGACGGGAAACTTCTTGCCTCATCAAGGACTAAATTTGTTTCCTGCGACGCCGGCCGCTGGGATGACCAAGTCCGACTCTTTGAAAAAGCAGTTTCTCTCTCTCCGAACGGCCGCATCGCCTACGTGGTGGCCAACGCCGGGATTCATCGCCCGGATGAAGTCTTCGAGCAGCCACACCCGGACCACGAGCCTTCCGAACCGGATTTGACCATCATCGACATTAACATCAAGGGCCCATTGTACACGGCCAAGTTGGCCGCCCACTATTTCATCCGCCAAAACGGTTCATCGCCCACCCTTGACCAGGAGGATACCTGCCTCATCCTCATCGGCTCAGGGGCGGCGTTCCTGGACTGTCCCCGAGGGCCGCAGTACAGTGCGAGCAAATGGGCCATGCGGGGCATCATGCATTCGCTACGGAGGACCACCTACTATTACGGTTCCCGGGTCAACGTGATTTCTCCTTGGTATGTCACCTGCCTCTTTATTGCCCCTGTTGCGGGCGTCATGCGTGGCGTCATGGCTAATGGATGAATGTTGGCTAGGTATGTCCGAACCAATATTTTGCCCGAGAAGACGTTTGCCCACATCTCCAATGTTGGGGTTCAATTCGCCACGCCTGAGGATGCGGGGCAGTGTCTACTTCGGATACTTAGTGATCCTAGCGTCAACGGTCACTCCTTCTTCGTCACAGCCAGGAAATGGGCGTCCCGGGGATATGTGGATTTGGATTTGGATGATTACCCAGGCAATGCGCTGCTCGGAGAGATCCAAGAAGAGCAGATGCTGAGTGCCCCGGTTTCGGCGGGGTTGTTCATTTGACTTGAAGTAGCAAGTGTGTTGATTTCAACACCCATCATGCTTGTTTGATGACTTGATCCAAATATAGAGGTGATTTTCGCTAGTTGCTGATCCTCTGTGATCATTAATCAGATCGTTTACGGCGGGTCCGGTCGGGCGTAAGCAAGGTGCATTAAGGCTCGGAGAAGATTAAATCCCACTCAGAAACGGGATCCGAGCTTTTTCCGAAGACTGGTTAGCATTGGAAGTCTGTATCAAACTATCAATGATGGCTGAGGATGTCGCCAAGAATGTTCATCTACGTGAATCTTGGCATATTAACCTTATCAGGTTAGAGACGTAAGCACCCTGCATTAGCTGAACTCTAATGTTGCTGATAAGAACCCGCATCTCTGTGGGAAGTAATGACTCTAAGGAGCATATGCGGCCATGAGCCCTCTAGGCACTCGCTCCTCTTAAAGGTATTTTTGGGATTTGTAGATCCAAAATTCAGTTCTTGTCAGCACCTTGCATTTATGATCCGTCTTCGCGTCTTCTAGCGGATTTCTTTCACTTTCCCATCATTTCTAATAGTGGACGGAGAGAGTGTATACACGAATCACGAAATATACCGCATTACGACATGATCCCACTCGCCAGCATGCCTCAGCAAGCAGGTGTTCGTGCGCCACAGGATAATTGGACGGGCGTCACAGATCGAAAAGAACGAAGGAAATTACAGAATCGGTTGAATCAGCGACTCTATCGTGCGTATAACATGCTTGATACAGCATTACCCCCGGGGCAGCAGATGATAGACAAACTTCAAGCTGACACCCACCTTGATAGGCTTGAGGAAGCGGGCAATTCTAGTAGGACCGCATTCCGAAACGAGCACAATCGCTCCCTCTGCTTCCGCTTCTTCTTCCTCTGAGTCGACCTGGGACGGATCTCTGCTCCATTTCCATTCCGCCGGCCCAGAAGAACATGACAAGTTCAAATGCGCCAATGCTCCACCTTATGCGCTGCAGTTCCGGCGATGGTTTGAAACAGCAGCCTATCGGAGCTACTTGAATGGCTCTCCACAGGGAGACCACTTGATCACTCTTTGCCGCCTTAACGTCCATCGAGCAATCAACGAGAATATTACCGCGATTGGGATGACCCCCGAATGGATGAGAAGCGATGATGCCGTCTCCATCTTCAATCTCCAGCAGCCCAGTTTTGCCAGGGAACGGATTCCACCTAGCTTACGCCCGACCCCCATCCAGCTGCAGGTCCCGCATCATCCATGGCTGGATTTTTTCCCGTTCCCCCGCATGCGCCACCTTCTGATACTGGCAGGCGATTCGTTCGATGATGATGAGCTGTGTCATGACCTTATGGCATTCTGGGATACTAGGAACACTGCCGCGACGCTGCTTGTGTGGGGCGACTCATGGGATCCAAAGAACTGGGAGGTCACCGAGAGGTTTGCACACAAATGGACGTGGATGATAAGAAACTCTCCTGAGCTATTGGCTTCGACTAACTTTTGGAGGCGAACAAGGGGAGAGAAGCCTTTAGATTGGAAGCATATTCTGCAATCGCCACACCGGCAACAGATAGATTTTTAGAGCTGACCGGCAGAACTACTTCACAGGGTAGAAGACCTAGCCGCCCATTGCTAGGTTAGGTCTAGTAATATGAGACACACATTCGCCCAAATCAAACTAAAGAGAATCAGTACGTCACAGATGCCATAATGGGAACATTGGTAAATTCTTTCGATTCTTCATAGGAGGAGCTTGATCAGAAATATAGTTCTGCCAAGAGACATAGTTTGCCTTCTGTGCATAAGGCAATGGAAGCTCTCAATCCAGAGATTCGTAATCCTTAGAGGGAGGGAAAGGGCGCCAAAATGAAAAGAGGCGCTACGTGCAGCCGCTCAGCCAGTGGTAGTGTTGTAGGGTGCACAGAACCGCAGAAAACGATGGATGCTTTTACAGCAACAACTCTAAAGGAGTCCCAGGTGACCCTAGTCTGTAGACTGATGCTAGGGAGAGCTAGAAGACGCAATACAGTGGCAGGCATGGGGGTTTTTCCAGGTGGTAGGGGAGGCGTGGGGAGAGCCATGAGAGCCGTCTTGTAGGTCACAGGCAGGGGAGCCAGAGTTGGCTGGCAGTGTACACAAACCTCGATCCAGCTACAGAGATTGTAGCGGCTCTTACATCTTCCACTCACGCACAATTGGTGGCAACAGCCAAACCCTAGCGAAGACCAGGGGTCTCGCATTCAACTTAACCCCTGGTAGCTAGTTATCTCCAGGCAAACCTTACAAACCGTCTGATGATGTCAGTGGTATCTTCTCAATTGGGCCAACCACGGACAGACAAGTTGGGCGACTTCTAGATCACCAGACTCTGACTGGGTGAGAGACGACAACCCTTCGCGGATACGAGGGCACTGAGGCTTGAGTTCACCCTTGGAAGGCATGGGCGGCAGTGCTCAAGATCAAACGGCTGCGAATGCCTGTCGGTCTTCGTTAACTTATCCCAGGCTATCCCGATTGCACTTATGATTCAAAGAAACGTTGAACATCCGTACATTATCTGGTTTTTCTACTCCTACCGGTCTCCCGGGTCTCGTTCTCAGCGTATAAGCCGTTCTTGAATCACTACCAAACACAATTACTCTTCGAGCCCAACCTTCAAGCATACCTAAGAAGCGCTTCCACGACTGTCGGTGATTAGTTTCTCGATATCGTTGAGCTCCTCCTTAACTGACTTAGGATCCTCCACACCAGGTTTACCGGGGACTCCTTCTGGGAGTTCATTGGGTCCTTTTGCATCCACGTCCACGTCAACACCCAGAGTCATCTTAAAGGTGCCAAATGAGCGTTCCAGGCCATTTAGCAGCCCTGGGCCCTTTGCCTCTGGCCCATTGGGATCTTTCCAGACTTTCACGTTGAATTGCTCTTGACTCTTGAAGGGGAATTCTTCCGGCAACACATACTTAGAGTTGGGATCCCGCAACTCGGCGTCAGTTAGGAATGGCTGCATGGGAGCCTCAGGATTCCCTGACAGGGTCACTATGAGCCCAGAAGCCAGTTCGGCGTAAGCATCCTCACCCAGCTCCGGAGCAAAGGTGACATTGCTGGCGGAGAGCGCAGCGTTAGGGGCTTTGAGGAGCATATGCGTAATGTGCTTCTCCTCCTTGGTGCCATAGAGATAGAAAGGCATGAACTTTGGAGGATATTCAAGGTCTCGATAAATAGAGTTAAGAGGACGGCTTTTGACCACATGTGTTAACTTCACGCTGCCTGTGTAGTGAGTTTTCCTGTATATGGTCAGTGTGTTGGTGATGCCAAGGGCACAGACTAGGACGTACGGATCTGTCTTCCTGTAAATCTTGGCCCCGAACGAGGTGCTGCCAGACGCCAATTTCGTTAGCTCCGCCTCCAGGTCAATCTCTTTCTCGGATTCAAGTATGATTGTGTCCCCCGGATAGTCGGCCTTGAGGCGTGTGTACTTTTCATGGAGACGATCGTCCAATTCCGCCTCGACGATAACCTGTTGCCGTAGAGTAGCCCAGTGGAATGATGTCTGCAAGACTAGGAACACTTTAGTATTGCCCTGCACCAGGAACTTGACCTTTCTGCTGCCTTTCTTGTTTCGAACACGGCACTCCTGAACTTTTTCGATAATAACATCTTCGAAGTCCTTCATAAGGCGACCTACGAAATCCCCTTGGGTTGGGAATGGGCTCATGACCACGTTGCGTATCACAAACATATCCTCCTCACATGGTTTGACACCTAGTCGATTCATAAATCTCCGGACGCATTTGCCGTAGAGCTTTGGCTCGAATTTTGTTGATGTTAGGAATAGGGGTATTTCCGCTGGCTTTGTGTCAGGGGAAGTAATAGACAGCTTGTCCACAACTTGCTTCATTAAGTAGTTCGCTTCCTCGAGGTCAGTATTCAAATTCCCATCTTCATCATACCAGTTGAGTGCAAACGCATTGATGTTCAAGTCCGAGCCAAGTTCGCGGAGCGCTTCAATCGTGTTTTCGTCCTGCTGAATCTTTGCATTGTCTTTGTTGATGATAGCTTCTCGGATCCGTTGCCTCTTCCGCAGCACCTTTTCTGTAAAGAAGCTTTTCCCGTCTTTGGGATATTCTCCACCTGGATTCTCTGGCTTTTCTCCCTTCATTCTTTCTTCGTTCAGTAAATTAAAGGGCACACAGACAAAGTACTTGTTTGTTCCCTCCTCGTTAGGTGTATGACCCATCGTAGCATAGTGTGCAGATAGCTGGCACTTGTTAGCCTCCATCTGAGACCATCTCCGGCAAAACCTACTATGGCACTGGTGTACGCTGCTTCACCAAGAAGCGTGCCGTAACCGTGAGAATGAAGACCAACGACGATGTTTGAAAGCCACGTGGACATAGCAGCGGCCCCAGGTTTACTGTTCGAAGAAATCCCTAAGCATCTGGCTCCCAGAAATGGTGGCTGCAGTTGCATTGGGCCTTACCTTCCTTCTACCCCATAGATGCCAATGTTTTCCGATGAACCCTGTGATAGGTATGGGCTTGACCACGTCACCAAATACCTCATTCTACCGTCGCGGTACAGCAGACTTCCCGCTGGATACGGAACATAGCCGGCTTTGTGTGGATCAACAGTAATAGAGTCGACGTCTTTCAGCTTTCGGAGATCCTCCTCGGTACTCTCTTTCAGACACAAGGACGGTACAAGTCCATTAGGATCGTTTTCTCCGGACTTCTCTTTTCCTGATCTTCCTCCAGGCTTCTCTTTTTCTGGACTTCCTTCAGGCTGCTCTTTTTCTGGATTCAGCATGGTAGCAAAGTAGCCGCCCCACGCGGCATCGGCATGAACAAGGAATGACATTCCATATTCATTTTGCATTTTCTCCCGAATGTTCAGGATGTCGGTTAGCCGCTCCACTGCTCCTTCCTCCGTTGAGCCCATAATAGCTACCACAGCATAGACGGCCTGATGTTTTTCGGCACAATCCTTGAGCTTTTTCTCGAGCAAATCAATGTCTATGCGGGCATCAAAATCGACATCGATTTCGGTGATATTCCCGTCACCGAGACCGGTAATTGCTACATTGGTTAACTTGATATCAAGCCAAGAATGCCTGGAACAACAACCACGTACCGGCCCCCTTTGGCCAAGAATAATGCCGAGTCTTTCCTATAAGATACTGAATTGGCTGTTCAATCCCAAATTTCTGCTCCAATGGCTCTCGGCCTCTTGTTTGAATATTGAACTCCTTTAGAGCCTTTGTCAGAAAATCACTGGTAATCCCAAACCGCTCTCTCAGAATGTCTGGCAGGTTAAGGACTGTCTTGGGCCGTAGGTTAAGCAACTCCCACGTATTCAGAGACCTGAAGTCTTTCGGGATTTCCCCTTTATCTTTACCGGCCCAGGAATCAACCTCGAAGTTTGGTATGAAGGATAGCGCGCCCTCAGTATTCATAGCCCATTGAAGTGCCAAAGGGTAGAACTTCAGATTTCGCGCTGGCCCAGGTTCAGCAATAGATCTGACATAGGCTGGGCTCATGACACTTACCGACCCAGATAGATTCTAGATTGGCAATAGTACCATCACAAGTGATGTGACCCCATGCCAATGGCAAGTCTTTCTTTTTTGTATCGGTGTTGTATCTGAAGAGACGGCATAGCTGCTGCCCGACTTCATACTCCGCCACGGTAGTTAAAGGGCTAGCCTCGAGAGCCACGTTGTTGGGATTATACAGCATGGTCATGAAATACCCCAGCAGGGATGCCATGGTTACATCTGTACTCATATGGCCTTCATACCGCGGCGTCCAGAAGGGTACTGAATGTGCTCCGAGTACCTGGGCAGTCTTTCTCACTACATTTCCGACCGTGTCTCGAACTTTGGAGAAGGCTTCTGAACGCCGGACATCTTTCGAAATGAATTTCTGTGCAAATTTAGTTTACCGATCATACTGGATTTCAGTGCCTAACTGCAAGCATGTAACATCGACAACAAGCGCAATGTCTTAGGCTAGCTATTCACATACAGTGTCATTGGGCATGTAATCCAGCCTGGTCTCTAGCAGCTCATCTAGGATAGTATTGATGTTAGCCCGGAAATCGGGCAGGTTGGCGCCCTTGGGCCCGATAAAGAAAGCGTTGATTTTATTGAATTCTTCTTTTCCTCCGAATGACATTGTCGATCAAGTCGTCTCGAAGTATAGTCAATTAACAGGTTATGAGTTGGCGGTCTGGCTGTGCGGTTATCGTCCTTAACGCTGAGGTATGAGACTGGAAGCAGACCAATCGACCGCCGTTTATATACCTAATTCCTCCCTGTGGAGCTACTGTTTGAATCGCAGGAGAACGATCTAGAGCCCGTCGCAGATGTAATTCCCCCTCATCATGACGTGTTCGCCAGTTGACATCAACACCCTCCATTAAGCAGTCTTGGACGAATTATCTGCATTAGATACCAATATGATGGGTCGGTGCTGATGCCAGGTGGAGTAGTAGCTTCGAGATGAGCACCTCTTGGATTCTTCTGCTTCACGTAATGCAGCTACTGCCGCTTGCATATTGATGAAAACGTCTGGCTCGTCATATCCATGGGTACTCCGAGAAGGATGTATCCTCACTCTATGCGTCATTATTGTCAAAGAAGTAACCATATATCAAGATTGCTAAAATGTAAGGCATCTTGTAGCCAGCCAGACCGAATTCAAGCATTTGACGCCATGATTTAAGATGCAATATCTATGAGGCGACTGCTATATTCCAACCTTAATACTGCCGTTACATCACCGAACATGGCTGCATCATGGTGGAGCTATCACTGATAGCCATCCCCGACGACCTCTTTGGAGGTGTGTCGGCCATCGCTCCCAGCACATGCCGGCGCCGGTTGCGGCCACTGCCCAACTTTCTGTTAATCGTGATATGAGGACTATCGGACGATCTTCGTTCTTGTTAGTATCATAGATTATAGGCCAGGGATGGGCCGGAACGGCCCGTCTCGGGAGAATGCAAAATCAGCACAGGTGGTCAGTGTTGGTAACCGGAGTGTTTTCCCGCAGTGTGAATAAACACCTGGGTAAATTTGATGTTGATGATGAGATAGAAAAGTCAAAGGCAACATAATAGATGATAGGGAGAAGGTAGGGAATATTGAAGGACAAACAGGCACTGGAAAATACAGGCAAGGGAAAGGAAGAGAAGGAACAAAGTCTGATAGCACAGAATTAAAGTGCATGAACAGGCTTCTACAACGTGCTGTATACTAGGTTACGTTGTAATATGTATATACCAGCAGCGTGATTCTCTCTACCCTCCTTTCCTCTTAGGGCCCTCTATGCGGCCGAGAAGGGAAATAGTGAGCATCAACAGTGCGTAAAGAATTTATCATGGCTATCCGCTTGCAGGAGTTTATGGATTATAAATTTTCATGGTTATCTTGTGTCTTACCGCCTCTGGTCTGTTGGGTCCGCAACCATGAAGAGCCCGGCCGACTGGTAGCACTCTAATGCTGACAAAGTTGGATCTAGAATATGAGTTCCCTAGACTCTTATTCCATGTTTACTATGTATTTGTGGGGTCTAAATGGTCGATTGACGTTTATGGAGTACGTCACATGTTAGTCATCCCCTAGGATACAACTAAGCAAAGCGTGATCTTCTAAGTTCTCGATATGAAATGCGGAAACAAGTTGCCAAAGTAAACCTAATGCTGTTGAACACGCTTATCTTTGAATGCTGTTATTAGAATTATTAGAATTTCCAGCTCAAGGTCGGAACTGGTACCATCTCTTATTGTAGACGTATAATCTTTGAAAACGGAAGGTGTGGACTGAAATGACGTCTGATTCTTACAGAAGCCATCACTCCTATCGGTATAATCAGTGCTTTTGGTAAGCCCAAGATGTGGTAATACATGAGCTAAATAGGGCCTGGACTTAGGTACAAGGTTGTCATTAACTATTCGCCACCTGCTGGATTTAAGATAACCTCTCTGTATAAAAGCAATTGGTTTCCCGACTTTGGATTCTTGGTTCTTAAGACTATACTCCTGCAATAAAATCCTTTATATCCAGGTCCCAGCACCAACAGACAATATGAAGGATTCCGTCTTTTCCATCATCGCTGCTCTTGCGCTCCCTTCTCTCGCTCATCAGCATTTCATTTGGAAACCTTATTTAGACAATCCAGGTACTATCTTTATCCACAATGACTGCCCATTCGATGCATACTTTTCAGAGGTTTGGCAGGGCGGGCATGATGGCCCTTCTTATCTCGGGCCATTTGAAGGCACGAAAATCCAACTCCGTCAGGAGGGTGAGGTGGATGTGAGATTCAGTCAGGGCTCTGGTCCTCCGCATAACCCAATGGAGCTGTGCTATGAATTTGATTCAACTAACACCTCATACACATTTGACCTGGTCGCAAAATCGCCTCGGCCTGATTTTGGCGGGTCTATCTCTATTATTCCTAACCCATCTACTGGAGAATGTCAGGAGAAGTACTGGCAACCTGGCAAACCTCCGGTGCCTCCAGGGGAGCAGGTCTGTCACGCTGGTACAAATATCCAAATCAACCTGTGCTGGTGATCTTCCATACTATCAGGTCAGTCTCTCAGATCCCATTGTTGGCTTATACTGATTTTGCATTCAGCAGTTTTATTAAAACGAGAGGTCAGACACCATATCAGTGAGAAAATAGTTACGCTGCAGTTAATGCAACATGGCTGCGGCAACTTAAGTCTCATCTCGTAATACTCCTGATCTGGTTCTCTATGATTTGGGAATTTTTCTAATAATCTGTGCCTTACATAATTAATTTGCGTATATGTTGGACGTTACCAAGGAAAGGAAGGAACTTTGTTAATCTAATATAATATAGGGTCATGCTACCATGCTGTTTCCAAAAGAATTCCTTAGAACTCTTAAAATTAATCGGTGCTCCGATGAATCTATCCTATAAATCATAGGCAGTGGTTGGAATGGCGTTGCCTTTTCATTAGTGTTGATTCCTAGCGATAGTCGTTAAAGGCTGGGCAGGCTTGGACAGTCATTTTGTGGGGTCAAGAATGTGTCTCCCAGCTCCTTCTATCAGAATCCTCCAAGACTAAAGAGCTCCCATCTGACACCCTTGTGTTCAGTCCACTCCCTGCCCTCGGACTCCGCAACCTTACTCCAGCCCCTGATCAGCGCTCTCCAGTAGCACGTCTCGGCGGCAGGACTCAGATATCCTCCGTCGTTAAACAACTCACGCTGTCGATCAGCGATGCCCTGTGCTATTGTGGGATGATTCTCCAACCACGCGATGGTAGCCTCAAGGTCGGACCAGTCCGGCGAGACCATCACCAGATTGGCATCCCCGGCATCAAGATCAGTCCGCCAGGCTCGCTTGATGCGATCCGACTGATGGGGAGGTCCCAGCCTGGGCTCTGTCTGTAATAACGTGCTCGAAAAGACTGGTCGCACGAGATGTGTGGTGTGCAGCATCCATGCCATGGGCGGCGTGAGAATGACGGAGCGGCAAGCCTGATGGAAGGGCAGCCGTCCAGAGTAGGTAACCCCCTCTGTGTAAATGATGTACTTGTACCGACAGAAGTCCTCAATGGCCAGCCCGTTACCGGCCGTCTGGCCGTTGGTTTCCCATTTCAAGGCTTGTACGTCCGCCCAGGGTTTGCTCGTGGTAACCTGAATTAGTCGCTTGCGGAGATCATGGTTTTGCACGTCGTTGAACCAAGGTGTACCGCGCCAGACTGCTTGTGGAATCTTAGTGTGGAATGTCCAATTCGCTTCGATCTCGGTGACCGCGGTCAGTGCCCGGTCCATGGATCCAATATACTTAAGCGGCCATGCCCAAAAGGCAAAGTGCGGCATGAGAAAGTCCCCCGCCTTGGTGGCTGTGGGATCGGCTGGAAGCGCATATGACCACGATTGTGCCATCGGCCGATCCTGGATATTCAAGGCGAAAAGAGTGTCTGGCAGCGGCTCTGGAGAAGTGACGATTGCGCGATAGAGCTGGTTCAGAGCTGCTGTCCGTTCCTGGGAAAGCGTTATGTGCACGTCTATTCATTTGGCCAGGATGAGGAGTTACATTGAGCATCTGCTCTGATAGAAATGCCTTCTTCTGCCAGTTTAAGACGTACAGCTGTTGCCCTGCGGTCAGTAAAATCCAACTGCTTGTGTCCTGCAACCTACCTGATTGTCCTTGATGCTTCCCTGTAACGGCTCTCCTAATCGCGACCATGTGAGAGTGAAAGGTCCGCGAGAAACAGCATCCTCGATTTCATTGAATAGACCAGGAAAAGCCGCAGCACATTGGGCGTGAGACAATGACCGATTACTGAATAAATGCTGCTTCGACCCGCTCACTCGGGGAAAAGATTGGGGCGCGAGGCTGCCAGGGATATTTCCTCCGATTCGAAGCCTTAGAACCAGAGCTATAAGGAACAAACAACTGAGAATGAAAATAACCCGCTGCAGTGGTCTCATGGTTCTGCTCCCGCTATTGGGTCAACCAAGCATCTACGAAGGCAAACCCTCATATCCTCGTGTGGTCGAACTCTCATATCAGCCAGCTTAGGCCAGCTGGCTTTGACTCGTCTCTCCGTATTACGTCTCTGCGGGGAGAATCCCCGATGGAGCGTTTCATTTACCCGGGGCCATCTCCGCGCTCAATGTGGTTAGAAGTATCTCTTTTTAGTCGATCTTCAATATAGGCCTCATTTGGGATATTGCAACAAGTCAAAAAATACTCGGTTACACATGCACAGATTCTAGAAGAGCGTCAAGATTTCCCTTATACATGCCCATAATTTTTACTATAGACTAAGCAAACAATCCGACCGGCTCTTGCCGAGCCCTTGATCAGACAGTAATGCGTCGACTTCGGAGATACTCATAGTCGGGCATGGCATCGCGTACCGTGGTCTCCAGAATAGAGGCCAGCTCCTCTCCAAATTCCTCTTTCCACTGCTTGACCTCAGCTGTTATATCCACCGCGGTCGGCGTTTTGTCCTTGATGATCCCCGTGGACCTCGACAGGGTCAAGAGCATGACCGCCTCTGCCTCAGCCTTGTCAAAATCCACGTCGGACTTTTTCTGACTTTGAGAATCAGGTCCCAATGTTTGCCGGTCCGGGACTTCTTGTTTGCTCTCCCATTCAAACTGCAACGCATTCGGGTCAAGGCCGGTCTCTTCGCAGTACCGGACCATCACCTGCGGATTGTGGATGATATCCTGCGCATCTACCACCAGGGGCTTTCCGGGGAGGTCAGGCTGTTCGAGGCACCAGTCGTAGAGCATTCGCGTCCATTTCAGCGTCAGATTGGTTTCTATTGACCCGGCGCCGTCCTCCCTCTGCGAAAGGCCGCTTTGCCCGAACTTTTGCAAGGCGCGGCACAGCGATGGGAAAGCCAAGGCTGGGTGACGAATGATGAAAGTCAGTCTCCAGGTATGCAGGTATTCGTCAGGCAGCACAGTATGATTGAGAGGGGAGAAGGTTTGCGAGGGACCGTACTTGTCCGAAATGCGCGGTCGGAAGCTGGCGGCATGATCGGCCCAATTCCCCAACTCGGCTGGATTAGTGAGCCAGAAGGCGTGCTCTTTGGCGAATGCAATCTTCCCCTCTTGCTCTGCTCGCTGAGCACAGTCCTCGAGACCATCGACAGCTTCCTGGAAGGCATCGCGGATCTCCTGCTTCTGGGCTTCGCTCCACTCTTCTACGGGTAGAGTTAGGCGGCCATTAAAGGAGACCTTGAGAAAGGCGTTGAAAAAGAAATAGCCTCCTTTCTCGTTGGTGACCAACTTCTGACCAGGGATGTTGAGGATTTTCAGCATGAGATTGGACGCCGTGCGAGGGACACTGATCAGGAGCAGGCGGGACTGAGACGGCGATTTGTTGACGTCAGCCATGATGGGTAAATGGGCGATTGGCAGTATAGCAGTACGTGAAAAAGGATCAATGAGAGATCAAGATGATGGCTACATCCAGCTTGCGGATGGCGTGATCGAGCTAAACGGGTATTTATATGTCGGTCATCTCCTCTTCACTCTTCTTCCCTGGCCCAGACGAATGTTGCTCCTCGCTTTCGGGTTTCGGACGATACTGATTGATCGTCCGCGCCGAAGCAGTGGGGGCCTCTATCTCCGATCGAGTTTTTAATAGGGCTTTCCTTCAACGGCGGATATTATTGGACTGATGACGTGTCGATCACCCGGTGAGGAGCAGAAACATGACCAAGGAGGGAGCGATCTGATGCATCTCCATCGAGAGTCTCATGATCCCACTCGGCTTTCGGCTACTACAAAGTCCGATAAGTTGGGGTACACAGGGATTGAAGGCGGCTTGAAGGCGGAAAACCCTACGTGTGAATGCGTGATGATGAAAGTGTGCTTCTATCTGATTCGAGGATGATATGGACGCAAACATTACCGGTGCTTGCAATTTCCGCTTAGTAAATGTGGGAAACCAACTTGCATCCCCTCTTCCACACCCAATTGCAGACATTCGGCAGCGAAACAGAGGCGGAATTCCTCGACCATTTTTGACGTGCTAACTCCACTCAAAAGGTCGCCTTGGCCAGGTTGGAGTCAAAGTTGGCATTCTTGAAAGGCACATTGGCAGCACCAAAGTCGGTGTCCTCCAGTGCCGTCTGGGCCACGGTTGGCAGACTCTCCCAGGCAATCAAGGGCTGTGTACCTCCCACAGTCGTGGTGAGGCCACACTGGTGATCCACCGGCCAGACGCTGTAGTAGTCAATGAGAGGCTTGGTGCCACTGAGGGTGAATCCATCTGTCGAGCAGTCCCAGCCACCATGGGCGGACGGACACACGGCGACAACGTTGTCAGCCGAGGTGGACGTGGACGATGAGAGCCAGACAATGACTCCCTCCCAGTCATGGCGATGTCCGAGCCCAGTCGAGGGCTCGTCCTTGGGGAAATACCATGCGTACATGAGGGCGTAGTAATCACCATACGTGGCCCCGCGCACGTAGATCTGGCCGGTGCTGCTGGCGCAGTCGCCGTTGGATGCTCCTGTCGGGGCCAGGCCAGCGCTGTTGATGTTAGCTTCAACAGAACATCGAGTCGTACCATGGGAGAGCCTACTTGGTGTTGCCCTCTGCATCGACCGCTGGGAAGGGAACACAACCGTTCACCACCTTGAGGTACGGCTGATAGGCAAGATAGACCTCTCCGGTAGTACCGCTGGGAACCGTCTGGGGGAATCCTACCACCGCATCACTGTCGATGCTCGCTCGTKGAAGCACGGCTCCCTGGGCGAAGCCTCCGAGAGCGGCGAGAGTGAGAAGAAAGGCCATATTGCGCGAGTCCGAGCGATGAGCTGCACAATAGCCACGCGACGGACAAGGAAGAAATATCTGGGCTCTTTATAGTCATGAGCTTATAATCAGTTAAAGTATAACACACGGAGAATCATACTCATAAACCTCTTGACAGGATATACAATTACCGCCATGCCGCACCGGGCGCGATGGTGTTTATTTCCTAGCAGACATGTAGCCGAGGAACGTGACGAATCCAGCAACGATCAGTGGCCAAGGCTTCCTCCGTGGCTGGTCTATAAGGAACACGCCATCTACTCGACGAGACTTGTGGTATCTCCATAGCGGAGATGATGAGGATTCCCTTGATATTTCCACCAATCGCAGGAGGTCGGGAGGGACTACAGCACGAGACTATATTAGAGCTCTTGCCGGATCAACATGTGCAACTATGCGTCCTTCTGATTCACTCTATTCAATTTGAATGGGTCTAAATATTGACAGTAGCTGTGTATTATGATCCAATTAATCCTTGGGCTAAGGTTAACGCACATATGAGCTGACGAATGCATTCAGCAGCACTAGATAGTATACAATAAATCGAACATGCAAGGTAACCCTGAAGTAGTATGGTGGATGAAGAAATACCCACCATCACAGGGCACCACCACTCTTCATGGCACCGGGGAAATCATCCTTGATGGCATCCCAGAGTGGCCTACCGCCCATCTGCAGGTCTTTGAATGCCGGACACGACATGTTCAGGAGTGGGACGGCGATGATCTTGTTGATCATGTCCAACGGGACTGCCAGGGTCTTGTAAAGTCCAGCCAAAGCATTAGGACTGGCAAACTTGAGCACTTCAAAGACAAGGCACAGCAGATTATTTCCCTCCAAGAGGGTAGTGAGGTTCAGGACGCCTCCCGTCACATCAGCGAGATTCACCCCGGCAAAGCTGTTGACCGTGCCGGTATTTCCTCCGATACTAGACGATTCATGATGAGCGGCATTGGGGGCGACGCGGTCGGCAGGAGCAAGAGACTTACCTTGCAAGTTCCGGATGTTTGAGCGACCAGTCCACTAAGTCGAGATTCAGCTGCACCAAGCCATAATCTAACGGAGTCTTGTACCAATTCTCAGGGATCCTTTCCCATCCCTCGCGGTACGTCAGGTTTCCTTCTTCTCCGTAGATGCCGTAAAAGCTGCGAACAATCTCCTTGGCTACTTGCTTGTCAGTTTTGCACTCACCCTCTGGACGATTAATCCTTACTTAAAACACCATCTGGGTTCTCGCGCGAATGATTGCGGAACAGTCGTCCAGGGAACATATAACCAGCATTGCGAGCAATGAGACCCGTCACTGGCCCGTAATAGAATTCTGGATTTGTCTGAATGCTTTGCTCAAAGCGTATTTTGGCCCGCTCAGCCATCAGATCCATGCTGAAAGTCCCGTCCGTTGACATGTTGTACCATTCCATGAACTTGTCCATGTTCAGCGCGTAGTTGTTCCCAGTAACATACAGATCGTCCCGCGTGTTGGAGGAATCGGCCTCGATAAAGTTGTGCGAACCAATAAGGCCCTGGGGCTCCCCTAGAATCAATTAGTCGTGGAATATTCGTTCGCGGTGGAACTTAGCGCACACCTAGGAGACCCCCCAGATTGTTCAGTAGATTGTTCACTCCAGTATCGCGACCTCCGATAGAAAAACTGGGATCGAGGGCAAGTGGATTGCCCGTCCACACGAGTCCCATCAGTGCGAGGATGGTGCCCAGGTCCACTCCCATTCCATACACTGCAAAGGTCAACAACCGAAGCCCAAGCAACACATGTCCTATAGATATCCTTACCATTGTTGATGGCCGCAATGACATCGACAAACTGCTTTCATGTTGAGTGCCAGAGCTTCTTGCTTCGGGTAATATCACGTACCGACACAACACCACTGCGAGGGATATAACCGTGATTCGCCAGTGCATTCAACGCAGGACAAGGACCCCGTTGGTCTCCATTCTTGAAATCCGGGGGCTGGAACGCGTGTAGGCCGGTCACTGTTCCTCTATTAACACCATTTTTACACCCTCACAGTCCAGCGGGGATAAGAATGGAATATACCATCAATGGGCTCGGACATCGAGTCCACCAGGAATCGCCTTCCCAGCTCTGGATCTTTTCTCTCTTTCAGCGCGGCATATGGGCAGTTTTTATGAGCAGATCCTCCCATATGATCAGGAAAGCCTGAGGCGAGGGAACCCAGACCCAGAATGGCCAAGGAAATAATCGCCTTCATCCTAGAACATGAATCTGACGGCCACAAAGAGTATTAGCAGCGTCAAGTGAAAAAGCTCTCCAGAGGATGTACAGTAAAGCACTGGCTGGACCACTCTCATCAAGGAAACTGGGAATGGCCTCTATAAAATTAGATGATGAGAGCACAACGACTCATATTCAGTGACATAAACGAGGGTATGCCCCTGAAGATTCAGTATTTGTGACGGGCGATCGCTATAACCTTTACTAATTACCTTGTCCTGAGTCGATCTGAATATGAAGTGCTCGCACTGACTTCCTAATTCTACTACACGGCAAATCCGACCCTAATGGTTCTAAGCGACATAAACAGGATAGCCGCTAGCAAGAACCCGGAACAGGGAGTCGGCATGTAGACGTACAGGGCTCCACATGCCAACAGAATAAGTTCCTAGTCTAAAATGACATGCGGGTTTCATGCCAATTTCAACACGGTAGCCGGACAGCGTAGCTCTAGAAGATAGAACAACAACAGCCCCGGAAATATCGCCCTTGAACCCTATTTACTCTCGAGTCCCGCATTTTCCATTCTGGTCACAAGAAACGGCATGGTTCGTATTTAGTATCATTTGCCGTTACCTAAAGCGGCGGTAGTCCCACCGCCGGGTGTCCCAGATATTCCACAACGGCAAACTAGCCAACGTCGATCAGATCCGTGCAAGAAACCTACCCTCTTCGCTTATGTTCCTACCAAAGATCAGCATATATACCTTCCACAAGGCGTATCTTGAGTTCCGAAGTAAGTCCGAACCGAACACGAGCGAACCTCGCGCCTAGTCTTGGCTGCATGCATTTGAACTCCATTGTGGCTTCCAGCAAAAATTAGACGAGCCAATCATGACTTTTGGAAAGAAATGACAGCACGAAGAAGAAACCAGTTCTGGCAGGTGGACGGCTTGGCAAAGTGCCACACTGACTAAGGTAAGTCGTATGTGGAAGGGGTTTAGTGGAGAGTTAAATTTGCTTTGGATTCAGGCTATATGCAGGCCATGGCCATTACTGTTCACGAAAGTGTGTATGGTGTAAAGTATACGTCTATCTGTAACCAGCTTGCTAGCAATAGAGTTCATCTGGACCAGACATTCGCATTCCCCCTCGAATTCCGATTAAGACAAACATCAAAAAGCTTGATGGGCCGAGCCTCAGGTGCTGGCCAGGGCCTGAGTAAATCAGCTTCTCTCGCAGATGGGCTCGAAGAAGCCAATGTTGAAGAGTTTGCAGTAACCACGCTGGGGTAACTGCCATGCATGGTGTCGATCGTAATAGTACATAGCCGTCGCGTAATTGACCCTGACTCGACACCATTAGACAATCCATTATTGCTTGTCCTCGAGTTGGAGTCCTGACAAATTCAGACATCTGGCAAGTGGAAGTCCAAAGGGGCAAGATACAATGGCCCATGCCTGTTCAATTCTTACCCTTTTGGTAACACGGAAAAGGTGGTTTGTGCTTTGCTTAAAGTTCATGTCGTGTAATAGTACGGTTCCACAGCATATTGCATTCTCGACCTAGAAGCCAGTTATGTTATGTTTCCCTCGATTTGCATGGCCAGGGGTTCTGTGGCCTTTAGGGGGATCCAGACCCTCCGGATCAGCAGGTGATACGCCCAATCAGCGCAGCCACCAGAGCTTTTGACAATTCTCCTAGCTAGCAGGATACTTGGACGATTGTTAGGACTTGCCGTCATGACTTGCCGCCATGACAAAGCCCTAGCGATATGCGGAACTGGTGTGCTGCATAGGAGCAGGGGCAAAAAGAGATCGCGGGGTGATCATACCTTTCCGGCTTTGTGGTTGTCGGGCTGTCACTGATTGACGATCGCGACGCTTGCCAGTAGGAGTCACCGCGGGAATGCATCAAGGGGATTCTCTTTATGTTTGGGGTTTTCTCTTTCACCCCGTTGAAGTTGGAGATTCGCATGTTGTTCGATTCGCCTCCTGGTTATCCCAAACATACGCATTCAGCAGAATGAAGGTGCTCGGAATTCTCCTTGTCCTTCTTTCATGGGCTGGCTATGTCACTGCCAACAACATGGAGAAGCTGGCGGCAGCTTTGCCCTCATGCGCTGTAGGTCGACACCGATATGTCATCGATTCTGGAAGGAGCATACTGATTTATCTAGCTGCAATGCATTGTGTCGACGCTCCCCCATTCACACTGCACCATCACAAACCAAACGTGTATGTGTACGGATCCGGTCTATACCAGCACACTGGAAACATGTGTGAAAGCAAATTGTACCATTCGCGAGTCTTTAGGTAACTCCATGTCTGTAGGCTCAGAGCGTCCGAATGACTGACTGGATCAGTTACGAAAAATGTGACTTCATCGGCTTGTGGGGTGCCGATTCGAGACCGGACTCGCGCGGTCTCCATTACCGGGGCTGCTGGAGGCGTTTTGGCCCTCATTGCTTTTGTTTTGCGCATGATCGCGAGGCTGCCATACTGTGGTGGTCAATTTGGGATGGATGATTTAGCAATGATCGTAACGATGGTGAGAAACTTTTGGCTTTACGCGGTTGAGGCGCGCTAATTTGCTCAGTCACTGGTCATTCCTCTTTCTGCCTTGTCGGTTGTCTGTGTGTAACCCTTATTTCGCCTTTTCAATGATGTGTATATACTGACCCTTATCGCAGTGGCCAATTTGGGTCTGGGAAAAGACATGTGGACAGTGCCACCAGACAATATCACGCATATCCTCTATGTGAGTTTCCTCAGATGGCAGTCTCATGGGTAGTTTTGACAGGATCTCAAGATCTACTTCTACGACGAGTTGGTTTATCTCAGTATCATCCCACTGACCAAGATCTCCATCTGCCTATTCTACCTGCGTGTGTTTCCCGCGCGTCCCTTTCGGATCATGACTTATGTCGTAATCGGACTGAATGCGGGCTACCTGATTGTTTTTGTCTTGATTTCGGTCTTCCAATGCAGACCCATCAAGGGAGCCTGGCTGCGCTGGGACGGTGAAGGCTACTACTCGTGCAACAACATCAATGCCCAAGGGTGGTCTGCAGCCGCGATCAACATGATTCTGGATCTGACCGTTATGGCCCTGCCATTGCGCGAGCTGTATCGGCTCAACCTCTCGCTGCGCAAGAAGCTTTTTGTCATGTCCATGTTCAGCTTAGGAATCTTGTAAGTCTTTTGCTTGCACATGATGTTTTCTCGCAGCTGATGCAGTACAGTGTCACTTTGGTCAGTATCCTCCGACTCAACTCGCTCATCCATTTTGCCGCGACCGACAATGTTACCTGTAAGACCAATCTTAACATGTGGATTGCATTGAATCTGTCTGACAATTGTTCTGTGCTACAGGGGACTATGTCGAAGTCGGATACTGGAGTACGATCGAGGTCCATGTGGGCATCATTTGCGCCTGTCTGCCAGCCTTGCGTGCCTTAATGCGTCGTCTATGTCCGACCATGTTTGGAGACACCACTCGTACAGCTTCCAAGCAGAGCGCGACTCGGTCGGGAAGAGCTGCTTCCAGAGCGGAGGGAAATATTCTGGGTCGTTCGAGCCTCAATGCTTGGTCAGACGGAAAGTTTGTGCCGTTGGTGGACTTGGAACATGCCCCAAAAGACGCCGGTCGTCCAGCATGACATTGAAGGCGTCTGGATGGGAATCCCGCTCTTAGTATTGCAAATGATGGTCTTGTTTACATCCATTCGTTGCCTTTGTCAAGATATATCATTCTCATATTCTAAGCGTTTGGGTTCCGCGTCACTCCTTTGAAGTCAGCCTCGGCTCTGTTCTACCTATTAGATACCAATATGTCTATAATAATCAGTACTAGAGATTAATCGAATTCGAACGCTAGTATCCACTAGCTTCTTGTCGATAATCTACGTTGCGCACTGCTATAGACTATGCTCTCCGTTCCAATGAAGCTCAAACAGCAATGTCTCAGTCACCCTGAATGGCTCAACTCGCCAACTGAAAAGCAGCATAAAGGCAATTAAGCATGGCTTCGAGGCAGATACGCTAGTTCTAGTCTGACACAAGTCAATTTCTGCAATTCCCCCATTCAGTAAGCAGCGCGACGGCAGGTCCGCTGTTAGTAGAAAGTGGGTCTGCCAACTGTCTCTCGGAAAAGCCTTGTATTCCGAAAACGAGGCGTCAAGTGTCATTTCGGTTAGGCACTGACAATCATAAGCTAAAACCGTCCGTTAAGACGGCGCGAACTTTGCTGAACGCCACTTTTCTGCAGTGCTCCACAACAGTGCCTTCTCGGGGAGATAAATGATCGTCCAAAGCTAGGCCCTCCCGGGAGAGGATCCGACACCCTACCTTACCTAGTATGTATATTGTTGGTTAGGTGCGGGAAGGACCTAGTTGATACTTTTGGTAATGATCACTCCAGAAATACGTCTGACGGGCATGTCATGGATTGGGGGATGACCCACAACGTGAACATAGTATACAACAATAGCAGTAGGGAAATGGCGGCGGGAAGATAGCAATACGATTGATTGGGAGGAGTTCATCCAGTGTATGACTCTCTGCTAAGGATACACTAAGCGCATCCTGGCGTGTTTTGACAACCTGATTGGGCCTTGTCGCAAAATATCCCGTCCGGTGAGCGTTACTAATGTCCGTCGACTAGGGCACACGCGGGAACGTATTTTGATCATGCAGACTGGAGCTAGTGTCCTTCCGCGTACATGCCGTCGTAGGAGGCTTCGAATTCCTCAGTCTCGAGCCAGTCCGTTAGTCATTGCTCCCAGTCAGGTACGCCTATGGGTGCCACGCCACGCCACGCCACGCTTTGCAGTGATCTCCTTTTGGGAATAGCTCATGGCCATCGGTAACACGAGGAAAAGCGGCCCATTTGCGAACGTCGATCAATACTCGCGTTAACTATGTGATTGGAAACGTTGGGACGGGTGTAAATTCAGGAGATTCTGCTTCTGATACGGAGTAGATATAAACTCATCTTGGATCAGAGCTTTGTTTTCTGTTAGGGTCACTTTGCCCAGCAGCATCACAAGTCCCTTGAGCACAGTCATTGGCCCAACATGCACATCAACAGGGGTCTCTCGATATTTTCCCTCTTCTTTGGGACTTTGGTCAGGTAAGCAGCCTGATTCTATACCTCTTGCGGATCGTCCAGGATAATGAAAGCTGATACGCCCATCCTATGCTTCAGTGGTTATGATGCAAGACACCAAGCGTATCACCAACCCCAGGCTCGGTCAAGGTACAGTGCACCACGAGCGACCAATGAGACCGCTCAGTATGACTATGTCGTGGTCGGCTCTGGACCTGGAGGAGGTCCCCTTGCGGCCCGGCTGGCCATTGCCGGGTACAAGGTGCTCTTGCTCGATGCTGGAGATGATCAAGGAGATGCACTCCGGCAACAAGTTCCCGCTCTTCAGCTGCAATCAACCGAATATGAGCCGATGAGATGGGACTATTTTGTGAATCACTACTCGGATCTCGAGCGTCAGAAGCAAGACTCTAAGATGACCTATCGAACTCCTGCCGGGGAGTTGTATGTTGGCCCGAATCCTCCAGCGAACTCGGAGCCCCTGGGCATATTGTATCCCCGGGCAGGCACACTGGGTGGTTGCTCGGCGCATAACGCCATGATGTGAGTCTTCCTAATTGCATTTGAGATGTCTTGGCGTATGCTGACTTCTGCAGCACCATCTACCCATATGAGAGCGACTGGCAAGATCTCGCCACGCTTACTGGCAATGACTCCTGGGCCCCCGATAAGATGCGCGGCTATTTCGAACGTCTCGAGCGCAACCGATACCTTCCCAGCAGCCTGATAGGTCATGGCTTTGACGGTTGGCTGACCACCAGTCTGACCCAGTTGACCCTAGTGCTGGAGGATCAGAAGCTGTTGTCCTTGGTCCTTGCGGCAGCTACCGCAGCGGGAAAGTCACTGCTGGGCATGATAATCACTACCGTCACTGGGTTGGGGGAAATCTTGTTGCGCGACATCAACAACCCGCTGCCCACCCGCGACCAGCAGACTGGACTCTTTCAAGTCCCCATCGCGGTAGATGTGCCCGACTACAAACGCACCGGTCCTCGAGACTTTCTCATGCAGACAGTCAACAGTGTCAACAAGGACGGTACTCGCAAATACCACCTGGACATCCAGTTGAATACACTTGTAACAAATGTTCGTTTTGACACGACCAGTGGGAGACCCAGAGCCATTGGTGTCGATTATCTCCGGGGTCAGAGCCTGTACCGCGCCGATCCCCGTGCAAGCAAAGCATCCGCAGGAACTCCTGGCAGTGTCAACGCTGCCAAGGAGGTGATCCTTTCGGCGGGCGCCTTCAACACGCCCCAGCTGCTCAAGCTTAGTGGTATTGGGCCAAAGGAAGAGCTGAGCAAGTGGAACATCCGCACCCTGGTGGACTTGCCTGGCGTGGGCAAAAACCTGCAGGACCGATATGAGACCGGCGTTGTGGGCAAGGCCCCCACGGACTTTGTCCTCACAAGCAAGTGCACATTCATGTACAGCATGCCTGATCCCTGCCTGGACCAGTGGCAGAACAACGCCATCGACAAGGGTACCTATACAACCAACGGCATTGCCATTGCTATCGTCCGTAAAACATCCACGGCCGAAGACAAGCCCGATGTGCTCATTTCAGGAGCTCCAGTCAACTTTCCAGGCTACTATCCCAACTACTCGTACGAGGGCCTGAAGGATGCGCAACACTGGACCTGGATCACCCTGAAGGCCCAGAGCCGGAACAATGCCGGCACGATCGAACTGCGCTCGGCGGACCCTAGAGATACTCCACTCGTCAACTTCAACTCCTTCGACAGTGGTGTGACGGAGAATGGGGCAGACGAGAAAGACCTTCAGGCCGTCTACGAGTCCATGCAGTTCTCCCGCAAGATCTTTAATGATCTGGTGCCTTTGGACGGCAAATTTGAAGAAGTATGGCCCGGTCCCAATGTGACCACCGAGGCGGATTTGAAGGACTTTATCAAGCGGGAGGCATGGGGCCATCATGCCTGCTGTACTGCAGCGATTGGAGCCGACGGGGATACAAATGCCGTCCTTGACTCGGACTTTCGAGTGCGAGGTGTGGACGGCCTGCGCGTCGTGGATGCTTCAGTGTTCCCCAAGATCCCGGGATGGTACATCGCGCTTCCCATTTATATGATCAGCGAGAAGGCGGCCGACGTCATTATTGCGGATGCTGCGTAGATCTTCTCTCATTGATATATATACAATGCCCTGTTCTTGTCGGAGCGCTGCTGTTGGGGACCGCTGTATGTTAAACTACCTTCAGCCATAATCTTAATCAGTCGAGTTGTGCACGAGCAGCTCCGTAGACATGGTACTTTGGTGTGCTCTTAACTCTAGAGTCTTACAATTTCGATCCTGACTTGACTATTTTAATCAAAGCCCGACCGTTGCTCAGGACAACCTTGCCCTTATCATTCTTGGTCACAAATCGGATCTCCGCGAACCCATCCGTGGCATCGCCGACCTTCCACATTTCCGTGGTGAGACGGTCACCTGGCCTCACCGGGGATGCAAACCGTGCCTGGAATTCGCGAAAGTTGTTGGGATTGCTGCCACCAAACGCCTTGAGAATGGCGTGAGCAGCACTGTTCCAGCTGAAGAGACCGTGGATGATGGTGCCTCCGAAGCCCATCTGCTGACCTGGCTCGGGTGTAGCATGAAGAGGGTTATAGTCGCCGTTCAGTCTTTAGGAAGTGCTGATCAGCCAAAATTCTTATCGAGTAGCGCAACCGTCGCAACGACTTACCGATACAGAAGGGGGGTTTCGGGTGTGGTTTGCACTTCATGTGTCGCATCAGGTTTACGGCCTTCTGGGGGAGGATAGTTGGGAGTGCTGGGGCCTAGAACACACAAGTTAAGGTCTGCAATTCGAGAGCGTGAAAGGAGGCAAGTAACTGACCCTTGGGACCTCCCCAGTTACCCTGGCCCACAAAGAACCCACTGCTCACTATCTTGGTGTAGACCTCCCCTGTTGATTTGTCCACGATGGTTTGTTCTGTCTCCATCACTGAACCAGCCTTGCCCTTGTCGTAGACACCAATGACCTTGTTGCGCAATTCAAACTGCTTTCCAGCACTGGTCGGTGGAAGGGGCTTGAGGACGGTCAATTTCCGCTGGCCATCGACCGACCGTCTGGGATCGAATTTGGGGACACCAGGAACCGCACTGGCTTTTTGACGAGCATAAAAGTCGGTCACCTCGGAGTCTGTGAGCTTGAATGCTACGTTGCGAGACACGTCAGCCAGATTGATCATGCAGTGGTCTCCCTCTGTCGGCGTGAACTTACACAGGATGATGGGATAAGTCGGAAAGACGGCAAAATTGGGATGGAGCTCCTATATAAAATTGTTAATAGTAACCTTGGGAGTCGTGACAGTAGGACACTTCATACGTAGAGAAAGTGCAGTTCATCAGCGGTCGCCCCGATGCTGTTGGCAAACAGCAACACATCCCGCTTGAGCCAGGAGACTTCCTGGGCGGGGAATTCGTAGCCAGCTCCGGGTCCGGACATTTTCGTTTTGAGGAGTAATGTAGATTTCTTTTGGTCTGCAATTGATGAAAATGCAGCGATTGATGTAAGACGGATGACGATGGCTCTTTATGTATTTGGTGTTTATGCGGGGTTGCCGAGGCATTTCGGGACGCGGTTGGAGTCGTGTAGACCGAGCTTCTGCAACTTTGGATTTATCAACATGTTCCTTTCCCATCGGATTTGGACACTTCTGCGCGAAAATATAACTTGAATAAACCTGTGTGAGGTCCTGTTGTTTAGAAGAATATCGTATAGAGGAATCGAACTCTTTGTATGCATCGTGATCATCAGTTGGAGCAGATATATATTTATGAAGCTACCAATAATGTCCACTAACAAAGACGCAACATCTCTCCAGGCCATGAACTTCGATGAGCCTACAAATTTCATTGCAGATGACCATTACTACTAAGAATAATATCAATTTCTCAGTAAAAGCACCACAGGATATGCGCTTCCATCTCAGGCCGTTCTTAGACTCGGCTGCCTGGAGAATTGGGGCACCATACACTGTTCACGTGATAGTAGTCTCGTGACTCTAGGGGGAGGATCAAATCAACCGACGAAACGCAGACAAAGTCATCCCCCACGAGTCCATGGCCATCGAAATGTATTTCAAAGACTGAATCCCACTGAGAAGGGTGCGTCGCACTTTTCGTGCGCTTGATAGATTCATACGCACCATAAAAGTGGCTACATCTTGCGGTCAACATCAGACCAACTGGAAATGACCACGCTGGTCCTCTCCCATACTCCTTGCTCCAAAGACCGGCAAGATTGTTCCCTGTCGGCGAGATTGGACTCGACTTATCCAGGTTTTGGCTTCAGCTATTTCCTTTGCCTTCAATTATCATGATATCTCACCCAGAGATAATAGTGCAGACGTGAAGGATGATGTCCCGGATCAGCTTGTTGACCTCTCTCTGAAGAGCGGTAGGCGGCAGTCAACCCGGGCAATGCGAAGGTGGCAACTACATACGGAAATTACCGCGCTTGCGGCCCCGGTATCGCCGCTCTCGGCGTAAGCAGTGGAGCATCTGAGGGTATGTTAGCACTCGTTGGATCTTCGTCACGGTTCATACCCAATCCAGATACTGAAACTGACCAGCATTCCCACGGCAGTGATCCTAGAGAGCTTCAGTCGGCCCAGAAAGCATCCACTGGGAAGGACGACAATCCAATGGCAACGAKGAACGACCGCGCCTGCAAACTACCGTTGATGACGGCCTGGTCGTATGAGGACACAATTCCCACGGAGGCCAAGATGGAGTGAAGGTACCAAGAGACAAGTGCGTTCTCAGATCGTCCGGAGAAGAAGGCACCATCGCAAACGGGAATCTCTTTCCATTGAGGGACGGGATTCTGGATGTCATGCAATGGAATGGGATCCAAAATCAGAGAAGCTGACTGATTGATGCATATTGCCATGGTACTAATTTTAATGTCAGCCCAGCGTGTCCAGCGCTGGTATGTTCTACTTACCCTGACCAGTGTGTTTGAAGGCCTCATCCTTTCCATATTTGGCGCAACGCCAACGAGGGCTTTTGGGGAAGAGCCAGATACCGTCGAATTGAATAGCTAACATGGCCGCTTGTGTTCAACCGGGGTTCTCCATGATGCCGCTGAGGTATATTTGATCGTCCCCAAAAATAGTCCAAGCTGCAATGATGGTCTCGAATTTGGTCTGGGACGCTCAGCGCCTGGTCCTCTTCACCAGATCGGAAGAATCAGACGCACGAGAAGTCTTAAGCACTGGCCATGATCTCAATTGCCGTAAAGGGACCCAGCGTAGATCCGGTGGGATTGCCAAAGTCTTATTGGTGTTCACATGCATGGGACGGACCGTATAAGCACGTAGTGGGCCACGTACCTACGGCCTTGGCAGGATGTCATGGTCTTGAGCCGTTTAACACTGACTCGTGATACGCATTGTTGTGGTACTGTAAAGATCAAGTCTCTGAAAATCTGGGGAGATGAAGATATCCAAAGAATAGTCTGATCGATCCATAGTGGGTAAAGTGATCCTGCCAGCTGGGACCCGATGGAAACTGGACACTTCTATTGGTTCTGCTCAGATTCGATCCATATTATTATTACTGCCTCTTTAGCCGGAATTCAACCGTGAGAACCAGAGGGCCTGGACCCCTCCCAGCCTCTGAAGACGAGTAGGAAATGTGTCCCGCAGAACGCAGTGCAGTCCAATGGGATATCGCCCAATGAAGGACTGCCAAACCTGGCAGTGACTGTGGACACGCACTGAAACAATCGGTGCCATTTGCAGTACTTTCCCGGTGGGTTATCCCGGGGACTGTGACCTAGACGATATTTAAAAATGTTGTTCCCAAGCCTCAAGCTGCCCTCCATCGACATCGAACCTCCAGATCGCCGTCAAATCCAGCCAAGTGACTTTTAACATCCTGTTACTCTTCCACCATGGCTCCACAAAACATCGAGATCCCTCATCTCCGCCCCATCGACGGTGGAAAGCAGCTGATCGTTCACGGTCGCCCATTCCTGACATTGGGTGCAGAGCTGCAGAACTCGTCGCTTACCTCGGCCGAGCATATGGACACAGTCTGGCCGAATCTGGTGGACTCTCACGTCAACACTGTGCTAGGATGCGTCACTTGGGAAATGATTGAGCCCGTAGAAGGCCAATTCGACTTCAAGGAACTGGACAAGATCATCCTGGGAGCGCGCAAGCACGGAATTCATCTTGTACTACTGTGGTTCGGCTCTTACAAAAATGGTAGCCGGTTACCACCGTGCGATACCGATTGCTTTGGTTCTGCAGTTCGATGAAAGAGCTAATCGCTCACAGGAATGTCAACGTACGCTCCTGCGTGGGTCAAGAGGAACCCCAAGCGCTTCCCCCGGATGAAATTGCGAAAGGCAGGAGGTGTCCTACAGACTACCGAGATCCTGTCAATCTGTCATGAGGAAGCTCAGAAGAGCGACGCCAGGGCCTTTGCGCAGTTGATGCGCCACCTGAAGGAATTTGACCAGGATCACTCAACCGTCGTGATGGTCCAGGTCGAGAACGAAACTGGCTTACTGGGTGACTCTCGCGATGGCTCTGCCGCGGCAGAGGAGCGATTCTCCCGAGCAGTGCCCGATGATCTCCTCAACTTTCTCGCCCATGACTGGGACTATCTTCATCGAGACCTCAAACGCAACTTGGTTCACTTCAAAGCCCAGACTTCCCGTCAAGGGTCGTGGGCGGAAGTGTTTGGTAAAGGGCCACGCACCGACGAGCTCTTCATGGCCTATCACTACGCCTTATATGTCAACCAGGTCGCCGCGGCAGGCAGAGCAGAGTATCCGCTTCCGCTATACGCAAACGCGTGGCAGAACTTTGCTGGCGACGATAGCGATAATGACTTCCCAGTTATTGTTGGCGGCGGCGGCATGCCAGGTGATTATCCCTCCGGTGGCTGCACACCAAACGTCCTGGACATCTGGCAGCGTTTTGCACCATCCGTGGACTTTTTTACTCCCGATATCTATCTGAATGATTATGCTAGCTGCTGCTCCAAGTACCGCCATCGCGGCCAGCCCTTGTTTATTCCCGAACAACGCCGAGACGAATATGGGGCACGCCGCAGCTGGATGGCAGTGGGGTCTTACCAGGCCATTGGTGTCTCTCCGTTTGCTCTTGATACCCTGGAGCCGGAATCAAATCCATACATCAAGCATTATGCCCTATTAGAATCGGTCTCTCAGATAGTGCTTGAGGCACAGCGACGCCCTGGTTCGTCTGTGGGGTTCTTCTTCGACGAGCTGGCGGCCGACGGCTCCGACTCCTCCAAGCCGATCACACGGCAATACGGGGGTTATGAGATTACCATCGAACGCGCTTTCGTCCTTGGGAAACCAGGTCCCGGCTGTGGCATGGTCATCCATCGTGGAGAAGGCAAATTCCTCTTGATCGGGTGGGGATTCCAGGTTCGCGCAACCTCCTTATCTCCGACCGCTGCGTACACAGGCATCCTCCGATTCGAAGAGAAGGTCGTGGCGAACAAGGTGACAGGGGAGCTCAGGACTCGGCGCGTGCTCAATGGAGACGAAACACGCAGCGGCCAGTTCGCCATCATGCCCAACGATGAGCCGGACTACGGGGGATTCCCTATCGCTATCACAATTCCCGCCAAAACCATGCTTGCGGAATTGGAGTTTTACTCGTTGGATGAAAGCGAGGTTTAAGAAGATCGCCAATGATATCCTTACTATCCGGTAGTTATAGAAATGCCATTTGAATGTTCTCATTTCTCTTCCTCAACATCCAACGTGGCAACATCCAATTCTCTCTCTACACCACCGACCGTTCCAGTAGCCACTGCTTTTAATTGGCCACGAGCATCTTGCGTCCACTTGATCGGGCCCGGAGGCAACGTCCCATTGAACGGAGGGGCCCAGCGTAACGCTTGACGAGTGACGGGGCACAGGTTCGGCAGCATCCCGGTGGTGAACTGAAATGCGCCCCCAAACTGGGCGGGAATATCGTCATGATGGATGTACTTGTTAAGGGTGCCATAGACATCCTTTGAGTTCAACACGACAATCTTCTCTGCCGTCACCGGGTCGACAAAGTTCTTCATGAGACTCCAGATCTGGGCGAAGTACGACGGAGGATTACAGATCTGTGCGCGAGTCAGTCAGAAGGGCTCATGGTCCCCTGTCTTTTCTCACTTACGAATATCCGATCGATCGTTTCTGGATAGCAAGTGGCCAGGATCCAGCTAAGATCCTGCGCAAAATCTCGGAGATTCCACGCCTGGCGCAGACAGATAGACGATCCCTCTACCAGGTAGATCGCCTTCGTGACCGGCTCCGATGGCAGCGGTCGATCTCGCAATGCGGAGCACAGTGGAAAGACAAACCGAGTCAGATAATCGAAATGCACTAGTGCTCGCTGCGCCATGTCCGGTGAACCCCTATGGCCCGACAGCTCTCGTGTCTGACGCCAGTGTGCAACTGCCTTTTGGTCAAGATGGACTGTTTCAATCATTACGATGGGCCATCCCTGGTTGCCTCGACGACCCGTCCAGTGTGGAATCTATGTTGTAGGCCGTCAGTTGCGGCATAGGAGCAGAACGACGGATTGCCTACCAGTCTGCGAGTGTCTTCAAAATCATCAACACTGATCCAGTCATATACTCGGAGCGCATCCTTCTCACGGCGGAAATGGGCTGCTTCTTCAAACTGGCAGAGGGCGCTCGAGAGGTCCATTCGTTTGGCCTGCAGAAAGCGCCTGCTTGGTTCGACCATGATTCCCACTCTGACTCAGGATCGAGTAACCACTTACAGCAGAGTTGTCTCGTCCGCGACGCCATCCAGGCGATCGCCCTCTTTCACATCGTCACGATCCTGCAATAAACCCCTCTCGGCACACAGCCTGGCGAACTGGGCGACTAGTACTGTCTCGTCGGCAGTCATTTCGATGGTAATTTTATTTTGATACTGTCGTCGAAGGTTGACTGCTGGAGGATCACTTCCTTAATCAATTACAGATGCAAAGGGGGAGTTGCCTGATTCGGCAGGCTCCCAATGCGGCTAGGTGGGATTGTTCCCTGTACAACACCGATGATGCCGGATCGGGAAGAGTATCCGCACATATATCACCCCTCCAGCCCCTTGCTAATATCATTCCAAAAGTCATTAATGCGACGGGCCATGTGCTTTTAGGATGGTTCTGTGATGAGCCTTAGATAATTAGAGGGCTCGACATTTCCTTAAAAGAGTGTTCGCTTCATCATATCCGCGAGTCTGGCAGTAGGGAGTACACGGAAAAGACTGTGTCAGCCCTGATAGATCAAATTGATGATACTCTCCAGTCACTGGAAAGGCAGACTGGAAGCCCTAATTGGATTCTAAGACCTTTGCTGCATAGACTGAAGATCTGATAATCTGGTATCATTAGCGCAGTAATCCGTATCATGCATCATCTTCATACCGAAGTTCCCCTATAGACATATTGGAGTTACAAACCGTACCAAAACAGAAGAAATTTTATATTCGTGACATCTATTGTACAGAGACAATACAAAGGAATATTTTCAAGTGAATGGAACCGGACGTCACCTCTCCTGTAGATCATCCGTTGTGACCGGGCAGATATGTATGCTCCTCTGTCACCGTCCATGTCCGAGTCTCGCGGATGATGCCGGTCTGACTTGACTGACTCTCATTATCATGGTCATCTTCCGAGCCATTTATGTTCGATGTAACCACTGTTTTGGTTGTCGCCAAGGGGATATTATCGAGTTCATGGGTGGACTCATTGCCAGTACGTCTTCGATCGGTCGAGAGGTAGTACCTGCTGCGGGCCGATTTATGATGGCTGGAAAGCGTGTAGCGAGTTATGCCGTCGAGTCTCATGCCCGTGGACTGGAGTTGCTTGAGGAAGGGGATAAACTGCGGTGCGCTGGCCGTCACTATGCTCAGGCACTGCACCAACTGGGAGGCAACGGTGACCGACCAGGTATCGGACGTGGCATCGGACGAGTTGATGGTGCAATCTATGAAATAGACTTGGGCCATCAATGCTCCAGGGACGCTGGTTGATCAGTTTGGCACGCTTCTGGTTCGAATGAGAAGCACCTACATCACGCGAAACAGAAAGACAGCCATGATATTGGCTTTTCTCTTCCAGGTCGTCTGTACAATGGCAATCACCTGGACCGCCTGCGCAATGATGGCCACGTCGGTGAGGATGTTCGAAACCCCTAGGTAGACGAAGAATGCTTTCTATGCTGGATTTAGCTCTGAACAGTCCATGTATCCATCGGGTTCTCCTACTCGATCGTAACAACTACCGTGTAGATAGTCCCATCGACGTGGATGGCACTGGAACGCGGATGCAAAGACCGCCGATATTGCCCAGACAGCGATGATGATCTGCAGAGCGAGAAACATCACCCGGCTCCGAGAGGTTGGCGTCAGGTGCTGGACAAAGCAGAGAAAGGCGAGCTGCGAGAAGCCGATGGCGAGGATGTAAAAGAATGTAGCGGCGTATTGCGACTAGCAGGCAGGTGTTATGAATTACTCACATCGACTTGCTATCCAGTACACTGAAGACATACCTTCATGATACTGTCAACTTTTGAATCACTCAACCTTGTCAAATGTCCTCCGTAGCCATTCTTGACGGCCATTGAAACGGCCACTGATTGAGCGATTGACATGAGCTACATCAGTCAGACTCTGGAACAGCGTATCTCTGCGCTTTCACCCACCAGGGCAAGGAGGATGTAGTAGTCATCCAGAAAGAGACTGCCAAATTTCCACCATTTGGTCCCGAGTCTTGCCAGCGAGCCCAGGACCGAAGTCACCATCAAGAACAAAGTCAAGACGATGACCGCTGGTGCCTCACTATCGGGGGAATACCTGGTCATGATGGCGAGGGTGACCAGCAGGCTGAAGGGGAGATCACGAACATGAACCTAGGACATGATCGAGAGCAAATCTGTCCGAAACGGCCCAGGGAAAAGACAGACTTGAACGTGAGACCGAAGTAAAGTAGTGCAGGGCGTGTATAAGACCGAGTCCATGGCCAGGGGACCTCGTGCACCTCCCACGCAGAAGGATTTTCTCGGCTGCATCTACCGAACAGGGGCAGCCAGCCATTTTCGATTGCTATTCGCGGCACGAAAGGTACTCATCATTCTCTGGGGGCGGGATTCAAATCACTTTACGGGCTATGGTTCGGCTGGCGTGTGCTGACTGGTGGCCCCTCTGCGAATGGAATTGTGATGGGATCCGCCGAGCGTCCCTTTGTCCTGAGAAAGTCTCGATTGTGTCTCGAGCAAATGACTAACGTTGTAGACTGACATTTACTGGAGAGTACGACCTCGTGCTATTGATTGCCTGGGTGGAGTTGCTCATAGATGTGCAATAAACGAAGTGGATTATGCATCAATCGTCTGACCATTCAGCCAAAATTGGTCTAGAAGCATGAGAGAAGGGACGAATAAACGAAGAGATACCGACGGAGGATATGGAGTACAATATTGATTGACATGGCTGCGCCAGTCGGGTGTGATGGAGACTACGCCACTGGATTTCTGTAGTTGACGAGGAATCGCAATCAATCAACCAATGATGATCTAGTCTGCCTATATCCTGGACAAGGTTACACCAGCAGAATAAGGCCAAGGCCGGTGCCGTGTTGTTTCTGAGACAGACACTGATCCTGGCGTCCCGCTAAAACTGGGCCGGGCTGGATCGGATCAACAGGCTGCTCTTCCGGATCCCCGTCTAATGATCTGGTCGTGTTTTAAGGAGGCTATATGCTGTGATTGTATACGTCCTCTGTAGATAAACATAAAATAGGCTATGGATTTTGTGGGATCATAATTAAGGTGCCGAGGATCAGCGGGGAGTGGATATTCCACCACACAAACACCTTTGATCGCCGTGGACAAGCACATCGTCCTCCACCGGAATAATGTGAAGAGAGTTGTGCAGTCTTCGCTCTTAGTCCGGAACAATGAACCTTCGGACCTTCTTGTCTCGGACTTATCCAATTACCAAGAAACAGGGATATATATGCGGACTCCTTTTCATCCATGTCTGGAGGCCAGCACTAAAGACGCCTCTTGCAAGGATGCGATGCCACTTCAGCAGTTAGCAATGGCAGTGATATTGTTTCCGCAGAAAAAGGCCAGATTGTTTTTAATTTAATTAGGACAAGTCTAACTCCAATCGAGACGTCTCTCCGATTCCTTTCGGTGTCCGTACACTGTATCTATCATCGCCATCCCTGCGGCGCCAAGCAGTAGCGTATCGAAACATGTGGAGGGAAGTGACAAATGAATGCAACGATACGTAGACACGTTGCGCATCCTTAATTCTCTCAGTCGCAATTCAGAAAGTCCCTGAGAGGGGATGTCGCCCATGGGTTACACTTGTACAGGCGAGAGTACATGCAGGTTGCCTCCCACGAGGCTTCAGAAGCAGATTGGCTGGCACCGACGAAGCGCATTCCATCCTCGGTAACTACCTAGCAGTATTTCATTCTTCTGTTTCGGATCTGGGAACTGGCCAGCCGCTAATTTCTAACCGAGTCGTGCGGTGGATGCGGTGCCTTCGACCGGTCTTGACCCGGCAATGCATTAGTGAATAAGATCCATGCTGTTCAATAATTCACTACTCTACGACCTTCTCAAAACAGATAGAATCACATTCGTCACTTTGTCTACCAAGAACTAGCCGAAGTGGCCAAGTCAAGGTCCCTGAACGACCAGCCCGGGCTCTGTGTTTTCATTTCCCCCACCCTCTCCTTTTTATATTGTCCCTCGTCGGGAGAATCTAGGATTCGCATCCTCATATACAACCTTCTCTGTCGTCTCAAGCTCCTGTTGAGTGCCAATCATCTCCTGTAGAATGTTGACGCACGAGATGAAGGCGCTGGAACCGTCGACTCCTCAAGAGCTCGGCGGCTCACTCTCGAGCAAAGACCTAGATGAAGTCCACTTGGCTCGTCTGGGGAAAAGACCCGTTTTGAAGGTGAGGTGATCTGAGCCTCGATCGATCGCATAAGATTTGTGACTCGTCACTGACGCACAACCGTTGCAGCGCAATTTTGGAATGCTTTCCATGCTTGGCTTCAGCTGTACGATTCTAGTGACCTGGGAAGGATTTACGGTGTATGCATCCATCTGATAAGAATCCCCGAAAGATTTTGCTAATACACGCTCCACAGACTGTTCCTCCAGCCACTAACCAAGTACGGCCCCCTTTCGATCTAATCGCATTCAACACTAACCATCAACGACAGTGGTGGTCCAGCCGGAGCTGTTTATGGTTTCCTCTTTGTTTGGGCAGGTACCGCCTGCGTTTTCGTCGTCCTCTCTGAATTGGCATCCATGTATGGCTTTCAGATGCCGCATCTCGTATCAGGCGTGATTGCTGACAACCACTTAGGGCTCCGACATCCGGTGGCCAGTACCATTGGATCTCCATGTTGGCGCCGCGATCGACTGTGAAATTTCTCAGTTACATGTCTGGGTGGCTCACCGTCATCGGATGGCAGGCCACCTTTGCCACAGCGTGCTACCTCTGCGGTACTATGGTCCAGGGTGTCGCTATTCTCACACGTCCCAGCTACACACCCCAATCATGGCATCCTACCTTGTACTTCTGGGCCATCGTCGCCTTCGCCGTCAGTATTAACGTGGTCGGTCGCAGTGTCCTTCCCAAGTTCGAGGGGCTTATCCTTGTGGTCCACATTCTCGGCTTCTTCGCGATCCTCATCCCGCTCGTCTCGTTGGCCGACATTGGCTCCGCCAAGGACGTCTTCACCCAGTTTGTCAATGAAGGTGGCTGGTCGACCCAAGGACTGTCGTTCTTTGTTGGCTTGATCGGCTCTGTGTTTGCCTTTGTGGGAGGTGATGCTGCAGTTCATGTAAGTCAAGCACTTCTCTCTCACCAAAAGCCAGCTCCTCATATCTGCAGATGTCGGAAGAAATCCAAAATGCCCCCGTGGTGGTCCCTCGCTCTATCCTGCTCAGCGTGCTGATCAACGGTCTGTTGGGATTTGGCATGCTCCTCGCTCTTCTCTTCTGCTTGGGGGACATCAATGCAGCCCTCGAATCAAAGACGGGATACCCTTTCATGCACATCTTCTACAAGGGAACTGGTTCCGTCGGAGGTGCGGCCGCCATGGCCTCCATCGTCATTGTCGTCTGTATCTGTTCGGCCACTGGCATGATGGCTGCGACTTCTCGCCAGTTTTGGTCATTCTCGCGTGATCGCGGTGTTCCCGGTTGGAGACTATGGAGTCGGGTGCGTTATCCTTCCTTGTAAAGCCATCATTCGCGCTAATATGCTCGTCTAGGTTTCTCCCACTACCGCTATTCCCGTATGGTCTGTTGCAGTCACCACCGTTGTGTCGTCCCTGTTGGCCTTGATCCCCATTGGATCCGCTGTCGCCTTCAATGACCTCTGCGCCATGTCCATTACCGGCCTCTTCCTCTCCTACATCATGGTGGCCGTCCTTCTCCTCTGGCGACGTTTGACTGGTGCCATCTCGCTGACTGCTGGCGCTGACGAGACCGTTAACACAATCGGAGCCAGGCTGGTCTGGGGTCCCTTCCGCGTTCCTGGTATCTGGGGAGTCATGATCAATGTCTTTGCTATTATCTACTCGCTCATCGCCATCTTCTTCAGCATGTGGCCCACATACAGCCAAGTCACGGTGGAGACAATGAACTTCAGCTCGGTAGGTACCGCCAGTGTGATTGTCCTGAGCGTTGTCTACTATGTCCTCCGTGCCCGTCATGTTTACGAAGGGCCGATTGTTGAGACGGTGCCTCGGTAGACGGATTCGGACCGGGGTTATCAAAAAGCAATGCGTTCGTCCCGCTGTGATTCTGTACAGACTTGAAAAGCTATGTAACTTAAAGAGGCGCATCTCTAATATTTACTTTACCCATTTCAACTCTTTTGCCTCCTAGACCTGGTCTGTCTCATCACACCGTGCCAATGGCGTCTCTCCCTCGACATATTTGCCTAAAACAGGGCGCCACATCACCCTCTCATTGATGGGTAAGAAGGTTTCCTCGCACTGGGTCCATTCCTTTTGCTCCTTGTCGGACAACTGGCGCATTGGAACCGGCTTCACGCTATTGAAGACAACCTCGCGAAAGCCATACTTCTTGTAAAGCGGCGCTCCAAACTCCGAGGCGTCCAGCCAAGCTTCCAAGCCCTGCGCGTCTGCCTTTTCCACGCCCCATCTCATGAACAGATGGCTCAGTCCCTTTCCGCGATACTCGGGGAGGACGAATGCAATGTGTAGAACTGTAAGGATATCATTAGTCTCTCCATATACCTGCTTTAGCTGGCACACTTACAAGCATGGGGTCGTCTAGCCATGCTCTCCCGCGGATGCTCAAACTGCCTGACCGCCTGCGTCGCCCACTCCCTCGTCACTCCCTCGGGAAACCAGTCCGCAACGATCGGACCCTCTTGTTTCGCGAAAGGGTCCTCCGGGTAAAAGTACCATTTGGCCGCTGCAGCGATCTTGTTGGCTTCCGTATCCACGACTTTAATCCAGGTTACATGCGGCTGCTGCTGGTGGTACTCCTCCAGTTGAGCCTGGACGCACGCCTTGAGACTGCCCTCGCGATCATTGTTGTGGATGGGGAAGAATAAGCGCAGGATGCCCTGGTAGGGATTCTCAAAGGCTTCCCAGAGCGCCCGGTGCAGCTCGGGGAAGTCGTCGTCGCTGACGGTCTCTACGCAAAATTTGGGCTGCATGATAATTTCGCTATGAATATACAGTAAGAAGTGTGACGAGCGAGAGATGTAAAATCACACAATTGGCTTATGTATTGCTTCAGGTTACATCAGACAGTAAACTATTGCCTACCACGCCATACCGGAACAGTCTATC